ACATATCTGCACGACGGATCCGGGGGTCTGTCGGATAATGACTAGACCAATGCCGATCCCATGCACTGCGTGTGGGGGCCAAGACCAACTCCAATTTGTCTACTCCGTAGGGATCCATTTGTATGACGTTGGATAGAAAATCCCCTAAAAAGATTTGTGAGCCTCTTAAGGAATCCCACACCGCATATCTAAATAGTAGAATATAGCACATCAATGTAAAATATAGTGCTATATAACACTACCATATATAGCACCCATAGTACTCAGGATCTACTTGGACTTGATATCATACGGAGATATAAAAGACCCGTACCGTGGAGATAACGCCCGTGGGTCGACAAATCATCTTTAGTCCAGTGCGCACACCTTCAACCCGTTCGCTTTCAGCTTAAACACACCTTCTCTTGTCACTTGGACCTTCAATTCTCTCAACCTATCCTCATCCTCTTTCATTAGGTGTGCAAAGTATCCCTTCCATATCCCCGACATTCCCAGACATAGGGCGCGCCTTGGAGCTTTGTCTCTTTGTCCTTCTGTCCTTCTCCCCTTTACCTTTTACCTTCCCTCTCCTTTTCTCCCATATATCAATGGCGTGGTTCACTTCATTCATTGCCTGCGTTCGCCCGCTCACCTGATCGCTTCCTTGTGACACTCAGGTTGAACCCGCCGTGAATTCCTTCCGATTGCAAACCCCCCCGGACATAATTGGAAATTGCAAATACAGTGTGGTAGATTTCGATAGGGTTGTGGCGGACTGAATTCTAGTGGACTTGTTGGTCTCGCCAGTATGAAATTCGGCCGCAATTTGTCGCAATTCACTGTTCCCGAGTGGAGCACCTCCTATATCAAGTACAAGGCCCTGAAGAAGCTTATCAAGTCTGCTGCTGAGCAGATCAAAGCGGGACAAGAGGCGGATTTGGCTGGTAAGTTTAGTTCTTGCATTGGGTTTATTATTTGGAACCATTGAGCACTCTTCTGACCAGGCCTTCGTGTTGGTGCTTATAGGTTTCTTCTACAACCTCGACCGAAATGTTGAAGATGTCGATTATTTCTACAACAAGAAATATGCGGAGTTTGCGCGCCGTTTGAAGCTGCTCGAGGAGCGCTATGGTTATTCCATGGAGGGCCGTCATCCTCTCGAACCCGAGGACCGACATGACCTGCGCGAGGCGCTTTTGGACCTGCGGTACCACTTGCGCCGCTTACAATGGTATGGTGAAGTCAATCGACGTGGCTTCGTCAAGATCACCAAGAAGCTGGATAAGAAGGTCGGTGCGCAGGCCCAGAAGCGTTATCTAGAGACCAAGGTCGATCCCACTCCGTTCGCTTCCAACGAACGCGTGTTCCAGTCTCAGGATCGTATTAATGCCTGGATGGCCATCATTACCGACCAGTCCAAGGCGGACGACAAGGCGTCTGATGATGCGAGCTCCACCCATTCTTCCCTTTCATTGAAGCGTGGCTCGGCTAGACCTTATCTTAATCTGCCTGCCAGCATCCTCACTGCTGTCGATGACGCACTGCGCAAGGATGATACTCATTTCTTGCTCGAATTACTCGAGACCTTGAAGGCCTCTGCGGAAGAAGCTGGAGAAATGGTTTATCCTAGGGTTCTCAGAACCCTGATTCAGCGCTCTATCCTTCATCGTTCCCGCGCTGTTCTGACCCTTCTTTTGGACCGAGTAGACACTCTAGAGGAGGACGATGATATCAACAGACGCAACTGCCTTCACCGCCTGGTTATCTCCATTGGCCGTGAACAGCCCACGAGTGACTCCGAGCCAGCCGCGTCGATGGTGCTTAACTTCCCCCGGAGACAACCCGCTATATTACTCCCGCGGCGCCTCCGACTCTCCAGCCGCCGCGTGCTGTAGTCAAAGAGGAGCACATGCCCCAACAGCTAGGCCGCGATGATCCTGCTGTAATTTACCTTAAGTTCCTATTGGACTCGCTGCGCCCTGATCAGCGTGAGTCTTTGATGGCCAAGGACCTTTCTGGACGCACTCCATTGCACTACGCGGCACAATATGGCTTTAAGGTCGTGTGTGAAGTGATTATTGAACATCTCATAGAATGGGGCATGTTCGATGTCAGTGATGGGATCGACGGTCCTCTCTGGCAGGACAATGACGGATGGGCCCCGCTTCATTTGAGTGTTGTTGGTGGCCACCCACAGACTACCCGATGTCTCTTGGATGCTGAAAAGCAAAATGATCCCTCACCGGAACGGAGCATCATAAGAAAGCAGGTCCCCAAGTCTAGTGCAGTATTGGCACTAGCGACCAAGGCCAACTTCATTGATATTGTCCAGCTTCTGGTGGATGCTGGCGTGGATATTAATTACCAGGACGAGCAGGGAGAGACTGCATTGCATGTTGCCGCCCGATTTGGCCATGATGAGTGTGCACAAATTCTCCTGGACGGTAGTGACGACCAGAAGGCAGACACAGAATTAGCCGAAAACACATATGGCTGGACGCCGCTCTTCATTGCCTGTGTGGACGGGTCTCTGAGTGTGGCTAAAATGCTAGTTACCGTTGGCGCAGACGTGGAGCGTTTCGATTCCTCTGGCTGGACGGCCAAGGAACACGCGGCTCTGCGAGGCCATCTCGACATTGCCCGTTGTTTGGCTGAGGTTAGCCCCGGCCCTCCTACCACTGAGCTCGATTTTTCATCGTCTACTCCAACTCTCCCTGGCTCCGAGTCCTCCTCGCCTCCAACTCAGTCGTCTCTTACTGATCGCCGGTCGAATGCACCAGGCCCAACTTCCGGGAGCCCTGGTGTACGGACTACTGAGCCTATTAAGACATTTGGACACAGATATCTTACTGATGAGAGCATGATCTTGGTCAGTCTGGGAACCATGGACATGCGCAAGCCGCTTGAGACAGTCAGCCTCGACCGCATCCCAATGGAGAATGCACATGCCACCCAGCTGGACACATCTTTGTCGATGGTGATAACAGCCAGCGGTGCACACGGTGAGCCGGAGGTGATTGACTTGCCTGTGCAGGACAATATCTCAACCGAGCCAATTGTATTCCACACTACCGATCCTACCAAGGTTCGTCTACTTTTCGACCTTGTCCCCACCTACGCAGGATCGAAAGAGAAGGTCGTTGGCCGGGGTGTCGCTCTGCTTTCTAGCATCAAGCCCACTGTGGGATCGCACCGAATCAACCTCAAAGGCGATTCCACTGTTCCCATTGTTGCCGCAAATACCCTTGAGGTGATCGGGTCTGTAACTTTTAATTTTCTCGTTATCACCCCCTTCAAGCACCCGAACATGTCTATCACTGGCAACCAGACCTACTGGCGCTCGATGACCTCAACAATGGTCATTGGACACCGTGGACTGGGTAAAAACATGGCTGGCCGCAATTCATTACAGTTGGGCGAGAATACTGTAGAGTCCTTTATCGCCGCGGCCAACCTGGGCGCCTCATATGTTGAGTTCGATGTACAGCTCACAAAAGACCACGTGCCTGTCATCTACCACGACTTCCTAGTCAGCGAGACGGGCATCGATGCACCTGTTCATACCATGACGCTCGATCAATTCCTCGAGTTGGGCGTTGGACGTTATCGTCATGCCTTGCCCGGATCCGTGAAAGTCAATGGCCAGGCATCTGAGTATGGTATACGCCAGCGCTCAATGTCTGTCGGCGGCTCCGAGTACGACCCCGCCGAATTGACCGAGAAGATCAAGCACACACGAGACTTCAAGAAGAAGGGATTCAAGGGCAACACCCGCGGCGAGCACATCCAGGCACCATTCGCCACATTGGAGGAATTGTTCACGAAGATCCCCAAACCTGTCGGATTTAACATTGAACTGAGTGAGTTATTAATGCTTCCCTAAGAACAGCTATTTTGTCGATCTAACCCAGATCGCCAGAGTATCCCATGCTCCACGAGAGTGAGGAGGAAGAGATGGACACCTACGCAGTGGAGCTGAACTCCTTCGTCGATACCATCCTGAAGATGGTCTATGACCTAGCACGCGGACGCGACGTACTGTTCTCCAGCTTCAACCCGGATATCTGTCTACTGCTGTCTTTCAAGCAGCCTTCTATCCCCGTTCTCTTCCTGACCGATGCAGGCGCCTCTCCGGTCGGTGACATCCGCGCCAGCAGCTTGCAGGAGGCTATCCGGTTCGCCTCGCGGTGGCATCTCCTTGGAATCGTCACTCAGGCCGAACCACTAGTCCTCTGCCCGCGGCTGGTCCGTGTCGTCAAGGAGTCCGGTCTTGTGTGTGTCTCTTACGGAACGCTCAACAATGACGGCAACAACGTTGACGTATGTATTTGTTTCATTCCTTCCCTGAAAACCCAAATAGCCATCTAACAATGCTATCCATATAGTACCAAGTTGCCGAAGGCATTGACGCCGTCATTGTCGACTCCGTGCTCGGCATCACAAACGGCCTCATCCAGCGCGGCAAGGGCGAACGCACACCGGGCCCATCGCCTAACCCTTCGGCCATCAATGACCAGACAGCCGACTCTGCCGCGGGCGCTGTTAAAGTCCCTGCTCTCGAGCGGGTGAAACAAACTAATCTCTCACCGGATATTGATCCTCCCAGCCTTATTTAAGAATTGCATTGTCATGTATCATTGCATTCTCACCTGGGAATTGTGATTTATCGGCATATGATGTCAATAGTTTGCATTCGGCTTATGCCAGCTTCAACAGCTATCAATACCAGTTATTATTGAATATTTACATATTTCTATGTTATTCCATGGTGCTTAGGCCTTTGATTTTCATTCTGGCGAGACGCAAATATCTTTTGACAGGTTGCATGAAGTAGATTTGTGGCTTACCTGAATGTAGTTGGATAAGAGGGAGGTGTTAAGATCAGATGTATGCAATTGATCTTTATAAATCTGCTAATGTCTAACGGTAGTTTCCCATTTGAAATTCAGCCATGGCACTTTCCTCAGCTGAACTACTACGCACCTCAAACCCATAGTTATGGTAAAGCCACACAATATAACTCACGCCGAACGCTCATTGAAGAATTTCTTGAAATCCCCCCACTTAGCATCTCGGCCATAAGTCAGAGGGAGGGTGAGCTGAGCATCGAAAATAGCTCTACGCGCAGGGCTACAAGTACATCGAAAAACGACCTCAGACAAGGGCGATCCAAACAGACGGGATAACGGCATCCCCTTATCATCGGGCGACTCCCCGTTCTCTCGTTCAATGATAGCCAACTCATCAACAAAAATATCCCGGAACTCAAAGACAGCCTGTTTATACTCCTGCGGCGCAGCAGGAGGAGCAACGAATTCCGGATTCACGGCAAACCGCTCCATTGGCACAGTCTGGATATTACTCCAGTGGAGAACAGCAGTGATATTGAAATCCTCATCAACGAGCATATTATTGAAATGAAGATCCAGATGACATAACGGGAATGGGCCGTATATATGCTCTTCCGTTACCATTGATGTTAGCGATGTTTCGAGGAACCAAGCTGCTGCTTCCCAGTCTGCTTCGCCTTTGTGTCCTTCGCGGATCTCCCTTGTTTGGCCTTTGCGGAATAGATAAAAGTATTCTAGCGAGGTTGACAAAGGTTTGACCCAAGAGCCTGAGATTTGGAATGGGCAGATTTCGAACTCGTCGGACTCGGAGTACGAGAGGAAACCGATTCTGCTAAACCGAAGAGTACTCAGTTCGTAGATATAGCGGGCCAATTGAGCGGCAAATTTCTTTTTATGTGTCGCAGGTATTGAGAGAGCCACTCTGTGATTGAGAACGGTTCCTGGGAGAGCTTTCATCAAAATGTAGGAATAGCCGAAGTCATTCTTCCTGACGCTATGCCCGAAGACGCGGGGTACGGGTATGGTCGTTTTGGAACGAATGAAGTTCATAGACGCAATTTCACTTAAAAGCCTTGTCGTAACGTCTTCATCGTTCTCCTCTTGGGGCAACATAATTCTCGCTACCCATTGACTTTTGTCTGAAAAGGATAGGGCGACCACTAGGTTGTATGTTCCTTAGGTGAACTTTTTAGTATTCACAGAGCAGGTCAATGCATCCAAGGATTCTTCTCGTTGCCGAATCTTTGTGGCTTCAGAGCAGAGATGGGTAAAATTTGCTGTTTCAAGGACTGTTTGTATCTTCTTTGCATGGTCGCTCTCAGTATCCAGGTTCTGGAATGAAGTCCAGTATTCATCAATAGAACCCATTATTAGTTTGGCCCAGACTTCCCAAAAGGTGAAAGAAAGAAGGAGAGTGGGAAATTGGAGGGAAATGTAGGTGAGAGATATCTAGCCCTGGGTGTTCTGCATATGCTTGACAAATTGAGGGGTTCATTTCCCTCCCACTTCGGGGGATCTGTATACCACGATCAAGTCTGAATTCTCTTTGAATCGAAGGATAGATGATTTGAGGAAAACAGGAGGTCTTTGGATGATCTAGTCAACTATGGCGGGATATTAAATGTCCGTTGTCCGACGGACCGTAATCGGCCTAATTTAGGGTGCTTGCACACCTGGTCTTAGACGTGTTGGTATATATCTCCTGCTCCAGAGACTCTCTCCTTCTAAACACATCCCCCAATGACTTTGCAAAACCTACCCCTCGAAATCCTATGTATGATTATTCGTTTCATAGGCAAAGATCAGCTTCGCAAACAGGGAGCCTCCTGCTTGACTGTCTGCAAGTTGTGGTATCAGATTGCAAAGCCCATCCTGCTAGAAGACCTCAGATTCAGTGTGCTGCGATTTGTACTAGCACCCAACCATGTGTACCCGAACCTGAGGACCTTTCTGCGACGGCTCACAATTGATGTGTATGGTCCCGAGGACTGGTCCACCAAGGAGGAGGATATCGTGAAATTAAATGAAATACTCATTTCATTATTTGAACGGAACGACCATTTGGCATCTTTTACTTTGCGTGTCTGCAAGCAATTTGAAATATCCCTGGTTCCTCGCCAGCATCCTCTTTCAACATGGAACCCAATTCGGTTTTTAAACGCCCTGGGTACCTCCAAGCTCTCACATCTTGTGGTTGATACATACGGATCTCAACTGAGCAGGGCCATCCATATCTGTCCTCAGCTAGCGCTCCGGATTCCTTCATTAAGATCGCTACGGATACGCATGTATAGGATCTGCCCAAAGATTCTTGAACTTCCGCAGGGCGATAGCCCATCACAAATTGAGAGTATTATCATCAATCTCAGCCACCAACATGTTTATCGAGTCTCCGCGATGTATAGCTCTCACTGTACTGAACGAAGAGGAGGGCTCGGCCTATACAATGACATGATTATTAAAGGTACTGAGATTGCAAAACAAACCCCAAGCCTTAAAGTGCTCGAAGTTATGTGTCACATGTACCCGTGTTGGGATATGACGACTATGAATTGTATTACTGGGATTGAGACAATTATTGCTGGCGCCCGTGACTGGGGCAACGAAGGGGAAAAGCTTCACCCGCCCATTCTCCATGACTACTGATTATTCCTCAAGTCGCGCTAGTACGTTTACCTAGGCAATATTGAGAACTCGTAAGAATCGCCTGCAGAGCAGATTTAGTGTATCTCTTCGAATAATTCAAAGGTTAATAATTCCATAATTTATGACGACTAGTATATGTATGGTTCCACTCAATCCCAATAAAAAGACCTAGCGGATATATAGGCGGAATATTCTTCCCAAGCCGATCAGCTTTTTCCTATGATTGCAGCGTGGGGATTTTTGTATTCAAGAGCTTTGCCAATTTTAAAAAGGACCAAGCGAGTGTCCTGGTGGCGTTCTCCCAAAGTTCTTTGGCGAGTCCTATAGACCTTCCGATATTCTGCTGCGGATTCGATGTATCTGTTTTGACATAAAAGAGCATCGCCAACGTCCTGTAAGGCCGATAAAGTGTCTTTATGATGTGCTCCAAGAGCTTTTCTGCGTTCCCAATAGACCTGTCTGTATGTTGATTCGGCTTCGATGTACTTGGCCTGGCGGTAAAGAGCACTGCCTATGTGCTGAAGACATGCAAGCGTCTTTGGATGCTGTGGTCCAAGGAGTTCTTTGAGTCCCTCAAAGGCCGATTGGTATTTGCGTTTGGCTTCAGTGAACTTGTTTTGATGGTAAAGAGAAATGCCTAGGTCATTAAGGCACGAAAGCGTCTCTTCATGTTGCCATCCAAGGGATTCCTTGAGCCCATTGAAGGCGATTTGGTATTTAGCTTCGGCTTTGGCGTACTTTTTTTGACAGACAAGTGCATGTCCTGTAATACGAAGAGACAGAAGCGTGCCTATGTTCATTGTCGGTACACTGGAAGCCTGATTGAAACTGGCTTTCGTTTTTTTGTATTTTTGTCCGACCAGCGGACCTTCTCGCTCGTGATATTCGTTGTATGGGGCATCGGATTGTGGCGAAATGGAATTCGATGATTTCGAGGCGACCGAAGTTGTCAAGGTTGAGGCCATTTGATTGAATTATGGAGAAAGCGTTGTAGCGGATGGTTTTCTATAATTGGAAGGTGTCATCGTGTTTTGACGCTCCCGTGACTGTGCCATCTGAGTCTGAGGCATTTGTTGTGGAACTTTTGACGAGGTTATTCCAGATATTTGCAGATTTTCCATACCAGACGCACAGTCAAAGGCACGTTGCTTCAGCCAGTTGCTCTCAAGAGCTCCTCGGGCAGAGAATTGCGTGTTGGCATCGGGAGCCATCGCAGATATCATAAAATGGCGACACTCCTCGCTGAGAATCTGTACCAGCGGAGATGTAGGAAATGGGAAGGGTCCCCCACGAACATACTTCGGCAGCGCATATGGGGTGTTCGAGGTAAATGGATATTCATGGAAAAGAACATAGAATGCCATCACGCCGAGAGACCATATATCAACTTTTTCCGAATAATGAAAGACGGCACTAGTCTCATCTACTCCAGGGGGGTAGATCATTTGCACTTCTGGCGCAAGAAAAAGTTGTGTGCCCACCATCGATCGAAGGCTGCTATTTTCGTTGATTCGTTTGCTAAAGCCAAAATCGCCGATTTTGACCCACCACTGAGGTCCTTTGGTAACCACAAATACATTCTGCTAGTATTAGCTCAACATGTTCCCTTCCTTCTATAGTCGCTTGCTTACCTCGGGCTTTAGGTCTCGATGGACAAACCCATTTCAATGCAGGTGTTCCAGACCTTCTCCGATTTGAAAGACGATCTCTCGGGCATCGTACTCGGGTAATGGTGTCGTCAAATGAGAACCTAGATCACCGTGTTGGATGTACTCCATAGCAATAAACATAGATTCCTCATTCTCATACCAACCAAAGTACTCAACAAATAGACCAAGATACTATGAATAGTCAACAAACATTCCTTGAAAACGAGATACGATAGAATGAACGTCTGACCTTCTTTTGTGAAAATTTCGCAATAGCCTCTAGTTCTTTGCAGAAGTCGATGCCCCCAGAGGACAGGTGTTTCTTGTTGACCATCTTTACGGCCTGCAGCTCCTCTTGGTTCTCGCTTGTCAAGCATCTGTGTAACCAGACGCTTCCACACGATCCACTACCCACTGGTTTCTCTTTTTTCCAAATATCGAGTCTCTCCTTTCGCCTCACATATTGACCAGGGGTGCTACTTGATTGAAAAGTGAAGCGATGGACCAAATCCGAGTAGAATTCGACCCGAAATTTAGCATCTGTCACCAAATCAGCGGTGGTCGACTGCATATTGAATCATGGGTGTTATAAGTCTGGTGTACAACAATCGACAGCCCTGATACTATGCAGATGCGGTTCGGGTCACCTAGCGTAGGGTCATCTGTCCATTTATTGAGGGGTAAAAGAAGGGGGCTACCAATCGATTCGCTTCTGACGTGGACAGCGCGACTCATAAGCAAATTCTTACTAGGTAGGTATGTACTGGCCTATTAATCATGTGGTAAATTTCGTAAAAGCACCCTATTAGAAACACATAAGCAATATTCTCAGTAATACAGAGCCAAGACAAGCAGCTGATGAGTACTAATGTTCAATTCAACATGTAGTGGGCTGTGCGCTAATCTTACGCGAAAGCCACAACAGCTTCCCGGCAAGTTTTGGAAGAAACAGGCGATCCGATGGCTTAATCGAGCCTATCCGCGAGAACAGTGGGAAATAATCGTATAAGTTGATAGGGGCTAAGCGGATATTTAAGTGACTGGAATGCAGTATTTAATTTAGGAGATGAGGTTGATGAGATATCACCAGGAAGGAGCGAACTGCGGGGCGCTACCCCTAAGGTGCTTTTCCTTATAGTCCCGCGTGTGATCCTCTCAATTATTTTACCTGAGGCCATCACACTCAAGGCTTTGACACGGAGGAGAACGATGGAGCCTGTTTCTTTCGCGTTTGCCGCTTGTTCTATGGTGGAGCTCTGCATCAAGTACGTATTCGGTTCTAGGGGAAACCTTGAATGTCCACCCTCAGCGCGCTCCGTCTAATTTAAACAGATATGGACGGAGTCTCCATGCGCGGTGTCAGGCGTATATACAAGCCGAAGCTGAATTGGCAAATACTCTCCTCTGTATTGAGGGCTATTGGTTGAAGATTGAGGATGAAGTCACCACTCTACGCGACATATGGAATGGACTAGACGGCCGTCTACAAATCCACCACAATCAAGTTCTTCAAACGCTATTACAGATCTTGCAAAATGCATATAGCACACTCGGTGATATTTTTGGGGAGCCCGAGAATAGCCAAAATTTCGGAAACCTCGTCGCACAACAGGGGAAGATCCAGCGACTCAAGTACGCGGCGTACGGAAAGAAATCGCTAGAGCGTATTGTCGAGCAACTTGAACATTGGCATCGACACTTTGACCCTTCGTGGATTTTACTATCGCGCCTCTCGGTCCCAATCATTCAGCAAAAACTTGCAGAAAAAGGACAACTTGGGAACAAAGCCATAGTTCCTATTCTACAGCTCCGTGAGGCACATAACAAAAGCAAATTACCCACCGATGAATGCTTGACGACATCAATTTTCCTCGATGCTGATTATCCCATAAAAAATACAAAGGGTATACCATTCACTACGGCCTCAATGGGGTTAGCACCAACCGGGAAGATGGTGATTGTTGACAAATATACGTCACGCGAGGACGTTGATCACAAAGTTTCCAAAAAGGATGTCCGGGATCTGGCCGTGATCTTGTCGAAGGTCAACCCGACGTTTTCTTCCTTGCTACCCTGTCAAGGTGTTATCACAGCAAAAGATCAGTCGCACTTTCGTATGGTTTTCACCGTACCCTGCGAGATGAGCCTTTATAATCCCTGCAGTCTTCGATCTATGCTGTTAAACAGGGCTAATACCTACCCTCTGAACGAACGGGTGCATCTGGCTGTATCACTGGCCCGATCCGTGGTTTTTCTTCATGCTTCTCGAATTGTACACAAAAGCATATCCCCAGAGAATATCATCATCCTTCACCCGGGTATGGGCGTACTCGGAACTCCATTGCTGGTGGGGTTTGAACGTTTCCGTTTCGATGAGCAGCGGACAAATATGGTAGGTGATAATCTCTGGGAAAAGAATCTGTATCGCCACCCCGCACGGCAGGGTCTTCAGCCAGAGGAGATCTATAACATGCGGCATGATATCTACAGCATTGGGGCGTGCTTGTTAGAAATTGGATTGTGGAAATCATTTGTGTACTATATGGGCGATCAGACCGTTCCCAGTTCAGAGCTTCCAATCACGGATATGTTGACTACCAAAAGCAAGCGGAAGGCGGCAGTGGAAATCAAGTCTACTCTTATTGATCTGGCTAAAATGAACTTACCCCAAAAAATGGGTAAGATCTATACCGATACGGTCATTAACTGTTTGACCTGTCTTGACTCTGGCAGTCAGATTTTCCAGGACGAAAGTGAATTTGAGGATGAGGATGGGATTTTAGTTGGCGTGCGATATATTGAGAAGGTAAGTCTATCACTGAAAAAATGGAAATATTCACAGTCATTAATCATGGAACATAGATCTTGTTTGAAATAGAGAAGATCGTGGTTTGAATAGGAATATTATAACAGCTTGTTAAAACCGACACCAATGAAAACGCCCCAAAAATTGAGATAGGAATAGGGTATCTTTCCTCCTGCGCATAGCAGTCCAGGTATATAGCAAAGAAAAGAACAAATCAACCAAAGACAATGTTGGTCTGGCCAGATACCGCTGTCTTCACGTTCAGGTTCGAGCAGCAAAGGCTATAATATTATAAGCGCGGGTAGAGAAAAAAGATCCATCCATAATTTACCATTAATAATGGACCTCCGAAATGATTTCCGTGACGAGCCCTCGGAAGAGGTCTGTACAGATTCGGTTTCATTTGTTGAGACTGACTCATTTCGTCTCTTCTTGGGGTGTGTCTTGAACCCCTTTTCGGGATTGCGAACAGGGGGTGGAGGAATAGCAAGATGCATTATGTAGAATATGTATGGGGAACTGAAGTGGTTGGAGACTTTTGTCATACTTTTAGCGGGTCAAGCAGACAGATTTATACTGAGGAATGGCATGTTTATGCTTATCTCGAATGAGGCAACAGCCAGCGAGACAGATGCTTATCTGCCAATCACAGTTCTATAATAATATCGTCTTTCAAGGTTATCCTACGCCTCTGATTCTATAAAAGTTGATCAAGCTCATCTATACGTAAGAGTATAACGAAATAATATGCCCACGTGTAGTGGATCACTATATAGTGGGTCGGTATGTACGGAATACTAATTGCTTGAAACATGGCTTTCCTTAAATGAGATAGAGTATTGATTGAATCTCTTGGGAAAACGCAAATTCATTATGCATAAATCAACATATGGTCTCATTTGGCCTTCAGTTGCTCTTCTAACCACTCCTGTGTGATACTCTCAAAAGTGCAAAACTGAACCGCATCACCCCATCCCCGAAGCCACCCCACAAAACGATCAACCATCCCGATCACATGAAGCATGCCACTAGTATCAGGATGCATCAAAATGGGGAACACAAAGCTGCCATCCCCTCCGTCAACATGGGCATTCTCCCACAGCCACAAAAACATATCCTTCCATCTCTGCTCAACAACGCGTACATCAACATACCCTTGGGTATTATCTAGATGTGGGAAGTACTGCATCGCCATCATATCCTCATTATTCCAGCCGGTAGGAATCTCCACAAGTGGATGGCCGACGGGACGCGCATTCGTCGCAGAAAGGGGCGTAGGGTGCAACCAAGCGCTAGCCGGCTGGGAGAAATCCACTGGTTTGATAGGCGGGTCGTTGGGTGTGAAATATGGCTGTGAGTCATGGTGACTCAGAGAGGAGTCATATAGGAATTCAAACTCTTTCAGAAGCTCGATTGTTGTCTCGCGTAGCTGGTACATGGGCGCGCGGTAGCCTCGCACCTTTTTGCCTGTTAGTCGCTGCGACACTTCCATGCACTTCACTAGCACGTCTCGTTCTTGAGCTGGTGTCATTTGGTAGGCTCCTTCGTGCGAATAACCATGAAGGCCAATCTCGGCGCCAGACTTGATAATTTCCTTCACGGTTGGTTCGAAGGTTTCCATTGTGTGTCCGGGGATGAACCAAGTCACTTTATCAGCTACATGATGTTTTTGTAACATGCGTAATATCCGATTGGCACCAACTCGACCGGAGAATATGCCGGTGCTGTAGTCGGCCATATTATTGTCTGGATGATGTCCTGTCCCTAGGAAGGCAGAGACCGCGTCAAAGTCAAACGACAAGGCAATTTTGACCTTTGGCTTCTGATGGAGAGAGAGATTTGCACAAAGCTGGGTATTCTGAGCAATGGAATTAGGGTTTTTCTTCTCGGTTCTGTTAACAGTTGCGATATCGCCGAGTGAAATTATTCCACGGGCGGGTTTCGCTGAGACTAGTATCGCAGTTGCTGCAACTATTGACTGTGTAGAAGCCCCACGTGAGGCACTGAGGTCAAGAAAGTTGACGGAAGCGGCCGGATGAAGCCGTAAGACATCTCTTTGGAGCTTAGAAATGACTTGGTCGAGTGAATCAAAGAGATCTTGATAACCAAGGACCACAATAGAGAAACCGTTCCCTGATTGATTCTCAGGAGACTTCGCCTTATTGACCTGGAATTGATGCTGAAGGAGCAATCTTGCGTGCACCAGCATTTTTCTCTGACAGTCCATGGAAGTGTGCCCCTGATCCCATTCACTCAACGGAATCTCCCAAATTGCATCTCTCCCAGAGGGCTCCTGAGTTCTGGCATCGATAATGAAAACATCGATTTGGTCATCGAAAGCGCTGAAAGCGCTGCTTATCCGAGCCTGTGCTTCAGTTGAATTGCCAGAGACCAGAGAGTCCAGGTTGACTGCGATAGCCCTGTCTGTGAAACCTTGACAGATGTTAGTATATATTATTTTTCATTTTACAAGTCAAGTATACCTAAGGAGCAAGCGCCAAAGGCCTCTGCAAATGGTACAGAGGCCCCTGTGATGATGATAGATTGGTTGGTGACATAGGATCTCATGTTTGTGGAAGATTTGTAGAGGTAGGAGAATATTGTGGATCTCAATTCATTCTGATAGTATATCAAGAGTTAGTGGGCTGGGTGTTGCTTTATATTTGTGCATAGCATGGAATATATGAAGTCGACAGCGGGGTCATGATAGCTTAGTCTGCGGGGAAACACCAAAGGCCCCCAAACAGATGCAGATACAGTAACAGCCAGCGAGCAGAGAATGCTTGTTCCGATACTCTAAACTCGGACCACTCAATGCGGGGTTGCTATCAGAATAGAGCATTTGTCTTGATAGCAGCTCGTTGCCACCAGGATGCGTTTTGCGCGCAGTTTGACTGTGAAATCCCACCGCTGGACTTTTGCCCATGCCTTATCAATATATCCCCATGGCAAGAGCAAGCGAAAAGATATCGCCTTGTGGGGTTTTTGATCAAAAATAAGGTGTACCTAAAAATAACAGAAGATAAAAGCTTTTCTTAAGCCAATCCTATCATCGAGGTCAATCGCGTCTTGGCTTTCTAGTAAGAGCCAGCGATCTGTTTTCACATATTTGTAGTTTGTATGTAGATAAATGGTTGTTCTTGTGATTAATCAAGGGAACTGTAAAAAAAAACAAAAATCTTAAATATCTAAAGCTATTTCCGTCGAAAGATGTTGAGTGATATAGTTTTTGATTGCGTTGCAACTCATATCTACTGTCATGGCACAGTTTGAAATCAAAAAAGATCCTGGTGATCTAGAGTCTTCCATCCAAGGCTCGACAAAAGAGGCTATTGAAATTGGGGCCACACCTGTCCTCGCAAAGAGTTTCAATCTTTTCAGTGCTTGCGCGACTGGAGTCACTACCGGAAATGCTTGGGCGGTTCTGGGAGGCGGAATTGTAAAGACCAGATATTTTCTCTAGATTATGCGCTCCTAACACCTCTTAGATTGCCTCTCTCTACAACGGCGGACCACCTGGGATAATATATGAGTTGTAGGTCATTGCAAGCTCATTGATCTTCTCAATGCTAACGCCTAAATAGCGCTACTGCTTCCTTTTTCTATTGCTTCATTGCCGCATCAATTGCCGAGCTCGCTTCTGCCATTCCAGCATCTGGAGGAGTCTATCACTGGGCGACTATCACCGCTGGTCCTCGTTATGGCAGAATGTGTGGCTGGTTCGCAGGATGGCTGAATGGCCTTGCGTGGACATTCGCTGTAGCAGGAAACTGTTCTATGACTGGAAGCATGATTGTCTATTCATACGCACTCTATCATCCAGAGGTAAAACCGCAGCGCTGGCATGTTTTTGTTTGCTATTTGATCATCTCCTGGCTATGTTGTCTTACTGTCATGTTCTGCCAAAGAGCTCTCCCGCTCATCAGCAGAATCGGATCATTCTTCATTGTTGTCGGGTTCAGTATCACGGTCTTAGTCTGTGCTGTTATGCCGAGTCAGAATGGAGCAGGATATGCATCGAACTCATTTGTCTGGAAGGACTGGAACAACATCACCGGTTACCCGGACGGATTCACATTCCTCGCAGGCATGTTGAATGGGGCATTCGCAATCGGGGCCATTGACTGCGTCACTCATATCGCCGAAGAAATCCCCGAGTATGTAATATTGTTCCATCCCAGATAGTTCTTTCGCTGATACTTCAACTAGTGCAAGACGAAATATCCCAAGAGCACTTGCTTGCCAAGTGACAATCGGCTTTGCGACTGGCTTTTGTTATTTAATCTCTATGTTCTATGCTGTCACCGATCTGCCACTAATTGTGAACGCCGATTCCATCTCTCCCCTGGGTGATATATACTTGCAAGCAACTGGCTCCCGAGCGGGTGCTGTGGGGCTTCTTACTCTCACGATCGTACCCATCTTCTGTGCAACGATCGGATGCTATATTACCGCAGGAAGGACATTTTATGTCTTGGGTCGCGACGACGCAACCCCGCTTTCCAAACATATTGGCGCCATCAGTCCGACATGGAATAGCCCATTGTATGCCACTTTGGCATGTGGGGTGTTTCTGACATGTGTCGGGGCAATTTATGTGGGATCATACACTGCATTTGAGGCTTTCATCGGGTCATTTGTGCTTCTCACGACAATCTCTTACTTCCTTGCTATATTCCCACATTTGATAACAGGGCGCAAAAACATCCGCCCTGGTCCATTTTGGATGGGGAAAGTTGGTTCTATTGTCAATTCTGTCGCGTGCATGTACATTGCCGTCTCGTTTGTGATTTACTGCTTCCCTTATGCCCTGCCAACATCTCCGGAAGAGATGAATTATACTAGTGTGATCACATGTGGATTGACCTTGCTGGTGGCGTTGTGGTGGATATTGCATGGACGAGGGAACTATACGGGACCACAGGTGGATTTGCATTGAGATAGTAGATTGGAACATTCTACAACATACGCTGATTTTTGTGAGCTTTTGCAAAATCTGACAACAAGAAAGGTTCCTCGTGTCTCTAAGTTATGTTATGTACGATATATACATCAGGTACTCCGTATGTTGTACTATGTAGTGTCTTAGTTTAAGTCTCGCTGGCTCCTTCCTTTTTCAAAATGCCAAGCCCCACTCATTCAAACAGATAAGATAAGAGAACACTGATAAGAGTGGATCTTGATAAGAGGCTCTCCAAATACGTTGTGTAATGGAATCAAAACCATTTAGAACCCCCCGCATTGGAGGGGTTGGGAGGAAATCGCAGAACCGGAGTGGAATATGGGATTTCCTTGACTAACAATTATACCTCTTGCTCCCGACTGACCCCGCACGTATCTCAAGCTAGCTCCACTATTGACACCGTTGGGCTTGACATTTGACCTCTTACCTTGGCGTTACTCCAACTGCACGCTGTGTCATGACGCCAGTCTATTGATTGTACCCCTCACGAATACCAAACACTGGAATTGCTCGTATTGAGAGTCAGCTCTATATCGACGAAACCATGAGTGGTTCCATGAGAGCTCCTAGAAAACAAACCAAGCGTCTTCGTCAAGCAAAACAGAAGTCGGTGACGTTCACAGGGTAATCCTCAAGTATATTTAAGCTTACACATACTCTTGAAGCTGACAAAAACAGGTGCTGGACTTGCAGGACTCGGAAGGTCAAATGCGATGAGCGTCAAAAGAATGGCTGTGGAGTCTGCCAAAAGTCTGGCCTAGAATGCGCTGGCTATGGTGTGAATCTATGCTGGATGACAGATAAGAAGCGAGATCTTCAAGGCTTGCGGCGCAGACAAATCAGACTAGGTAAGTCTCAGCCTAGCCCTCTTTCAAAGGCACACTCGCTAATAACATTCTTAATCAGAACAATCCACCTCTCCTAGCATTTCCGAGGAGGAGATCAACCGAATTATATCCTCTCTTGACACAATCTCAACACCATCGCGCACCGTCAGTATAGGACCCTTTTCAATATTCTCCAAATGGGAGCATGGCGACGATGAGGATGTCGAACCCCATGCTTTATTGGAGAATAGTCATCGGTCCCAGGACGGTAGTTCTGAGATCACACCTGGTCAGTTGGATCTAGTCGACCTGTCCAGCGAAATTTTTGAAATAATTCCGAATGATAATGTCATTCATCGTGCAGAAATCCATGAAATTTATGAATTGGATTTCTCCTCAAACTGGGAGTCATTACTAGCGGTGTTGGATACACCAAATTCCCCAAGGTCATCATACTCGCGAGAACGGCCTCTCACATTACCTCCATCACCACAAATCGGGATTTCAATGCCTTTATTCAAGGACCACAAAACATCCATGCTAATGTATCACTACAAAAATCATGTCGCCGAGCTCCTACAGCCAGTCTTCCATCCGAGGAATCCCTGGCGCACAACATATCTCCCATTCGCCCTCGAGGGCTGTCCTGACTTATGTCTTGTCCAAAATACAGGGCCTACCTCAGGTGTCTCAATTTCACTATTCCACAGTATATTATCATCGGCTGCATTCCACCTCCGGAACGTCATGGATGGCTCAAGAGAATACCACAACCTTGGCCTCCAGCATAGGGCTAAAGCCTTGCGGGCACTCAAGTTTTCACTCGTAGCTCCCAAGGACTCTCAGCAATATACCGTCTATCTCACGGCAATCCTCTCATTAGTCACGATCGATGTAGGTGGCTTTTATTCCATACTATGAAATATTATTGAATCTAACAAATTAGACCATGACGGGAGAAGATTCAGATTTCCCAATTCATCTGAAAGGGTGTCGCCAGCTACAAAAGCCCGACAATGCCTCCGAGGCTCTCGATGACTCCAGTCGGCAGGTCAGCAGTATTTGCCATTTCCTAAGTCTTCTGGCTCGAACAACGGCACACGAGCTAGAACCTAGGCCCTGGACAACAGGTGGTCCATTCTTCGAGGAGCCTTACTTCCACAACGACGACACCAACATCCAATACATGTATGGGATCACCCCATATCTAGGAAATCTGTTACAAAAAGCCTGTCAGGTGGCCGAGTATATGGCTTTCTACGAGGATGTCGAAATGCCATCAATTCTGCTCGAGGCATGCTCGGCATTACATGATGAAATCTTTTCGTGGGACATAGACTCTGAGTCTTTCGATCTCATTGTGTCAGAGGAGCCGGCGACGCTTGAAGTAATACGTTACCAAGCCCTAGCATTTCATAGCGCGATCGCAATTTTTTATTATCGAGCAATCGAGAACTCCAATCCGGTGGACCTCCAACAGCAAGTCGAAGCAATTTGGAAGAACCTCACGCTAGCGGAAGACCTCAAAGACGCATACTTGCGTGGCGAAAAACGCGCAGCTCCTATGTCCTGGCCGGCATTTATCGCTGCATGTGAGGCAACCGATCGAGAGCCTTGGGTTGAATGGTGGGAGCGAGTCCAGGAGTACTCAATGGGCAATTTCAAGAGGCAATGGAAGGTTATACAGGAAATTTGGAACATCATGAATTTAGACGAGAATGTGGTTAACTGGAGAGATGCTCTCAAACAATCAGGCAAATTAGTCTTGCCGATTTGAAAGCATCATATAGCGTGAATCATACATAGTTGAAATCTCAAAGTTCGAAACATGCGTCAGTCTCTACTTACAACTCATCCTTGGAAGCCGGGGCCTTGGACTTGGGACCGGTCTTCAACTTCGCCATGGAAGCGAGAATATCAACGATCAGATCAGCAGCGGCAACCGAAGTAGTCTCAGCAACAGTGTCGTAAGGAGGACTGACTTCCACAACATCGGCACCGACAAGATTCACACCTTCAAGGCCCTTGATGAAGCGCTTCAGCTCACGAGTGGTCCAGCCGCCCGACTCGGGAGTTCCGGTCGCAGGAGCGATGCTAGGATCGAGGACTGATTGAAGAAATTAGTTTTTGATATATTGGACTGGGCAAAGGGAATTCTCACCATCAATATCAATAGAAAGGTAAGTCGGAGTATCTCCGACAACGCTGCGGACCTTCTCAATGATTCCAGACATGCCAATATCGTCAATCTCGTGGGCCTCGATAATGGTGAATCCAACGTTCTGGTCGATCTCGTAATCCTTGGGACTCTGTTGATAATTTTAATTAGTATTCATTCCCGACAAGAGACCTGTAGGTACGACTCACGAAAAGCTTAGTTCTCAAGCCACCGTGCACACTCGTTCCCTTGGCGATACATCCCTCCCGGCTTGCATGCCAGAAGAAAGTTCCGTGTGTGATAGCGGACTGGTTGGAAGCAATTCCAGTGTAACCCTCATAAGGATCCCAAGTGTCGAGGTGAGAATCCAAGTGGATAACGGAGATCGGTCCGTAGACGTGCTTCAATGAGCGCAGAATAGGCAAGACAATCGAGTGATCTCCGCCCAGACTGACAATGCGGGGGTGTTCCCATGAGTTACCCTCGGAGGTAGGGTGGTAGAGAATCTGTCTGTAACCCTGTTCCATCTGCTTGAAAGCGTGCGCGGCATCGAATGGGGTGATGGGGATATCTCCACAATCAATCTAGTTATGGATTAGCCGACTCCACAATTGCATTGCATTGTTTTTCATTGTTGTAAATGCGCTGCACTCACAATTTCAAGACCCTCGTCATAAGGGTCAACTCCCCACACGGTGTTATAGCTGCGACCTTTCTTTTCGCGCGCAGATCCTGCGCGGATACCTCGAGGGCCGAATCGTGCGCCGGGACGGTATGAAGTGGAGGTGTCGTAGGGGAAGCCGAGAATGGCGATGTCGAGAGGCTTTTGCGCGGGTTAGGTCTGAGTTGGATTATTGGGTAAATAGATGCTTCCGCTGTAACATACCTTATTGTGAGATGCTGCGAGACATCTTTGCCATTCCAAGTGGGCGAATGTGACGGGCTGAGAGAATGGAAGATCGACGTCGAGATCTATTGTTTGTTTAGTTATGTTTATTTTTCGGTTTGTCCTTATGCGACTGACCTTCTATCGGGTGGTTATATTCTGGGCCGACATTGAGAGCAATGGCGCCCTGCAAAAGAAGCGACAGTGTGGAAGTTGTGAAGCGCATTTTGAAGATTTATTCGAAAAGTTGCACGTCAAGGGTGGAATTGGGATATCCATTGGTATTTATAGCCTTTACATCTACATAGCTAGCTAATTGCTATCTTATTACCATATAGAATAACCCAGCGAATGCTACAAATCTGATCAAAGAGGAAAGTTGTCTCGCAGACTCTTTCCACAACTATCATGCGGGGACTCCCGACTTTGCTTGACGCTAAGATAAGTGACCCCAACGCCGTTACCGGTGGTCCGCGATAATGGAATTATTGGCTAATCGGACTTACCGCCTTTTCCTACGCTTTTACACTGTGTACGCATAGATGTAGTATTTAGTTACGTGTGTTATTATTTCGAGATAATAGTATCCACATAGAAATGAGATGGCAAATGAGAGGCTAGAAACAGCTGCCTTCGACGCCGTTAAGCCTCCGATTCACTGTGGCTGATCACGTGGATCTATCTCCACGGGTAGGGCGATCTAATGCCACCATCATCTCTCGTGGGTAGACTTCCGCAGAGCCCACAAAGCCCACTGCGGGTTAATGGGCCCCCAAATGGGCCCCAAACAGTACAAATATACCGAGAATTCAGAAGTTGAACCCCCTTGTAGGGTTTTTAAAATTATCCTTAGTTTTACCTCCGTTTCTAAGCCTTATCCTAAAGGTAATATTTTATTAGTTTGAATGATTTAGAATCAATCACTAGTTGTCTCTCTATATCACGTTTCAAAATATAAAAAAGCGCGTTATTTAGATAATTTATAAATTACAGAAGCACACTTAGAAAGTGGTAGTATTCCTATACAAAACCAAAATATATATGTAATGGTATCTCGACTTTTACCAGTTAGAGTTTATTCAAAATTAAAATATATACTTATATAGCTACTATAATTCTAGATTCTAAATTTGAATTTTATATACCTAGTGGAAGGTTGTAATACAGCGATTACAGAGGCCGGCTAGGATGGGCTTTAATGGGGGCCCATAAGCCCCCACTGATGGGCTGTGGGTTGGGTCGGGTTTCGAAGGTAGGGCCCATTTATGGGAAGTCTAGCCGCACCACCCGGGTTCGGAGGAGAATGTATTCTCGATGAATTGGGGTATTACTAGGGCGCTATGTCGGTTCTATTGGCGTCGGCGATATCCAGTGTGATATCACTTCAAAGATTGATATTTCTCTTCAATCAACATAAATTTCACCTTATTTGGATCTGTTCGTATTATATCGGATTGAATGCTGTTCTGGCAGCCTAGTTGGCTACGGAAGAGTATAGCCACGAAATTAACGAGAAATGAATTATAAGATTGTTTATCTACCTACTTTAAAGGACCTTGGGATCAGACTATGTACATACTCAATTAATGAGATGGCAAACGGTCCCACGATAAGAAGGCTTAGCATCTTCCTGGTGGACGCCATACCCAGGCCACCAGCCTTGGCCTCTGCTAACCCCTCGATCCTTCCACCTGAAAGAAGCTATAACCATGCAACTTTCATCCATCTCATCATGGGAGGTGAAAAAAATATAGTACGTTCCGTCATAACTTTTAAGGACTCACCCCGAATATTAACATTAAACTAGTTCCTTGCCGCTGGTTCCAAACCTGACTCTGGGTATCTCGCCACCAGAAATAATCGAAACAAACCCATCCTATGTCAGCAAAGATGCGCTCGTCATCACACTCCATCGCGAGAAAGACGACAGTCCGAGACCTTTGATTTTTAAATGGCAATCTGCGGCAGAGTTCTTTAACCCCTCCACACTCGGTCTATTCCGCATTATCTCAAGCGGAAAAAATTCCGAGTCCGATGTCCAGGAGAAGCAAGAAATTCAACTGCCCGTACAGGACAACTGGACAGAGCCACAGCCTTTCATCGTCGGACAGTCTGCCGGTGGTCATGTCATTGAACTTGGTCCTGACAGGTCTATGAGTTTTAAACACAATTTTCCGAACTCGTGGCGACAGGTTCTTGTTGTTGGTGAAACTTATGAGCTTTTTTGGAAGGGCGCAAAACCGCTTGTATTATGGGACTGGGGCAGCGTGGATGGGTATATGGGTAAAAGATTGGAGGTGAAAGAGGAGACAGAGAGAATCCACGTTCGTTATGGCAGTAGCGGGGGAACTGAGGATAATAGCGATGAGCCTGCAATGCTGATGCGTTTTACTGCGGTTGAGAAATATCAGAATTTGGAGCCTGTGATCACATCTCTGGACATCGACCCGGATCCAACTCCTCAGGGGGCGTAAGTTGATTTCCTTGCTTTTCTCTATTCTTCTATCTGCCTTCTGTTTCAAATATTGGGATCGCTAACGGCTGAAAATTCTAGTCTAGGAGCACCGATACTTAGCGTCTCGCTTGAGTTCGAAGATAGTTCTGGAGAGCTAAAGCTAGAAAATCAGGATCCGATGATGGATTTCCGAGTCACGGTTACATACCATGGCGTTGGAACCGATGATCCTGCTTCTGCGAGACCTATCACTTTTCACTACAACATCTTTGACGGCGAGACATACTATGCATTATATCGTTGTCGTTACGATGAATATGAAGTATGGGAATCTTGTGGGAAACGCAGTGTCTGTTATGGTTTCGTAGACGAGCTCGATGTCGAGGTTAATGTTGCTGATAATGAGAAATTTGTGAGTCTGCGGCCTGGCGAAAGCTGGACTACGACAGATTGTGTCGACAATACCTTGTGGAAGTTTCCAGAAGATCTTCACTTGGGAGATATGTTCCGGTTTGTATTCAAGGGCGCTACGATAGATTGGTGGGATTGGGGAAGTAAAGATCAGGCGCATACTCAGACAGTGGTCACCGTGCCATCTTTTCCTATGAGCAGTGTTGTCAACCCAGCTGATAATGATGGAAGGCCTGAAATAGTGGTGCCCGCCTCTAACCAGCTTGAGTTTGTTTTGGTTGACTAGATATACTGTATCTACAAAATGGAACGTTCCCAAGGACCATATACCTCCTCAAATTTACAATCATTAAACGATATCATTGCGGTCTACCTACAAAAATCAAAAGGTGAGACTGTATCAAGCTACCTATAGATTAAAATGGTGCAAAGTCTCCTAGAAGCCCCTCCCTTCCCATTTTCCTCTTCTCCCATTCCAAACCTCCCGTTCGTAGACAAACACCAATTCACAACAGTACCTATGGCGTTTTCCTTCCTAGAATTTGCATATTAGCACATAATAAAGACAAATGATCAAATTCCTAATTCTAAGGGCCACCTAACAAGGGTTCTGTCTCCCCAGTACCGTGAGCGGCGTTAACACCACGTCTCCAAATAACAAAGCAAAGAAGCGCTTGCCCAAGCGCGAAAAGGAAATGGTCCACAGGTACCCATGCTACCAGGCAGAACACCTCAGCCAAGCGCGACTGGTAGAAAGATGGCATATTTAACGGGGGCCATTCAAGTCGCAGGAGCCATGATACGCCCAGCAGGGCAAAAACAAGAGCTTGGATTGCGAGATCACGAATACTCATGCAGGCAGAGGACTCCTTCCAGCTCTTGTGGGCCTGAAAGATGAACGAGATAATGATGAGAAGGGTCACGACCGGGTTTATATACATAACGTGGGGCACGCTGAAAAGGGCGAGGCCAAAATCCCTGTCAGAATTATTGCTATGAGGGCCCCCGGTGATCACATCTATGAGTTCTGGGATAACAGAAATGAGAAGGAATACGGTGTATATAGCCACAGCGGTGTATTTGTGGGCGCGGTTGTCTGGAAGGTAGTGGAGTGTTAATGCGAAGCTGTAAGGGCTAGTCAGTAGGTGGTTTCAACCCATCAGATTCGAAAATTTTCATACTAGATAAGGAATAAGACGTAAGACACTGTCATCTGAGTGAAATTAAGCCAGTCGCCTACGCTGATTGGCGTATGAACAAAAACGGAACTGCCCGCGGTGTTGTTCACCATGAAGAAGAACACTATCGTGAACTGTTCCGTGGCAGCGATAAGATTGAAAAGCACATAGTAGGTCGAGATACCGGAGCTATCTTTTTTCAACCAAAGAGATTCGATCAGAGGATAGAAGGATGAGACTGTCAAAATGGAAAGAATGCTGACTGGTTGGTTAGACATGGAATCAATATTGGCTGGGAAAATGCATACATGCTCAGCAAGTTTGGGAACACCATGACGGTGAATAGGCAGCTGTAATGTCCTAACTCACTGATATGATAGTACGAGAGAGAAATTTCTTGGCAGTAATGCGTATACTGACATCTTTGAGGCTCGGAGAGAAGAGGGGTTAGATATTACGCGGGTTCCAGTTCGGGCATAGGTCGCACTGATCTAGTTAGTGCATGTCAGCCAATTTGGAGGTACTATCAGTACAGAAAAAAAAAAACAACTTGACCTTAGAACTGGTAATTATTTGAAATTGATAAAGTATAGGGCTAAAGTATCATCCAATCCGTAAAACATATATGCGACCTCATTTAAATCATTCAAATCAAACACATGGCACAACAACTACACATTAGTATACCGACATTGCTTAATGTGGTGTAAACTCGATCTGACACTCGTGTTCCTATTTCCATGATTAGTAAGTTTTCAAGAGAAATTCACTAGCTGAAACATACCCTCATTCCACTACAACTGTCATCATAGAACACTTCGTAACGGCCTGTGATGCCAGGAGAGACGGAGCCAAAATCACCCATTGGTGTGGTTTTATATTTTCGATAAACGGCTGCGACCAGAGTAGTCATTTCTGCCATTGCCAAACTGTTTCTTGTTAGCCATCTCTCATGATCAAAGCTGGAAGTTTTCCATATAGGGAACAGGGAACATACTGCATGCCGATACACATTCTTCCTCCACTGGAAAATGCCCAGAACCATTTCTTCATGTCTACCAAATTCTCAGAAGGATCCAACCAGCGGTCGGGGTTGAATTTCGTGGGATTCTTGAAGACTTCAGGGTTGCGGTGGAGAGAGTATGGGGCCATAGAAACCACTGTCTTGGGTGGGATCGTGTAGCCATCAATTGTGGCTGCCGAGGGAAGTGAGCGTGGCTCTGATCCGGGAAGAGGTGCGTAAAGCCGGAGTGTCTCTTTGATAACTGCATCGAGGTAAGGGAGCTTGTCGTTGCTGTCTACTCTGGGGATGCCATCCGAATTGAGCGATTCTTCGGGGATATTGCAGACTTCCTCAATGACCTTCTCTTGGAACACCTTGTTTTCTGGCCGAGAAAGAGCCCAGATCAAGAACATCAGTGTGTCGCTGGTGGTGTCAATGCCTGCCAGAAGATGGTCTGCACATTCTGCTGCAATATCAAGATCATCGATTCCGTTTGGCTTTTCAGAATGGTGGTGGCTCCACAGTCTAGAAATCAGGGCTGATGTGCCTGCTCTTGCGCTGGCAGAAGCAATAGCATAGTTCTGAGTGGCTTTCAGCGCGTGAAGTCTGATGCCGGTGTAAGTCGTGGGCAGTTGCATCGGGTACAGCCATTTCGCAATACAGCCACTGAAACCGGTCAACGAGTAAAGCCATTCTGTGAAATGAGGGAAATGAACTGCATACCACGACAGCTTGCGGCGTGCAATATCGATGATATCTCCAATGAGCTCGCGGTCTCGACCCAGCCCCTCAAGACATGCAGTCTTGCCGAAAGATCCGTAGAGGAACTCAGTGATTGTGTCCAGGGAGAAATAATGCAAGGTAGAAAAGATCTCGCTTTTTCCTCCATCTCGCTCCAAAAGGTCCATATACAGCTTGACTTTGTTCTCGACGATCTCCGCATTCTGTCCCTTCAGCATCACAGATTTGGCGTACGCAGCCGCGAAGAGCTTCTTTCTTTCTCCGTGCTGCTTCGCGGTCGCGAAGGAGAACATATTTTTGCGGCCGTAAACCTCAAACATGTGGTAGAAGCCGGTTCGCTCAAAGCCACTTCCGGCACCGTAGATTGCACGCAAAGCTGTGATGCTGTTGAAGGTCACCTCACTGGGGCCGATACGAACAACCGGTCCATATTGCTCGTGGAGAGAATTGATCTTTCGTGTGCGAGTTCCTCTGTAGTCCTCATAGGCTAATTTCCACCTGCTCAAAGCGAAAGACTTTGGACCGGGAAGTCTTGCAAGAGGGCTAAACAGGGTGGAAATACAGAGGTGGTAGACAAGAAAGGCTGCTGCGAAAGCAGCGATCAGGATTAAAGCCATTGCGTTTCAATTTGTCGAGCGATCACACGGAAGAACCTGGTTGAATTGGAGCGGTTTTGGCAATACATCATGGTCGTCTTTATAATGTTGTTTTATAGTTAGGGTATGAATATCGTCCGATGCAATAAGTAACTAGGTGAGTCACTATCGCAAAGTCTCCTGCGAAAACGGCAACCAGCAGCGAGACTTGGAGAGCGGGGTCTCATTTTCTTGGGAGTTGGAGATTTTGTGGAGACAATTTTAGAGATATGGATGTTAGCACATTCAATTTGTAGTATTAATATCTCCAATCGAACCATGTAGATTACCAAAACAATCCTGGTCTGTCAAAATTCCTTTCAGAGACATCCCAACTGACCTACCAAATCGCACCCACGAATTCCCCAATAATCACCATAAAAATGTCAAAGTTATTCGTACCATTGCAGTCGAGTCTGACGACACGTCTCTCAATGAGATGGGCGTCAGAAACACCCTTCGAGACCACCGACACACTGGTAATCACAGTTGGCGAATGGTACGTCGATCTGCGAGTCGATAAACAGACCGGCAAAATCGATTGGGCGCTCGCGGGAGAATGTACCGACGAGAGCAAGGACCCACGTATGCTCCCAAACAATTTTTCTGAACATCATTGCTACACCACACAATGACTAACTTGCGACAGGGCGCGTGGTGTTCACTCATGAGATCGACTCCCACCACAATTTCAACATTAGCAACCCATGTCCATTTATCCCACTCCCCAATGGGGATGAATTGGAGACCGGGACCATGGCTCGACCAGATATACCCGGAGCGCCGATGACGGATTACGAAGAGGTGTGGAGATATCTTCCGATTCGCGAAGGGCCGGAAGGGCCAGGGCGCGGCCTTGCGTGGATCATGGAGTCCGATGAAGGTATTCTGGAAGAGGGTCAGCACCAAGTTACCAAGATATTTTTAGCGCAAATTGGGGGCTCGTATTTGATCCTTTATCAGAAGCAAACCCATGTGGTTAGCCGAACACCCCTTGGGCAACGGGCTGTTAAAATCACTGGAGAGGGGGTGAGCGCGCGACGAGAAGAGTGGACGGATGGCCACTGGGAGATAAAATATGCGTTGGGACCAAACATCGATGATTTGCCTTCAATGGCTAATGGGCTGGATGTCAAAATGCGAGGACGTAAGAGCGGGGAGAATGTCGCCATTGGAGGGTGCGACTTCATCGTGCGTGCATATGCATCCGAAGCCACAGAAGCCCCAAGGAAAATCAGGCAATCTCGTCTTTAGGCCGGACAAAAGACCAGACAAAAACTATCCAGTCTTTCCAAGGTTGTTTTCTATCATGATTATTCATCAATGCAGTGTATCCATACTACTTGAAGCGCAATGGTCGCAACTACCATCTGGGTAAATATTGGCATTTCCCCTTGGGCATATTGAAAGGGCAGGAGATAGAAAAAAATGATCATTAAATGTTGTTCATATCTCAAAAAGCTGACCTATCACAGACAAGGTGACTAAAAGAGAATGTACAGATCGGAGGATCTATACACATTCTGCAGGACGCTGTGAGAGCTTCTCCTATACGCACCTAGCATGTGCTGCTGGTATTCAAACGCCCCCGCTATGCTTGATCGCCGTGAGTGCCGTCCAAACGATCAAAATTTGTTAGGTCAGTGCTCGCAAACTTCCAGGCTGGGGTATTTCGCTCGAAGAGAATATCGAGCTCCTCGAACGTTCTGCCCTTGGTTTCTGGTAGACACAAACAGGCCCAGATAATTACTCCAATGCTGAGTCCTCCAAACAAAAATCCAATTTTGCCACCCCAGTCTGCCTCAAGAGGGCTCATTGCATAGGGAAGGGCAGCTGTAAGAACAAGGGAAAAGATATGGGCAAAAGCACATGCCACACCCATTGTCTTTCCACGAATTGTTGTGCTTGGGATCTCAGCAATCAAGGCATAAACAAGAGGGCCGAGACCAAAGTTGTAAATGAAGAAAAAGACAAGCAGCATGGATGACTTGGCGTATAAGGCGGGGGTATTGGAAGATGGTGCGAGATCCAAAAATCCAATCAAAAACATCAAAACTCCAGTTGCGCAAGTAGTTAAAATGTAGGGGAGCCTTCTGCCCCAAATTGACAGTAAAGGCCAGGAAATGATATTTCCGACAATACCAAGTGCAAACATACCAAGAGAAAGATCAAAGGCCTGGTCTGTTGTCACACCTGCTAGCTGGAAAAAATATGTAGCATATGAAGACACAACGTTCACTCCGCAGAAAAATTGACCGCTGTAACAGATTGAGCAGATTGCAGTACGTCGGAAGTTTGTGCCCTTGAAGCAATCAAGGTAGGTGGCTGAGGATGTACACTGCTCCCCCAGTAGAATGGTTTCCTTCATATGAGCTAGGGTATCGTCGAGGTCCTCGGTATATCCAGTGCGCTTCAGGGATTTTTCTGCTTCTTCGTATCGCGCTTTCTTCACTAAAAACCAGGGCGTTTCGGGGGCAAAGAGTGCTCCTAAGATAAAGATCACAGGGAAAGCATATTCCGTGATGAAAGGGATCTTGTACGCCCATTTGTCCGCCCGAGTTTCTGTTCCACGCAAGATACCGATGGCAATGAATGACCCAGCCACCTGAGCGAAGTTGTTGGCTGCCAGTCCGACACCTCGAAGACTGACAGGAAGGATTTCACCGATGTATGCGGGTCCGAGGACAGGGAAGCCGCCGGTGAGGAGGCCAGTAAGGATGTCTCCGGCAAAAATAAGGCCTGCAGAGTTACCCAGAACTTCCATCAAGAGAGTTCCCAAAGACAGGGTGGTGCAGCATAACAGTGTTTTTCTGGGTCCAAAGCGATCGACGCACCATCCTGCCCAAAGCGGCGCTACCAAGAAGCCGATGATTGGTGCATAGGGAAATGCGGATGTCCAAGAAGAAGAGAGGACATAGTTGCCTGATCCAACAGGGTGTTCGTATCCAAAGTCTTTTCGGAATTGTGGAACACCGACCAAAGTGCCGAGGATTGTTGGATCATAACCAATCACGAAACCAGGAAGAATGAAGTATGCCGCCCAGAAGACGGCACTTCTGTGCTTGGTAAGGGCTTGTCGGATGGTCAGATCATGTTCTCGTTGAGTGGCCCTTTGAGAACTCTCGACCAACTCGCGTTGAGCGTCATGTTTCAGGTCTGGAGAGATATCCGTGGCTTGAAATTCAGAGGAAGCCATGTTGGGTGGTTTCTCCGGCTCAAACTAGCAGACAGGGGTCCATGTACTACCTATATACTCATCATTCTTATCCGAAACCCCTGCCACACATAGAGATTAGGATAATGCCGCCTGCCTAATCAAGCCTATTTTTTGGGCTTTCGGTATAGATACGCGTGCCAAGTGGGTACTGACCCCGCGTTGTAGAATTATAGCGCTTTTTGGAGATATAAGCCAAAAACAAGTAGCTCAATAGGTACTCTGCCCCACAATCCTGGAGGATATTGGCAGCCTTAGTTGAGAATGTTTGGACCACTTGTCTATCCCTTGTCTTCAATTGCCTCGAAAAATGTTGATCTCCATATTTTTATGTGTTATTATTGACTTTGGAAGTCGGCGGAGTCGTAAAAGGTATATGGATAGCTCTGGGCGACAAGTCTGCGAGTCTCTTCGTATTGAAATGGTGATGATTGGCTTGCCTTACTTTTAAAGGCGTCTATGTTAATCTACGGATGAGAGAAATATATAGAAACGACGTTATTAAAGTGCTTATCTCTCGCCCTCGATGGCAGATGGCTGACTCGCTTTCTTATTTGGCTCGCCTGCCTATTTGGGTAACTTTGCTTATCCGAGCTCTTATCTCTACATGTGATCTCCTGGGCACTGGACTTCCAATCCAGGTTGATTCAATGCTATTATATTAATTTCAGGCTCGAATTAGGAGCATTTTCAATTACTCTCGTCTAATCTTCCATATCACGACTTCCGCAATCCGTGGAAGCCCCTAATATGGAGCATCTGCCAGAGCGCCACCAACATGAGGATGTACCTGGAACTATCCTCCTCGTTGATGTAGCCCACGATAACAATTTATCTGGCCAACGGAAAGGAATAGTTCTACAACCACAACCCAGCACAGATCCAAATGACCCCCTCAATCGATCGCAACGATGGAAAAATCTCAACATCGGCATGGTATGTTTATACACATTTGCTATTGGAATATGCACGGCTGCACAATTCTCCATCATGACACAAATATCTGAATCCCAAAAAGTCAGTCTTGCGGACCTCAATTTGGGCACTGGGTTGATGCAGCTGATGCAAGGGTGGGCAAATCTTTTATGGCAGCCTATTGCCATGACCTACGGCCGCAGGTTGGTCTACCTTGTAACCATTGTGTTCTCCATTGGGCCAGTTCTATGGGTGCCGCTGGCTCATGGTGCCAGCCAGTGGTACGCACACCGCGTTCTTCTGGGACTATTCTGCTCGTCCGTAGAGTCTCTACCAGAATTGTCCGTCCAGGATATCTTCTTCGCCCATGAACGAGGAAACTATATGGCCCTATATACTTTTGTCCTGTTCGGATCAAACTTCATTGCTCCCTTTCTCGCGGGGTTCATAGCAGATGGCTTGAACTGGAAATGGGTTATGTACCTTGCAACCATCTTTTTGGGCATATGTGCACTGATCCTATTCTTTTTCATGGAGGACTCTATCTACTTCCGAAACACAGTCGAGAGCGGGGTCCAGCAATATGAGATTATCCCGGCGGATGACAATGGAGAGCAAGGAACTACTGCTACAGAGCGACTCGAGACTCGGGCAGCCACAACGCTAGGTGAGACTATTATGTCCACAGATCTGAAACCTCGTCGGCGGAGACTGGCGTTGGTTACAATGTTGCCAGGTCGTCCAACTCATAAGCAAATGGCAATGAAGAGCTGGCAGTCGATAAAAATTCCTTTCTACTTTCCTAATATTCTCTGGGCCGGTCTCTTATACGGATCAAACTTAGCGCTTTATAGCGTGATTAATGCGACAATTTCGAGTATTCTGGGATCCACGCCCTACAACTTCCCTCCGACAATGGTTGGTGTTGCTTATCTATCCCCTTTCGTCTTCGGTGGCGCTGCATCCCTTTGGGCGGGAAAGATTTCAGATTCTCTCGCAATCACACTGGCAAAGCGCAATGGAGGTGTCCGGGAACCAGAGCATAGGCTGTGGGGTCTTCTATTGTCTGCACCTATTGCTGCAGGAGGGCTGCTCATGTGGGGAGTAGGGGCTAGTCAAGAGGCACATTACATGGTTTTGATCATCGGTATCGGTGTCACCACCTTTGGAGTCGTTTGCGCAAGTGCGATATCTTTGGCATACGCCGTCGATTGTTTCAAAGAAATGGCCGGTGAATCCTTTGTTTCCATCAATATCATCCGGAATACAATAGGGTTCAGCTTCAGCTACGCCATTACGCCGTGGATCGAAGCAGTGGGTCTTCGAAACTGTTTTATCTCGGTGTCATTGATTTCGTTCTTTTGTACATATACATTCCTTGGTGTTGTTGTCTGGGGAAAGTCATGGAGGAGGATGTCTGCAGATCGATATTGGCAATTCGTTGCTACGGAGAGAGAGATGGCTCACGCATAGTTGCAGACCTAACTCTCCAGGCTCATACGGAGAATATATAATCTAGATTTACCAGCGAAAAATACGTTGATAAATTGCAGGTTGAATATAGATAGGGAACAGCAAATTTGAAGCATTATCATCACCCAGCATGTAACCTGGGCATGCCTAGGTAAATGCTTCTATATGACTCAGCACTCCCTGCGCACATGCATGGATCTATACAAGGAGCGATATCGTGTGCCACCAACACCATTATTTTGAGTATCACACCCCACAGAGTGTCACAAAATCAATACAATATCTGGAGAGACCTCCACTCCTCGATCCGATATCCGATATCCGATATCTTTCCAGATTGGGAAAATACATATTGCCATATTAGGCAACTGAGGCCCGTGCTCCCGAGTTGTCTCGGGAGTCCCCCTCGAGTGGATCTATGGGTGGATCGTGAACCCATAAATGCCGAGAATCATCAAAGGTTGGATAAATAAATGTATGATTCAGAATACATCTACAGCTACTGGATGTGGATGAAGCAGACCTTCCAAGAAATACTAAGAAGTACTCGAAGTTTGTACACTATGCAGTAGACCTCCGCAAAGCCCACAAAGCCCAAAGCCCAACCCACTCCAACCAACTACATAATGGGCTGGGTTTTGGGCCCGGTCCTTAGGCCCACCGGTAGGCTATGGGCCCGGGGTGAAAGCCCACTGGGCTTTGAATGGGGGCCCATAGGGCCCAAAAAGCACCAAACAATACAAATATTCCGAAAAACGTAACTTTTTTTGATTACTACATGTGTAGACCCCGTTTCTCGCCTTTACCTAGGGGCCATATTTTATTATTGTAATTGACATATAGTAAATTAATAGTAAAATATGTTAATCACGTTTAAAAACGCGAGAAACGCGTGGTTTAGAAATTTGATAAATTATAGTTTCACTAAGAAAGTGGTAGTGCTCCTGTGTAGATCTAAAATATATATCTGATATCAAAGCATATATTGACCTTTTTTCGACCTCCACAGGTTGGATTTTATTTAAAACTAGAGTATACACTTATATAGTAATTTCAATTATATATCTCAAATTTAAAGTCTATACAATCAGTAGAAGGGTCAGAACACAGCGATTACAAGATCCTAGTTGAACCCCCTTTGTTGGGCTATAATGGGGGTCTTATGGGCCCCCACGAATGGGCTGTGCGTTGGGTTGGGCTTCGATGGTCAAGCCCATAGCCCACTGCTGGTTGGGCCTTGGGCCTGAGGTCCGGGCCCATTTATGGGCTTTGCGGAGGTCTACTATGAAGGCAAGACGATCAAAATTCCCATGATGTAGTATATGTACTGTATCAGGCAAAATAACGTATTCACTTCTAAACTGTGCTTGGACACAAGATCATGAAATTGCATCACAAAATATTTTCTAAAGGGGATTATGATAAAACCATCTATGCGCTCTTGGCGAGTGCTTCCCGTCTACCAATGCTCTTGGGATCCAAATAGGGTCTCTCTCCAAGGCCGACAGCACGGTGTCCAGTGCGCGGGCCAAGTCCCTTATAATCCCAAGTAGCTGCGTGGTATACCGATCGGTTATCCCAGATAGCTATCACAACAGTCAGATACAGCGATCACGAAATTTCACGGGGGATCTTACCAAGATCATTCGGGTTTTGCCAGCGATTGCGCACCTGGAGATCGTGGTTCTCAACAATGAGACTCACGAACCAGTCGAGAAGCTGACGGCTCTCCGCCTCGGTGACACCGTTGACCTTCTGCACGTGTGTGCCGACAGCGAAGACACTCTTCCAACCGGTGACAGGGTTGGTACGGATGACAGGGTGCTCGGCTTGGAGGTCCTCGCCGACATTCTCAGGTGCACCACGAGGACCAGGGTGGATGGTGAAATCGTTGCGCTTGGCAATTTCGTTGAAGCCGGGTTGCGCATAGGTTGCGGTCAAGCCCTCCAAGAACTTCTGGTAGGGCTCGGAGATACGATCGTAAACCTCGTAACCTGAGGCCCACAAGGTGTCTAGAAGAGGGTTAGTGTCCTGGACTACTTCATAGGGAGTATACAAGAGATTCTTACCGCCACCGGTTTTAGGAAGCTCTGTGAGACGCAAGAGAGTATAATCGCTAGGAATGGGCTCGAAGGTGATGTCACTGTGCCACTCTTTGCGCGCACTCTGCTTTAGCTGGTCTTTGATCTGGTACAGCTTTTGCCAGCTTGCGGAGCTGATCACACTAATCTCATCATCCTTAACGCTGTGTTCCCGGCCAGAGTTTGCTACTGGGTGGATATGCAAACCAGAGGTGCTTGGCTTGCCTGAGAGTTCACCAAGTCGTTGGACAAGTTCCTTTTGCAGGTCGTCGGTTAGACCATCCTGCTTACGGAAGAATACCACTCCTCGTTGGGAGACTGAGATGTTCTGTTAGCTCTATCTGTTACTCAAATTCTCGTGTGCAACTTACTGGTTAGAGCAAGTTCCCTAAGCAGATCATCGGAATTAGGGGCGCGCAGGAAGTCCTTCAAGTTGGCATTGGGGAATTCCCTTCCAATGACCGGAGTGACGTCGAAGGACTCAAATGCATCGAGGGTTCCATTGGACTTGAGAGGCTCGCGTGCGAGGCCTGTCAGTGTAATCTTGTCCTCGACGATGGGGACCACCGTAGGTGCGGTTTCGGTGACAGCGGATGCCATGGTTCAGGATGTTAGATATAGTAGTGTGTTGGATATAGTCGTGATTGTTGTAGAGCGTTGGTTTTTTGATGCTGGAAGATGAAAGCTAGGACCATGGCATCCATCTTATACTTCGCGTCGCACTGGATTTTGCCGATTATCCGCTTGCGACATCTGTTCATTGTCGTGCCCAGACCTCACCGTTACAACCCCGCAGATCTGGAACGTGGTTGTCGCACAGTTAGAGTGAAATCACGTCTTATACATTGATCATTGTGGTAGATAACAGTCAATTTCTGCTGTCAAAGTTGAAATTCGTCATTTTCCCCAGGAATTGTCTGACATCCCGCCATCTAGAAATGTCACTGTGATGGGATCATATCTGATGGAGGTTGCGCAACATAGCTGATTACAAAACACACTATACCTACATGGGATAGAGCCAAAAGCTATGTGCAATCAGATCAATCCAAAATAATTCCACTGCTCGCTTATTTTATTAACTGCATACGTATTCGTTGGTCGGAGGTACTTTACATTACTCCGTTCATGCATAGGAGCTATTCAAGCACGTCATGTAGGGTCCGGCCAATAGGACCAAACAGGGGAGCATCTTCTTTTAGATCTGACACCTGGCTCCAGTGAATTAGTTATCATAATGCGCTTTATTGGATTATACAGCCTAAGCGAGATCAAAAGTTGTTTATTGCTTTAATATCGAGATGTACGGAGTAACCTCAATGCTCCGACGGACTAAGCTGGACCTTCCCCTTTATTTCACATATAAATCTGTCAAATGCCTGATTCTCTGAAACATAATCAATGGGCAAATCGGAAATCCAGCCGTTTATTTCCTTCGTCCTTGGTGGTTGCCAAATAGTTTAATTTTTCGTTTTCGGTCATGGCGTTCCATTTCTTGTCGCGGCTTTGATTGCGCCAAACATAGTATACCTTGGTCAATAGATAGATGAAGATATTCGAGACAGCAAGTCCCACCAAAGCACCATTGCCTCTGCGGTAGCGGGGGGCGTCATCTGAACCTAATTAGAATATCGGACAAATGTATAAAGAAATGGAAGTCTAGACGAACCAGCGCGATAGATATTGGAAGCAATGACTGCCGATGCTTGGACACACATGTTGTACATGGCAGCCGAGACTGTACGGGATCGGACAGTGTTCGAGTTGCGGGAGTTCCAGTTAACTTGAATGGCATGCGCTGTGATTTTGTGAGCAATGATACCAAAGTATGCAGCAGATATGGAGGGATGAGATTACCGTTTGGATATGCCAGTAGCAGTGTCATCACAACCCACACACTCCACTTGTTCGCGGTTTCGATGTCGACCACATATAAATAGACCAAGAAGGGAAGTATCCATATTTGCCCAATCATAGATACCAATGTTAATTGGCGACTAACCTCGGAGATGTATGTGAGGAGTAGAAGGAAGAAAATACACAGCACTTCGCTGGGAATAACCAAGAGGTTGGTCACAAAAGTATCGAATCCGAGACCCCTCAGAGTAAGAGTTAGATATTGCTTGGGGGTGGTTACTGGTGTCTGGAAGGTGAGTCCGAGGATGTATATGGGCCAGAGATCATAGTCCTTGAGACTCTTCCAAAGTAGTTTGGGCGTAATAGGTTCTCGATTGTGCATGGATCCTTTGCTTGGGTCATCCCGAATCACTCGATTAACAATGATGGTTTCCTCGCTATGAATACTATCAGTAACAATGCGAGCATTTGCACATGAGAAAAGAAATGACTTACCGCGCAGTAAACCAGCCCGATTTACCCCGAGACCAATTAGCGGTTTGACATGGTCCTGGTGGCATCAAAATGTATGCAGATAGACCAATTAGAAGTGTCAGAAGGCCCTACCCTGGACGTTAGTGATTTACCCTCTCGAATCATATGAGATGCCTACTCACTTCGAGCAAGAATAGCCAGCGCCATCCCGATTGTCCTTGCACACCACGAAGATGCAAAAATCCGAAAGCCAAGAATCCAGCAAGAATATCCGCAATATTCATTGCCGTCCAAAAGAACCCGAGTCGCAAAGAGAGCTCATGGTGTTTATAGAAGTAGGAAAGATACAATATCACCTTCGAGTCTGTTAGCAGTGACCTATAACAAGAATGTGAGCAACTTACATCTGGGATAAATCCACCTTGCAAAATACCAAGCAGGGCACGGCATAAGAGGAATGTTGTTTTTCCATTTAGCCCATACTGTGCCATGGCAACTGCAGACCAAAGAACCATTTGGGTAGGAATCCACCGATCAGGCCCGACCCATTTACTGAGGAGCTGGGAGGGAAGCTCGGCACAGAGAAATGAGAGCTTAAACACCGTGTTACCAAGATTGTAGTCTGAAGATAGAAAGTCTCCCATTAGCCCCGGGATATTATGAGATGGAAGAGAAAACTCCGATTCTGTATTTACCATTCGTAGTCATATTCAACTCGGGAAGCATATTGTCGGTTAAAGCTTGTGCTAGATTGGACCGATCTAACTCCAAAGCAATGAACATGAGGCAAGTGAATACCATGATGCGAAGGTCAATCTTGCGAACCAACTTGTATTCTTCGCTCCATGTCCACCGGGCAGATGGGTCGAATCGGTGAAGATTCTCCCAGTCGGCCCGGGGCTGGTATTCCTTCGCAGTATCAGGGTTGTCATAGACGGACGGCTGGGTCGCAACTGCTTCAGGGTTATAGCCTTTTCCTCTCTGAAACCAAAACCGACGTTCCTCCCCGGGTCCACCCAAGGGCGCGATCTCAAGACTAGTAGATGAGTCTGTGTCTGTGCTTTTGAGAACTGAGATGGACTCATTTGGGGTTTTCTTTGCGGTGTATACAGTGGCCATCTTGAGGAACTAAAGTTACTCTGACCGAGTTGTGAGAATTATTGAACTCCTCTTTCTGCCCATGATAAATTTGGGTTCTCTGGGGTCTTTTTATACATCCTGGAGTGACGATCTCATCGGGATAGTTTGCCTTTGACATGGTTTTTCTGATCACAGTCCACTTGGCACTTGGTCGCATCATAAGGCCAAGTATCGAACAATTATTCTGTTGGTTGTGATGTGAGGGGTTCAGGGTCAACACGGGTGAAAAGCTAGGGGTAATGGCATCTTGGTGGCTCAAGATCGCATCATTCCGTCGAAAAACCACATCTTATCCAACTCAAAAGTAAAGTACGACTAAACACATATTATCCAACGAGGGACTGTTGACGAAATAAATACATTTGCCGAGAAAAGCGCAAATTCTCAAATGTCTATCAGTGAGATCATTTACCATGATTGGTCCTGTTTCCCTTTCAAAATGTTCGTTAGTGAGCAGCGTGACGCCAATTCCCTGGGTACAAGAGAGAAATACGATGCAGTTAAGCCCTGAAACATTTGTTCATCAATGAATGCTTCCAGCCAAATATTGTCAGTACTTTTGCGATCTTACCAACATCGCCGTTGATATCGAATCCCGTAAGACAAGCCGTAGAAATAGTTCAAATGCCGATTCACAACACAATAATTGTGCATATAATAATAGAGTGAGGAGCCAGACATTTAGTCATTATTGACTAAGTCTAGTTCCAACGAGGAACGGAGTTTTAATCCAGACCTATCAGTATGGCACTTGAACAGTCTAAACCCAGTTCAAATGAGCATTAGAATTGTAATGCGAGCACCTGTAAATTCTTTTCCTTCCTAGTAGTTTTGCTGCTTTCGGCATGGTTGCCCCGTACGCCGTCCGGTGAACACCGCCCTGGACCACCTCTGGTATATAAAAACCCTCGCTCCCAGTTCTACCATCGTTACATCACCTTTCCTTCTCTTACCAAAATTCACCCTCCTATTTTCTGCACTCACTCGCACCCCGCCGTGGTTTCATCGGTCGCTCACTGCCACCCCCTTTTCTCCCTTCCTCGGAGTTTTGCGCCTGCGCCCTCCATCCAGACGTCTCCACTTCCCAGTTTCTTTCGTGCGGTTGCATTGAGCGGCGGTTGAGCTGAATCTGTCTTCATCTAGCCTACCGCCTGTAGCACATTCGAAGACACTAATCTTCGACGTCCAGCATTCCATGCTTTTTTGCCTTACGCTGTATGGGTCAGGCCCCCAGGTTCTTCGTCATATGGGATGATGCTTCCATCCTTTGGCGGCTAGTTTCAACGACACAAGGAGCTGATTAGGTACAGAGGACAGGGCTTCGCAGCGAGCTCAGAATTAGGCAAAGGCCGCTTGAAATTCAAGAATTTTGATATCGGAATAACAAGTAGGCGCAACTCCTTCCGCGTGTCGAATGATAATGTACTCTCAACTATCCGTCCTGGTGATCGCCGCCCGGTACCCTGCTTTTTGACCTTTTGATTATGTCACGATGTGCAAAATTTGGAAGGACTCAATTATGCCTCCGACTCCAAGTGTAAATCGTAAATGCACTAAGCATTATCGCCAACGTCGTTATATAGCAGAAGCTGTGCTGATGGTATGACGTCGTGACCCGCTGGACCATTGGTAGGTAGCAAGTTCCTAGACGGCCACAATATCTCATCTGGCCCGTTCTCGATTCCAGCGTTTTCCAGCTCTTGACACAGATCGAAAGCAGTACTGAATGCCCTCTTAGTCCAACATTTGTCAATTATCGAACCAAGCCAGACACCCTGTGTACTAGGAAGATCCTCCCTTCGAGGCCATCTACCTCAACTTAGTTCTGGAGAGATGTCTTTAAAAATATCAAACTCGCATTTCTCCCCAACAACAACCTCGTACATCACAGACCCCAGCTGCCCAATATCTGTCCGTATAGAATAACCTCCAAAGTCAGCCTTTTCGATACACGTATCGAGAGGCAGTTTGATGGACTCCGTAAAGTCACAGAGTTTGATTGATAAACTAGAGTCGAGAAGGAAGTTGCGGCTGGCAATATCTGCCACAATAATTCGTCGTTCGTGGATATATGCAAGCGTGCGAGCCATTGCCCGGAACCAAGAAAGCTGGAGATATTTCGGCGGCCTTTTCTGTCTCAAGTAGGAACGTAGGTCGCCGTTTTCCATCACGCGAAGTGTGGTGGCTGTCTCAGAGAAACATAGGAAAGGAACGACGCCATCACACTTTCCCAGGCGCTTGTATATGGATTGTTCGTGTTGAAGGGATTCGATATTCGCTTCAACTTCCTCATCGCTGCTCGTGCTCCACTTGAGAGGTAGTTTGATGGCAAGTTCCCCGCGACGAACTACCACACCTGTTCTTCCAATGCCGAGAATCTGTTCCTGAGAGAAAGAACCGACGGTATCGACATTGCGGGAAGACGCCATTGGTCCTCCACTGCGAAGAATACTTGGAATCGCGGAGGCAAAAAAATGATTTGTGAGCCGGCTGAACTTCTCAGAGGAATATTACTTCTGAAATGCAATGGGATGGCAGATAAGTTTAAAGGAGGGATGTGATCACCAGAGGGCTGGGGCGGTGTGCCCGTGTCCCGATGACCCGTGGAATATGATCGGATGCACAAGTCCTCTGTGCTCCGAGTGAATTTGTGTTTTGTCTCATATACGCTCGGCAAGTATGACGAGGTCGGGATCCCCCATATTTATATGTTTATGTTATTTTTTCGATTCTTCCACAAAGGGTGTGGTGTTGATGTAACCGCACGGTTTTTGGATTGAAATCAATTCACGCAGTTAGAAGATAGGAGACGCCTAGAAATAATATATATGTTATGTTATTCGTGACATGGAAGCCTAAGGGCAGTTCTCGTTTGTTAGAGACTCCGGACAGGCAGTTGTTCTTTTTTTCAAAGAACGCCGTCACCAGAATCACCTTCACCTTCATCTTTGGTAGCTCAGCATCCGCATACTGAGGGTTGCTTACATGATTGTTATCATTTGATAAAGACCTGTGCCTCGGTTGGCAGATCTCGAAGCATAGCTCCGTGTGGGTCTCGGGCTAGAAAACAGTAGTCTTCATCCACGCTGCCATTGACTGACAGTAAAAAAAATATATATATATAAACCAGTAAAATTCATAGCTTACATATCTCTAGATTCATTTCCCAGTATCATTGTCGCGGTATTCACAGCAATGTTTGGATTAAGGGTCAACGTCTGATATAGCTTATCTTAAGCGGGAAAACGTCGGGTATACCCCTGGACATCTCCTGGATGGATCCTCCCGGGCGCAAACACGGGTGGCTTGTAGTTTATGTTCAAGGTGCTTATTCCCGAGGTCCATATTCCGTCCACGGGCACCTATAAGCCCAACCCGAGTCATTTATCCGTAGATTAGGCTGTTCACACAAGCATTATGAACTCTCCAAGTGCAACGGTCTATGATGCACAACATATGGACAGAAGAGAAAACACTGGAAATTATATCCAGCCCCACTTCACCACTTGATGGCCAACTCACGGCTCCGAATGCCGATCTCCGACCCTCGAGTCCCGGAATAGCATAGGCGAAGCAACGTGGCTGTGAGATATTAAAATAATCCTTGCCAATGGCTAGAATCACATAAGCCATGTAAGCCTGGATTTAGACTTTGATTTGCCGGGGTATTTATGTTGACATCATTGGTTCGACGTCGGTGTTTGTCGGGCTTAGGAGTTCCCCCAAAATGTTGGCGGACAAGTCTCCTTCTACCTCGAATAAGGTATTACTACTTACTGTGACTGTCAAAGGTTTAAGATAGCGGGTTAATATGGCTACTTATGGAGTACTACAAATATGAGAAGTATACTATTCAGATAGGGTAAATGGCCAAATAAATGTATGCGCACTGGCCACTGCTTGAAACCTTTTAGTCGGGGAAGTGGAGAGAGACTTGGGCTAAATTGGCAATCCCCGAACAAAAATTCCAAATATATTTTCAATTCCAAATACTTTTGCCGATTCCCGAGTATTATATATGAACGGGGATGTTCTTTGATAATGAGACTGGCCTGTGGCCTACAAATTAGATTGCTCTTACAGTTAAGGAATGGATAGTCATCTGTGTTGTATTGGCCCCCACGTAGTAAGACCCCAGCTTCTCGGCGATGTAACTTTCCAGGTTAGATCGTGGGTCTCGTTTACTGAGAAACTTTAGGATATGAGGTCGGGTTATTGAGTCTTTTGTAAGCTAAAAAACAAAGCTTACGATAAATGCACCCGGGTTCTGCATAAAATCAACCCAATATAGGTCTGCAGAAAGTATGGGTGAAGGGTAGAAGTACATATACCGAGGTGGATGATAGACAGCACCTGGGCGTGTACCCAAAGCTCGGGCGGAGAGTGGATCCATACAAGGCAGAAGATTCATTGGTCAGCATGGCCTCGCGTATATGCGTATTCGACCAAGTGGATATCGCCCGGGTGTGTTGAGCCTCTTTAGCGAAAAGTCGACGGGAGTCGATCAACTATTCGGGTGCAGATCGACCTCGGAATGTGTGAACCCGCACCTTTTGGTTCTTTTTCTTTTTTTCTTTTTTCAATCATAACATGGGTGTACATGAACCAATCACAGATCTCTCTTGGTGTTGGTTATGCATTGCAAACTCAGTCTGCCTGGGTACTGCAACATGCCACTGGCTCTACACCGCAATGATCCACGTGCATGCCAAAAATAATCACACAGCCTGACATCTTTAACCTGACGATGAACGCTACATCATACTCCATTGGGGAAACGGACTAACGCCCCTTGGTTGATGGGGTTCATTTTTGATCGACATCAAATCTATCATCAGGGCTACCGATCGCCCCACCGTCGAAACGAAACGGTTCTTTCGCTGTATAATAGGTAAGATGGAATGGGAGTGGGTGAGGCCGTATTATTTCCTAAGAAAACACCAGGGAACATGCGATACTTGAACACTTCGAGGCGGCTGCATTGACCCATAAACGCCTAGTGGGGCGTATCAAGACCCAATAGGATGAAATTTTGTAAGATGTGCAACTAGAGCTACGTGGGTGAACGATCCAGGAGGCTGAGGCTCTGATCGACTGATAGGTGATCCCCCCGTCATTGTCGAAAAATCACAAAACGGCGCTACATTTACTTTTGGTCCGATACATCCCTGCCTGGTGGAAAATTATTATGACTAGGCTTTCTTTGGGTCGTTTCAGGCGTTCTTCGATTGACTATTTGGGTGTTAGTTTATTTATTGATTATGTTATTAATTACATATGTATGCACCTGATCGGCGTCCTAGGTTGAGGGTTTAGATACGACCGAGGCCGTCCGACATACCCACCCATAGAGCTGTTGACACTAAAATTCTGACATTTTATTTACATTTAAAACCCTTTCCCCTTTCTATTTCTTCCCCATCTGTGTCTTTGTCTCATCTTTATCACGCTTGACTTTCACAACCAAACGTGCTTTCTAACTTCGTCCCGGATGGCCATATTGAGCATCGTCAGCCACACAGTAAATTTCCATTAGGCGCCTACAATATGTCCGCCTTCAGCAACCCATATACCACCACTATCCCGCCTCCATTTTACCCTAAATGTCCTACTTCCCTACCCTCGACATTAGAAAACCCCAGCAACAACGCAATCCAAACAGAACTGTATCCCAGCCCTGTCAATGTTACCTCATCTCGCCAATCAAACGCCCACCGTGTCAGCAAAGCAATGAAAGGGAAGCGAGTCCACGCCTGCGAGTACCCTGGATGTTCAAAGGTGAGTCACCCTCGGGATTTGCCGATGGATCATCTCGCTAACCGCCATCATTCAGGTTTTTACCAGAGCCGAACATCGCAGACGACATGAACTCAGCCATGAGCCTAAGAAGAAGTATCCTTGCACTTTCAAAGGCTGTCAAAAGGCATTCCATCGCTCGGACTACTTGAGTCAGCACATGGGTCGCCAGTGAGTGACCCCCATACCGTTTGGAACAATTGAATTCATAAACTGATCGGAATAAAAGCACAACTTCAGCACCAAAGGAAAATACGTCATACGCCCACAGCTACTCGGCTCGTCAAGGAAACATGCAACAACAGGTCCAGTCGCAACCAGCCAATTCACCTCCAATTCCCTTCCAAGCCGATACTACCAACGATTATTCCGGGCTATGGGGAGGAAGCATGGATTCCTCAATGTCATGTCCCCAGTATGCCAGAGGCCATAGCCAGTCTTCCGCATCTGTTGATGACTACCCGTCCCCCTACTCCTACACGAACGAGATGTGCAGTTCACCCGTCGCAAGCGACTGCTTTACGAACCCTCCATACCCCACTTCCGGCATGCCAGTAGAGATGGTTACTGCCATTGATCAATACCTCCGGAGCATCCTGAAACCCGAAGCGTTTTCGTCGCACCAGCAGATGGACCCTGCAATTTGGAGCTCGGATATCGATATCGATCCTACATTGACTAAGGTCGAGAGTCCTGTGAGTGGAATCCAGAAAACCGCCCCCAAAAAACAGCAAACGCTAATACTTGATTCAGGACCAATTGCCGCTCTGTGCATGGCCCCCTGCCCACAACTTGCAATACGAGGATTATCCATTGCAGATGCACCACCAGCTGTCGAGCGACTGCTGATGAGTATTCATACCCGCGGTTGATATGCCAAGTTTGGCCTTTCGTTTGCTTTAGCGTGTTTGTTCCTCTTGTTACATTTCTCACTTGCTTCTTGCAAGCTCCCTTCTCGTTAAAGTTCTATTTAAAGGGTTATAAGCTCTTGATACCTGGGCTTCGTTTTTCGGGGAGGCGTTGATACCATTCTTTTACTAATGATACCATGATAATGTGTTGATTAGAGAAATTCGATTTGATTTGATTTGATTTGAGCTGCTTTCCTTGAAGACTCTGCAGAAAAAGTTGCACTGCCTACACTGTTTTCACGAATCCCGGTCCTCGATCTGTCTGTTGGGGTGCTATCCTGCAATTAACTAGTTACGACGCCCATGAAAATCTGATATAAAATCGCATAGCCCTTGTAACACGTACCTAGTCTGTATATAGACGTAATCCGTGCAATGATCTGTTCTACATGTTAGACCTGGGGAAGTAATCCCGTCGAATGATCTGCAAGGACACACGCCTTGCAGGCTTGATCTATCGATTAGATCTAAAACAGCCTTCCTGACGCCACCATACGATCACATGACAGATTTTGACTGCCTGGAATCCTTCACGCGCCAGTTGTGATGGAGTTGTGATAGAGTTGTGATAGATTTGTGATAGAGTTGTGATAGGGTTGTGACATCCCTTGCATGTGGCTTTTAGTGTTGGTTTTGGTGCCTAGAAAAGGCAACTGGGCGGAACGCCTTCTTGTCACATCCAACAGCGCCTACTGACTAGCACACCGCTTTGTTGAGCAAGGTAATACTATCTCTACTTTTCCTCGGTCTTCCGAAAAATGGTTTGTCATGGTCTCAACCTCGTACACGGGTGTTTGAAAATGTCTGCTTCCAGCCGAGCATCGATCAAAGACCATAGATACCTGAAAAAAGGGCATCTCCTTGCATATCTTATCAAAGAATAAATCCAATTTGGTGCAACAACTTGAGGCCGAGAATGCTGACATTCGTGATACCTTGTTTTGATATTAGTATGAGCCGGTCATCCGCATCAAATCGAACCTTGGCCCAGATGCGTGGGTCTAATTTTAAGTTTATTACTTTACTTCCACGTTTTCGATCCACGTCTGAAACATGGACGCCGATCCTCGTGGCTCCTAGGTTGGCCGATCTTTGCCCAGTGAGCTTTGACGTACTGTCCCTTGACCTCATGTATTGCCCTATGCAGGAAACTTATACTTCCGATCCACATGGCACCAAGTTCGTCATTACACTGTGAGTTGAGTCTAGCAACAAGTTAAATGGGCACCTTGATTCGCAAGAAGATTCAATGAATACACAAGCTTTTGTCTCTTGATCAAGCCAAAAGGCCGCGCAACTTAACATATGTCCAAAACATCACAAATTATATACATTGGCAAGCTTCGACTCACAAAATCACAAAATACCTCCCAGCCCAGATTCACTGCTTTACATAATATGCTCCATGATGGGTCCATTATAGACCTTTCTCGCGCGAACATAGTAATAGATCAGACTGAGGACGATAGTTCCCATAGTCCCGACAACACTGTAGTTCATAGTTTCAACGGTGACCACCCAAGAGGTTGGCCAGAAGGTAAAGAAGACAGCGATAGTCATGTAAATCAAAGCCCAGGCGTTGACAAGAATACCCCAGATGCCGGGCAGATGGAAGGGACCCCAGACGAGCTTTGCACCGGCAGTGTTGATGACCTCAGAATTGCTGTTGCGAGCAGAGCTGATACCACCCGTGCAACGGCGCCAGAGGAGAAGACTGCCAACCACCATGTATGACAAGTATAGACCGGAGATTGACATGGAGCAGAGATCGTTGAAGGCGACGGGCGAGCCAATGTTGATGAGCGCGAGGAGGCAGGCAACCACAGAGGTCAACAAAACGGAATAAATGGGGACCGCAGAGTCCTCGGTGACCTAAGGAAAAATTCATAATTAGCTCGATGATCCTGATAAGTGCTCAGAGCTGGTAGGAAATAGGGGCTTACCTTGCTCCACAGTCGCCATCCGGGAATGCCGCGGTCTCGAGCGAAGGACCAGAATTGACGCGAAGTAGAGGCCAACATGCCGACGGAGGTGGTGGCGCCCATGGTAGTGACGATCGAAGCCATGACGGCGGTTCCGGCTACGGATCCTGTCGCCTGCAGGAAAATCGCCATGAAGGGGAATCCGGTGGGTGAATCTAGGGCCGATCCAAGGTCGCCGCTGCAGAACAGCATGGCAAGCAACATGCCGAAACCCAAGGATCCATTGATCAAGACACTCAGCATGATGGAGGTGGGCACCGCAACGGCAGCGTTTGTAATTTCTTCGGACATCTGGAGATTCAGAATTCAGATTAGTTTCAGTCCTCAATGTTTGAATGATGGGAAGGAGATAGAGAGACGTACATGAACCGCGGCATCACCACCGGCAAACGCAAAGATACAGCCGGCGGTTCCGACAAAGAACGACAGTCCTTGGGATGGGAACTCGCCCAGGTTGAGGAACTGGGTGAAGACTTCCTTGGCGGTTCCATGATCGGCCATGTAAGTCAAGGGGATGAGAATCGCGAAGAAGCCGAGGATGTGGAGGATCAAGATCATGCCCTCGAATCGAGGCAGAACTTTACCACCAACACTGTTGATGGCGACGGAAAACAGCACAGCTGCCCAGTAAAGAAGAGTTCCATGCCAGTTCTTGGGCTCATATGAACTGTTTGTGAGCACAATCAAACCTTGGATCAAGGTACCGACCAAATAACACGAGGTTGCGAAAGTGGCTTGCCATCCAATAACAGTAAGCCAACCTGTGAAATATGTTAGCGTTAGTTTTGCACAACTATGTTGTACAGCGGGCTTCTCCACACCTGTCAGATAACTCATAAGTTTCATGCATGATCGCGGGGCTAACATGGATGTCCAATGGTACTGTCCTCCGGATGTTGGCGCCCTATTGACCAATCAGTCTCAGTAGATATAGCAGAGAGAGACAGATAATTCCGTACATTGATGCCAACTCCGACAGAATCACAAAGCTGGCTGCGACACCAGCCCAAACGAAAAGGAATCCATAAACAGCTCCGGCTGGACCTCCACTGTGTAACTGTCAGCACTGCATGCACTGCGGGGTTGATACCTCGCCCACGTCTCTTACTTTTGGTATGCTTGCAAGAACAGCCTATTCACAGTCGTCAGCTAACGTTTCCTCAGACTTAATATTCATCATCAAGATCACTTACACGACAATTCCCTCCCAGGTAATCAGAATTGTACAACTGAAACCCAGCATAGACATCAGACCAAAGTTGCGCTGTTCCTGTTAGCCCTCATCCGATGCATATTCTCAAAGGAAATCTACCTTCAATACGGGGCGTTTGCCCATGCGCGCGAGATTGGCATCATCAAGCTCCTTTCTTGATAGCTCGGTCATCTCCTTTCCCCCCGAAGACATCTGCTTCGAATATTGAGAGAACATGATGGATGTGTAACTGCTGACAAGGGAAAAAAAAGCAAAATCAACAGATTCAACAGATCGAAGGAGAAGAATCTCTGCCTTTAGCCATAGAAGTCCAGGGGGCAAAAAAGTATGAAACTAGTGCAATCAAATTGGAACATACTTGCATGTGGTTGGGAGCGCACTGTTATGCGCTAATGCAAGAGCAGGGGTTGCACGAGGGAAAAATCGGCTAATGAACTTTGCCATTGTCAGAACAATTGTGGCGTGTGTTGAATATTACGAGGTTTTTCTTTATCTCTAAGCGATGTAACCGACATTACCAAAATATCCAACTAGAACAAGATGGGTTTCCGTCGGGAGCGCTAGTCACTCTCCCGGAAGCCGAACGGAAAAAGCCCCAGCTGAGTGGAAATTAATTAAATGTTTCTTGTATGGTCGTGCGTTGCTAGATATTGTGTGTGAACTTAGTGTAGACTTTTAGCTTGTTAGCGTACTTTTAGTACTTTTGGATATTCAGGTCATACCATGTCAAGCATTATCATTCGTGGATGTCTATAGGAAAAGCATAATTTCTGGAAATAATATGGAAGATGCACCGAGGTGGAGAAACAGGATGCTCTGACCCGGTTTTCAACCCTCGTTCGATACAATTTAATCAACTTTGCAATCCTCCAGTCACGGTCCAGGTCCGCGTCTCCATAATTATGTTAGATTGGCTGGATTGGCTTTCAGCATCGTCGTCCGGAACAGATGTAACTATCGTCCGATGTGTCCCTTGCGGCATTGAGACTAGTTCGTGCGTATCGCTTCGAGTATCCTGAGTGCGCCGAGAGTTCTTGAATGAGCTCATGCCATATGTCTTGTGTTTGCTGCCGTGGCCATTGGAACTTGTCAGACCCAACCCCATTCCAGATGATCGGAGATTATCCAGGAAGGGCTTGAACTGCGGGGAACAGGCTGTGACAATGCTCAAGGTTTGAGTGACTTGAGTAGAAATTGGGACGGCCCAGGCATCAAAGGTGGAATCGGTCGAGGAACGACTTTGACTGGCGTAAGCAAGTTGGCAAATAATCGCAATAATTACACTGGGAATACCATCTTTGTTAGTGGACTTCCTCAATATGGAACCTGGATTCTTTTGTCCGACACGTACATAACTCGGATCAAGAACACACTGGCCAAACTAGCCTTTCTGCTAAGATCGGTCTGTATACGAACGATAACTAGCAGGGCTTGGCCCATTATCCCGGCTTCTGATAAGATATTGGTGACACCAAGATAGTTCCACCACGCAGCCTGATACACAGTCAGCGATTTTGCGTTGTTAGATAAGGGCGAGCCACTCACTCGGTCGAAGCAACTCCCATATAGATAATTCCATGTCTGTGGTACATCGCATTGGAATGCGGCCGAGAAAATACTGGCGATAGTCCACAGCCCGATAAATATTCCCAGCACGAGCGCAAAGCGGCGATCCAAGGATGCGGGGGTCAAGTTGCGAATGAAGACCAAAAGCGATAGCTTGGAGAAGCAAATACTGGCGATAAATAAAATGACCGCGGCGAATTCAGCCTGGATTTATTTAGAAATGATTCAAGAAAAGGCACATCTCATCCGTACCTTCATCATGCTTTCAAGTTGGAGATCGGATAGCATGTCGCGGTGCTGTCCAAGTCCATTATTTGTCGCCATCGAGACAGCAATGGACTGCGCGATGCAGAACACCAACGAAGTAGTAGCAAGGCCATCATCAAATGTCCACTTGCGAAAAATAAAGTATTTTGTCCCCAACCGTGTCAAGACACTCAGAATAGCTGTCACCAGCATAAACCAGGTCAAGACATTGATTGCAGGAGTCCAGGTGTTTTTCAACTCCGGGCGCATGGCGGTGGTGATAAATCAAAATAGATGCACAAAAGGACGCTCGAAGCCATGACTGAGCAGTTATTGCTGGTGTAAAACACTCAGTTTAACTTTCATCGGGGGCTTGCAGTGGCCTGGTCATTGAGAGGCGACAGTATTTCCGTATGAGCCGCCAAAAGATATTATTGGTCTTGCAAAGGCAAAGTCCGTATGCAGTTAATCAGAAAAATCCCAAAAAGCAAAGGAGATTACACTTGCAGGGATGTTGAAAAGTTAGGTGGCCACGAGGCCACGTTATTCGTGTAAAAGTGAACCACTCTCCACTCGACTGCAATGCAATCACAGAACTCACACGCCTGTTCATCGAGTTGCGCACAGAGTGCAGCAGACGCCACTTTTGCGCAATTTATTTCATTTGATCCCCTGTGTCTTTGTTCGATTCCTATTATTTATCTTCTAGACTGATTTCGGCACTGTTAACCCCTGTCGCATATGCCGTAACAATATGTACGAAATTGTTGCCTACCTCTATTTAGTACGGAGTACAGAGCACCTTGTTTTTATTAATCAATTCTGATCTATCGCAGCTTCAGGATTAATTAAAATTAATGTCTTACACTAAGGTTTCCCTGCATTGTTGCGTTTCTGAGGGTCCTCAAGAGGGGATACAACACTTCGGTTCCACATCCCTGCGATGAATTTATTTAATCAAGAACTTTTTGTAGTAATCCTTCTCTTTAAAGTTCAATAACTTCGGGCAATGATTCCTAGAGCCCGTATTTGATGTTCTGAAGTGCTCTCAGTCGATTGAATTGAGCCAGGCTTTCACTCGATCTTCGATTTGACCGATACGCCCTTTCGAATCTCGATCAGCCTTATCTGATTCCCACCCTTCTTCCTCTTCTTCCCAAATACCTCTGAGCCATTCATCTTGATAGATAGTCTCCAAGGGTTTACCCTCCCCGTTGATACTCAACCAAAGGAATATATACAGTGTGGCTTCTTCAGAAGCTAATTGATCGAGTTCTCTCCTCGGAAACCTTCTAGGCTCTTTAATATCGAGCATGTCGCAAGAAATTCTAGTCATCGTTGAAAGAGGTGTTTTTGAAAACCCATGATCCCGGATAATCCGACCTTCCTCCAATTCCCAATTCCAATGGTGATATTGGTACTCATGTCGAGTGCATTTCAAATGTGAAGTAACTCGAAGGGCACAATCCTTTGGTAAGGATGACCCCCATGGTTCCCAAGGTGATTGAGGCCGAGTGCCAAATAATAAATCGTCATCTTCGGTTTGAGGAAGGTGTAGTAAGCGCCATGCGTCTGGCCTTGAGATGTATTTAGGAGTTCCATGCGTGTATGGACCCGAACCTGCCATATCCATGAAGCTTTGAAGACAGCCAGTCCAGGGAAAGGAAAGTGCATCCAGAGGAGGACAGGCTGTTTTGACTTTTCCAACGATTTTTGGGGCCAATCAGCCCGCAACCGCTCCAATCCAAAGAGCACCTATCTTCGGTCGACGTATCGCACCGATTAAAGCAAGTGCTTCGTGGTCACGGTCAATCATAGTAGGTTTCCCGCCTAGTACCTCATCGAAAAGCGGATGCAGCCAGGGACTGACGAGATTGCACGGAACTTCCGGCGCCCAGAATGATCCACAAGGGGTAGATAGCACTACTTCCGGACTACAGCTCAGAGTCAGGTAGTAAGGTAGCGCTTCCTTTGACTCGACCATATTGATGGAATGACATCCATAGGGGCCGTGGGCTGTTTACCACCAGTTGCTCTTGGGAATGGCAGTTGGACAGTCGAGCCATAGTATTGGTGCGTCGGGAATGTTACCGCTGTCATAAGAGCAATAGGAAACTGACTACCCAGTCCATGCAACAGTGCAAACTTAGCCAGAGCCTCAAATGCTTCATCTGAGGTTAGAGGGGTATATAGAGAATTTGATAACTTGATTTTCTGGCTGATCGTGAAACATGTTTCGCAAGTGCGAGACACCGCCCAAGGGGCGAGAAAGTCGCTTTTGGGGGTCCGCTTGACAATAGCTTTCCATCCTTCATTTCGAGCAAGTATAGCATACCACCATCGAGTTACATTTTCATCTGACTCCCCAATATCGATGGTATCAGTCTCTGGGATATTGCGAGAATCTTCCCCGTAGTCGATTCCAGAGGTTGTATAGTGCATCATAGCACCCTCTCCTTGTATTTCCACAAGTCGCGCAGATAGTATGTAACACCATCCAATCGCAAGAATTCCCCAGTAATTGGGGCCAGTATTTTTCTCTTCCGTTGTACCAATCCAGGAATTGAAGACATTCCCATAAAAACAGTAGGGGATAGCAGCATTGGTACCAATCTTGAGTAGAGCATCAACTATCCTTTCTTTCTCAATGCTGTCGCAATCCGAGTCTCCTACTAATTTCCAAGTCGATGAGGCTTGCATGCAAAGAAAGTAAGCTAGAGAGACTCCATAAGGGCAGATATAAGTTGTTTTGGGCCGTCCATGGAATTTCGGAGTCCTATGTAGAGGGTGGCTAGGATCTGTGTACTGCAGATTCAACCCAGAATCCCGGTAGGCATCAGCTAGTGATGTGAGGCGATACCAATAATCCCGACTTTTTCTCAGAGCCTCGTGAACATGATGTGTCTCAGGCTGGATAGTGTCAAGGTTTTCAATAATCTATAATCGGGCAGGACAGATGAGCTTGAACTGGTTTGGAAGAGGGTTATAAGTACTGACCGATGAAAGTCGTGGAGGGGTTAAATAGTCCTTTCTCTCGACCGAATCACCTATTCGGCACATTTCGAAGGGAAGAATAGGTTGAACAGAGTAGTAAGGAATATTGATGCAAACATGGTTGAAAAATAAACAACCTATGCGATGACTGCAAGGTTTATAAGGACCAAGGGGTAGGGACTAGTCACATGGCTGGTAGTAAGGCTGATGTGGCTGATACTAGCTACGTACTCTGTACGGAGTACAGTTGTACTACAACCCATGCATATACAATACACAATAACATCATCGTACAATAATAAAGTAGTAATTTTTAAATGCACATTTACTGAGTGTGTTCATTATATGCTTTATAGTTTGTTTCATACTCAGGGAGTATACCACTTCGCCGGAATACCCGTCTCCACCCAGTTTAAGCCCCAAGGTCCAGGCTTTTGGGGTGCTGTAAGTTTACGTAGCAACAGAGTACATATGAGAGGGGCAAGGTTACTATCCCTAAGGGTGCTATGTGATGTGCAAATCCAGTGAGAACGCCGTATGCCTTTGGCAACACTACTTATTCGAGGAGAGTGCCTCCCATATGGAAACGTAACTGCGCTTGAGAAAATACTAACAGCAAACCCACTGCTCTATAAATATCTGCAAAAGATCTAGTTGCGTGAGAGAGTGTAGGTATAGGTGCGCGAGATACCTAGAGATCTAGGTATCTGTAAGAGATTTAGGTGCGTGAGGCTTATGAGTGTCTGCGTAGGGAAAGTGAAGCATTGTCGTCTGAACAAACAAAAGTGGAGGACACTCAAGTCTTCTCCGCGGCAGGTCTCGCGCTTGCTCCTTTCGAACGTGCTTGCCTCTTGACCTTTATCCCCCTCGTGCTTTCTTCCGTTTCTTTTCCTTCATCATCCATCCATTACACCATCACTCATTCACTTACCACTCAAATATCAAATCAAACAACCGAAAAAATGAGTTCTGGCTTGAAGTCTGATCCCAAGCTCTCACAGCTGACACAAGCTGATGCGAGACTGCTCGTCTATGGTAGTCTGTGCATGGAGGGCAAGGTTGGTTACCGCACTTTACTTTCACCTTTCTAGATCTATCTAATTATCACTCATCTCATAGCTCAACAGCGAGAAGCTCGCTAGCCTCCTCGGCATGAAGAAAGCTTCTGTCGCCACCAACTACAGATGTGCAAAAGCTCATCTGCAGGCTATCTTGGAAATACGAATCCAGTCTCCAACCAAGGATGGTGGTGCTGAGGAGACCGAAGCAGCTAAGAAGACCCGTTCCGGTACCAAGGGTGGTGCTGTCAAAGAAGAATCCACCAACGACGAGCCTCCTACCAAGCGACGCAAGACTGTCGCCTCTAAAGCTGCCTCCAAAGCTGCGTCTGAGCCTGCTGAGGAATCTACTCAGGCTGACACTGATGCCGACTTGACCGAGTAGATACCTACTTGTGTCTGCCGTTTTACGAAACTTTCCAGGAGGAACGGGACAAAATGGAGGATGAGATGGAATGAGTTGAAACTGAGAAGTGAGACTGGAATCGTTCTCTGCGGCATCAATGTGCTCGATATGGAAGACGACTTTACCATTCATTTTTCTACTAGGTTTGAGGACAAATTGAACAAAAATTGAAACACAAGCACTCTAGAAGTAACCTTGCACGACAAATAATTGCTGAGTTGACACTAGACTATGTATTAACACCTGTTTTCTTCCTCAAACACAAGGCTCTCAGTTGGCCCGTCTGCGGGATCGGAACAAAGGTCGGACCAAACGAGATGGGTTCGGTCCGTTGAGAGTTGTGTTGTAAGTTGCACTGCTATCAAGAACTTTCGTCACCACCGTACTATTTCCCTCTCGGTAGTCACTTGTGGGAGGTCCATGGGTCAGATAACCGCCATGTGGCTTCAAATGTTTCTTGCCAGTCGCAATATCCTTTCTCGAAAGTATTCTGTCAAACATCTCCAACGAAGCCAATGGCTGGTAGAAAGGTACTTCGTGACCGGACTCATAAATCCGCACAAAGCTGAACAAGTCACTCTGACGAACCTGTCCATGAACAACACCATCCGAAGTAGTGATGTTCACGAAGCCTGCGTGCTTGTACCCTGGGGCATCGATCTCCTCGGCCACAACCTGTCCACCGAGCCAATTGCAGTTGAAGTCACTGGAAACCAAATTAGCACGGTCTAGTTTTATCTCATGGCATGGGAGCTCTCACGCATCACCGAAATACAGCGAAACCTGCACTCCAGCCTTCAGCAACTTCCTCACGGCCTCTATCGTCCCGGACTCGCGGTCGTCGTCACCGGTGCTTCCAAAGGCATTGCTCACAGTCCCAGAAGACTCCGAGAAATTCTGGTACGCTCCAATGGCAGATTGGACTTCAGGGCTGTTGAGATATTCGACGTAGAAGGCGTACGGGAACGGATCAGGTGTCAACTCTCGCATATCATACTCGTCGCGCTTAGAGTAGATGTCAAATAGCGCCTCAACCTTATAATAGCAGAAGGTGTCTGCTGCATTGCAAATGTCATCTCGACCGGTCGCGTAACATTCCTTCGTCCGATCAAGGCAGTTTCCTTCTCCATAGAGGTTGTTGTACCACTCGGCCTGCACCGACTCGCTGTATGGCTTGTAGTCGTAGGTGTTTCCAGGGAAGACAGTGAAGTTGTAGTACGCCTGGTACTGAATCACCGGATCGAACCAGCCATTTCCAATAAGAACATTCTCAAGATCGATCTTAATCGAGCCATGGGGCTTTTTGGCGTTCTGCTTAACAAAGTATTCTGGTCTAAAGTTAGTGCCTGTCGCATCCAGAATTGCTAGGCATCTTTACCGTTGAAGATTGGGCCATAGTGTCCCCCGTAACTCTCGGTGGCGAAGTTGAAGCCATTTCTGGAGTACTTTGGGAACGCTCCCATGAACCCTTGGAGTGTCTTCCACATATTCGGGGCCGCATTTGCAGTTGTATTGGGGACAAGGCCAATGTCTGGTTTGGAGTATGTGCCGCATGTTCCGTATTTCTCGGCATAATCAGGACACTCCTCGCTGGGCAGCTGAACAATATTGCCATCGTTATCCTCATAAGCTGGAATGGGGGCTGTATAGGATAATCCAACCGTGGCAGGCTGATCGACGAAGAGCTGAGGACAGTTGAGCCAGAGTCGCGACAAAAAAACCGTGAAAACAAAGCAAACTTACCATATTGCTCACGTTGCTCCACGAGTACGGGTTGTTGTATACATTTCCGTCGTAATCAACTCCGCACGGCCCTAGTTCCTGGAATAACCCAATCATCGAAGATGATCCCGGCCCTCCATTGATCCAGACCGTAAGTGGTGCCTTATTGATTGTCAGTACACCATATAAATGCATGATCAAATGCCTTCGGAACATACATCTTTGGGATCTCCGTTTCTAGCCTCGAAGAACCACCTGTGCTGGTCAATCGCTGCCTCGGGCTTGTGTGTATCGGGGATCCTCACCAGAAAATATGCTCGTTCTCACCGACATCAGCGTAACCAGAATAACTCTTCACGTTGGGATCCTGTTCGCAAATTCCAGCGGGCACCTCCTTATATCGCACATTGATACCGGCATATCCTTTCTTGGTGATCAAGTCTGTGGGCGCGGGTACGAATTGCGCCGTGGCATAGTGCGCCAGCACTGCCAAGAAAAGCTTGGTATACAGGACCATTTTGAAACAAAATGAACGTCCCAATTCAAAGGTTCCAGTCGGCTCTTATATCAATCTAGATAACCCAAAGTACCGCGATAACCCCGCTCGGCAGGTGATATGGTGATATCCACTATGTATTGCTAGTATCAAAAGGGAAGACCAGAAACAACTAAGATCGCCCAATATGGTGCTTTGGCCCTAAAGCCGACGGGTGTCCGAGTCAATGTCTCCTAAAATCCGGACTTGGCCGAGTTGCTTATCATTCAACCTTATTTGTGCTTGATTGGGGCTTTGAAAGATCAAGTTGGTACTTTGGGGCTTTATCTTTCAGCCCCTTGCCTCACTCTGTGGCACGATTCCTACATTATATCATATTGCCATGAATAACTCGGGAACCGTTTATCTGTCATTAATCTTTATATATGTCAATACCAGTCGACTATTATATAATCTATCAAACAGGAATTGAGTAACTTGAGTGACTTGATCGAAATTATGCCCTGAACGGCAACCCATCGCCCTTGCCAGCATCAACCTGCACAAAATACCAGATGTGCGCCTCAAAATCCTTCAGCAATGGCAGACCAGTCCCAGTGTTGCCGTCAAATGTGACATCTCCCTCAATAACCTTAATATCAGAAGTATTGACGGTAGCATTGTTGGGCGATGTGATCCAATACTCAGGACTGATATGAACATAGCCCATAGCCAACAAAGGCAGCTTAGGAACCGGGTCATTGGTATGAGTAAAACGGTAGTTATTCCCCTGTGCCGTGATATATTTGGCCAATGCCTTGTTAGCCACGCGAGGCGAGGCATACGCGTACAGCTTAGCCGACGGATACCCTTTGCCCCGGAGATCAGCAGCAGCAAGTGTTGCCACAGCGGCGCCGAGACTGTGGCCCACAACGACCAGCTCGTAGCTGGGGTTCTGGGCGACGGCTTCTTTCAGCTCTTTCATGACATCGTCGCGGACTAGTTTCCAGGAACTCCAGAAGCCAAGCTCGGCGAAACATCCCTTACAGAGACCAGGGTTTGTGTATATGAATGTAACATCGGTGATCCAGTTGCGAATTGAGTAGGATCCACGGAAGGAGAGAACAATAGCCGCGTTGGTGTGGTCTACTGCGATGAAGCCGGCGGTATCTGTGATGGTGGTGCTGTTGCGTGTGTGAGTATATCGTCTCAGGTATACTTTATTTAAGGTCGCTTACCTGGAAAAGTCATAGAATACAGTTGCACCGGCTTCCTCCACTTGGGGGCAGTTGCCTTTCGAGCAACTGATCTTAGCGCCCACTTGAGCCGCGTAAACATCGATATAGTATGCTGCAGCGGCATACTGGACCCAGAAGTCGAATTGGTTCAGCTCGGCAGACAGAACATCTGACTGCATGTAAGTAATGCGTTCAATGTATGCTGGGCAACGTGTGTGATATACCTCGGGCCTGTAGTTCACTAGGCAGGGCATAACTCAATGAAGCCACTGCAGAAAGGGCAGCGAATAAAGAGAAACGCATAATGACTTGGGGTTAATGCCTATATCCGGTCCTTGGGAACAAAACTCCCACAGGCTGTGGGAACCCGCGACTTTATATGCGTACACCCGGTTGATCCATATGGTTCCTGAATGGGTTCCATGATTGCGCAAGCCATGTTCCTGATGCTCTATCGGACGAACCAGTAATACAGGATCCGGATTTCCCTTGTGATACCAAAACTCGGCACAGTTCAGCTCATGGAGGATCTTCAGCTCACGGAGAATACTCCGGATTCGCACATTGATCGACGGAATATAGATCAGCTGCGGGAACATCCCTGCTTGTATCCAATCGATGGGCCATAAAGCGTGGGGCCCATCGGTGGAGACGGCGAAGTATCTCATTTCGGTCGGGAAGTAAGACAATGTAGATCGCGGGGAGCTAATGAACTCCGTACTCCGTATAATCCAGGGATATGTTGGAGCTACTTTGTATGTCGAAATTTATTTATCTAGATCACATGAAAGCCGACAAGTCGGATGTTTGATCACTCGGCCCGAATATGTACGTGGGTAAATGGGTTTCCACCTGCTGTGTAGCATTAGATGCATAAGAGACCTTCTGACAGTTACATACATCCATGTGGATTCAGATGTTGTTTTCTTGCATTATCTGCAGCCCGAGGGGTCTTTCGGGATATTTTTTCTAAACTTCGGAGTCATCTAACTAGCAATCGTGATACACTTGGTCTTTTGCCATCGTCAACAACAATGGTCGGCCGCTTGTGCGGCCTCTGTTGACGATATAGGTATACTTGGCACAAGATGATATTTGGGAGATCACATGTAAGCGCACTCCGATCCATGCGTTTTTGAATGTTCTTTTTAGGGCTTTCTGGGTGTATACGAAAGCGGTAAAAAGGATAAACTATACAAGCAAATTTCAAGTATAACCTTCAAAACCTTTGATACTAGAGCTCACGGCGCAAACAACTTTTATTCAACTTTGGCTTATAATATTCACATTAAGCAGCCATCCTTGATGCTAGAGTGCAGGTCGCTCATTCCCACTCGCACACGGCGATAGCCAGTACGGAGGGTTTGCTTCGTGACACTTTCCTTGGACTTCAGGCTTTCCACGCTGGGAGATCCAACCCGCGCATAGCTCACGGGAGTCGGTTTGGTGGATGCCGGAGTGGGTTCAAGTGCATAAACCTCAACCATCCATTCATACCACACCTTGCGGTCATCGGTTTGACGGTACATCGTGGCAACGATCTCGCCATTTTCGGGGACACTAAGAGGGGTCTGGAGACAAAGAAAAGAAAGGTCAGTCTGATGGAATGGAAAGAAGGGGAAGAGTGAGTTGGATATTTCCAAGGAACTGACCTTCAAGGGGAAGTAGATGGGGAACCAGCTGATCATGCTTGCGCTCTTTGCATCCATGGTCACCGGGTTGGTAGACAACTCCACATCACCGTAGAGCACTGTTTCGAAGTAGCCAGCTAGACCGTGACACACACCTCGGTTCTGGGAAGGGAAGGTCAGACGGGTTTGGCGCACATTGTGAGCGTTCGAGATAGTCGACTGCATAGGCGACTGAGGAGGAATGTGTCGGTTCGGGTGGGAGAAAGACCAGGCGGTCTGCACAAAGGGAGTGGGGAATTCAGTTGTGGAGAATGACGCCGATGGTGTGGATGCGCGGTCTCGATTGTTGGGGTTGGAGCTTTCACCAGCGGCAGGCGTATCCATAGTGGAGAGGAAATCAATAGCGTGAAGCATCACGACATATGGGGTCTCTGGGGCGGCTGGGTTGGACACAGTCTGGTGTACAACATCGGCGTGCAATTTGGGAGCGGAAACCGGAGTGAAATGTGCCGAGTATGAGGCTGGAATTGAGATGCCGTGGACGGGGTTGATCACGTCGTTCACACCATCCAGGCATTCTGGGGAGAGCTCATTGTCTGCAAAGGAGCCCAGCAGCTCCGACACAATGATATCAACATGGGTGTGGCACATCGAGCCCTGAGGTTCAGAATCCTCCTGCTGTCGGACTAGAGGTCCTTTCCAGCTTCGCATATCTGACTGGACCAGGGTGACCTTACCATCCCAGATTGTGTCGTTGTGTCGCTGGAGCAACACAAATGCGTTCTGGTTCTTCTCCACGGCCCACATATCAATATCCACTCCGGCATCTGCGCTGGCTTTCAATGCGCGAGTGACCAGCGGGCCACGACCAGCTCCGACAACTGCGACAATCACTTTTCCGTCCGGGTGGGACGTGGCCTTCTTTTGGTCTGCCCAGTCTCTCAACGCCTTGTAGATTGCCTTCTCATACCACTCATATTTGATGGGGTCCTTTTCAAATACTTCATATGTGATACTCTCCAGATTGACTGTCAGCGGCTGTAGAGGAGCCTGCAGATAGTCCTGGTATCCCACACCGAACCTTTCAATCGCTGTCCGTGGGGGCTGGCGCTGCTGCAGATTGCGAATATACGAGAGGTGTGGAGTGGGGTCGTAGTGCTTCTTGCCAGCCTGTGACAAACTTGGATAGTCAGATCCAGACAGGGAAGCCTGGTGGGTATCAGGGTCTTCGATATTTTCAAGTCCAGGAATAGGACCAACGCCACAAAGGATAATCCACGGCGCAGTTCGAAGACGCATCATCTTCGCAATCAGACCTTGGTGCGACTTGGACAAGACTGGGTATCCTTTCTGGTTCTTGAGGAATGTCGAGCCATCAATCGTCAGTAAACGCACTGGTTCGGAATGCCATCGGGATTGCACAAACAGAGACGGCAGTTGCTTCGGCAAAGAAAGGGCTGTGGTTCAAAATTAGCTTTAGTTCAAGATATTGTAACAAAGGCGATGGGCCATTCAAAGGAGGGGTTAGTTCATACCAACGAACAGTCTTGTGTGATATTTGCAAGTTTTTCTAATTGAATCCCAAGCATCCCAGCTTCCGAACGGATCAACCTTGGGTGGAGCTCCCTCGTCTGGCTGCAGGTATTCTGCCCGAGCAAGCGGGGCCAAGTCGCCCATTGTATCAATTTCGAGCTCTGGGTTGTCAACCATCTGCTGCCAAATATGAAATTGGATGTAGGGGCCGAGGTTTAGGGCGTCTTGAATCGCACGTGCATAATAGATGACGCCCTCAGAATGCAAGGCACCGTGGTGCAATTTTGGGCCAGGAATCAAAAGATATCCAATTCCACAAAACGCAGCATACGCAACTTCCAACATCAGAACTTGCCGAGACAAGTCAGCAATCAACGGGTCGGGTGAGCATAGATCAATCCAGCTACTGGTTACACCAACCAATTGACTGGTTGCATCATTCGGGGTGAGATACGAATCTGCCTTCGAGAGCGGCGGAACCACCACAGGCCGAGTGTTCTGGGTAGTAGCCATGGTCCCAACAACATCGTAAGTTGGGGATTGTAGGTTGGCCAAATAAGAGGACAATAGACCAAGAACCCGCGAGTGGAAGTAGGATGTCGTGATCGGGACAGTCATCATATCATACTATCAAATCAAGTTAGCATTTACGAAAGTAAGATTACAGGTGAGAGAAAGAACCAACATTACTCTCATGTACGTTTTGAATGACCCGAGGGGTCACAGTGACCAGTCTATTGTGCTCATGGTGCCCGATGCAGAAAGCTGGCCCTGTATCCTCTGAAGGATTGTAGCTCTCCATATTGAGAAGTCTGGCGCAATGGTGGGGGTGTTCTGGAAGGGTGTGGATAAAAGCTCGTGATTAGCAACAGAGGAGCTAATAACCTTGGTATCAGGCAGTTCTATCTGAAGAAGCCCGGTGCCTTGGATGAGTTGGCGCAGACAAGTCCAGACAAAAACACACAGGGCATCAACAAGCTCGAAGATTATCGATCCCTTTGTGGAGCGCGGCAGAATAGACTGGCGGTGAGCCTGATAGGCAGCTGTGGCGCTCGGTCAACATTCCTTATCTCATATTTTTTTTCTTCGCTATCTCAGCCTCTTCTCTCCGCCGAGTTTACCCATCAACACACACTCCCCTTTCACCCCCACCATGTCTGATAACCGATCCGACTCCGAAGGTGGCGCGCGCGCGAAGCGCCAGAAGACGGACGCTGGAGATCCAAAGAACAATCCCTACCTCGCTCACATGTACGAGAACGAGAATGTCTCCTCCGACAACGGGCCCTTGGCCAAGTTCAAGCGACACCAGACAACCTCCGCGCTGGCGAAAAAGGCTGAAGATGGCGATATCAACCCTTTCAGTGGCCGACCTTTTTCTAGCAAATACTTCTCAATCTTGAAGACCCGTCGCGATCTGCCCGTCCATACACAACGGTAAGTGCTGCCCGACAGCCCGTCTAGAAAAAATAATTGTGCTAACCACTTTATCCAGTGATGAGTTCCTGCAACTCTACCAACAGTCCCAGATTCTTGTCTTCGTTGGTGAGACTGGTTCCGGAAAGACTACGCAGATCCCCCAATTCGTCCTCTACGATGACCTTCCCCAGACTCAGGGCAAAATGGTCGCTTGTACCCAACCCCGACGAGTGGCCGCCATGTCCGTCGCCCAGCGTGTTGCGGCTGAGATGGATGTCAAGCTCGGAGAGGAAGTCGGTTACAGTATCCGTTTCGAAGATATGACCGGCCCGAAGACCATCATGAAGTACATGACTGATGGTATGCTTCTTCGCGAGGCTATGAACGACCCCAACTTGACACGTTACAGCACAATCATGCTTGACGAGGCTCACGAGAGAACTATGGCGACCGATATCCTGATGGGTCTTTTGAAGGAAGTTGTGGTGCGTCGGCCTGATTTGAAGATTATTATCATGTCGGCTACTTTGGATGCGCAAAAGTTCCAGCGCTACTTCATGGATGCGCCCCTTCTCGCGGTTCCCGGTCGTACTCACCCCGTCGAGATCTTCTACACCCCCGAGCCTGAGCAAGATTACGTCGAGGCCGCAGTTCGAACTGTGCTGCAAATCCACGCCACCGAAGGTGAGGGAGACATTCTTCTTTTCTTGACTGGTGAGGAAGAGATTGAAGACGCTTCGCGGAAAATCTCGCTCGAGGGAGATGAGATGGTTCGCGAGGCAGACGCTGGTCCTCTCAAGGTCTACCCTCTGTACGGTAGTCTTCCTCCTCACATGCAGCAGCGCATCTTCGACCCTGCGCCTCCTCCTCGCCGACCAGGCGGCCGCCCCGGGCGCAAGGTCATCGTGTCAACCAACATCGCCGAAACATCTCTCACCATCGATGGTATCGTCTACGTCGTGGATCCCGGTTTCTCCAAGCAGAAGATTTACAACCCCCGCATTCGTGTCGAGTCACTTCTCGTTTCGCCCATCTCCAAGGCCTCCGCGCAGCAGCGAGCTGGTCGTGCCGGTCGTACACGCCCCGGAAAGTGCTTCCGCCTTTACACCGAGGGCGCATTCAAAAAGGAATTGATCGAGTCAACCTACCCCGAAATCCTCCGGTCCAACTTGTCATCAACAGTTCTGGAACTGAAGAAGCTTGGTGTTGATGATCTCGTCCACTTCGATCTGATGGACCCTCCTGCGCCAGAGACTCTGATGAGAGCATTGGAAGAACTGAACTATTTGGCTTGTCTGGACGATGACGGAAACCTTACTCAGCTGGGTCGTCTGGCCTCCGACTTCCCTCTCGACCCTGCCCTCGCTGTTATGCTGATCAGCTCTCCCGAATTCTACTGCTCTAACGAAATCCTTTCCATCACCGCCCTTCTGTCCGTGCCGCAGGTCTTCGTCCGTCCTCCTGCCCAGCGCAAGCGTGCCGACGAGATGAAGAACCTGTTCGCCCACCCCGACGGAGACCACCTGACAATGCTAAACGTCTACCACGCATACCGAGGCGCCGACGCCCAGGCAAACCCCAAGCAGTGGTGCCACGACCACTTCCTCTCCCACCGTGCTCTTCAGTCCGCCGATAACGTCCGCTCCCAGCTTCTCCGCATCATGGAACGCCAGGATCTCGAGATGATCTCCACTTCCTTCGAAGACAAGAAGTACTACGAGAACATCCGCCGCGCCCTCTGCGCCGGTTTCTTCATGCAAGTCGCCAAGAAGGACACAGGCGGCAAGAGCCAATACCTTACCATCAAGGACAACCAGAATGTGCTCCTGCACCCGTCCACTGTCCTGGCTCATGAGGCCGAGTGGGTCTTGTACAACGAATTCGTTCTCACAACCAAGAACTACATCCGCACTGTCACTGCAGTCAAGCCAGAATGGCTCTTGGTACGTTCCCCCTTCCTCTCATATAATCACTGTACATTTTACTAATTCTTTCCCAGGATATCGCCCCTACATACTACGATATTAACAGCTTCCCCAAGGGTGACATCCGCTCTGCCCTGACTCGGGCCGCTGATCGCCTCGCACATAAGGAGAAGATCCGTGCCGAGAAGCGCCGATAGACATTTTTTCCTGTTCAGCCTTAAAATCACGCATGATACGCTTGATTATCGCACTGCTTCCTTTTCGTCACGATGCCAATATTTTGAATAGAACTTTGCTTCCTTGCTCTTTTGTGCCATACCATACATACATGTACTCACTGCCCGGATAATTCCTATCTGTGGTTACCTTCGATCATTTATTGAAGATGCCACATTTGAGGGAGTGTATTAAAACTCCGATGAAATATCCAAAATTCAATGTACTCGAGAGACTTGACCTGGTCTACGGGGACGAAACCATGAAATGTTCTTCAAAAATCAATTGCATTCACAGCCAACAACGCCTAGGCCGGTTAATACATTCAGGGCTGTTTGCCCGCGGTGTTTCTGTATGCTCTATTGGAAACAAATGTAGTCATTTAATATACAAAAAAAGATCTCCTCCATCTTCAATCGGAACATGGATAGTCAATTTCCATGCTGTGGGAGACAAAACAATCAAAATCTCAGCTGGCATATAACGGAGCCTCAACGATAGGAACTGCGCTTTCCACTGATGGTTGATCTGCGCCGGGTTCCCGCCGCCTATTTCGCTTGCTTGCTTTCCGCGAAGCTGAAGATGACGCTTGCGATCTGGCAAGGCTGATCCTAGTGGAAGTTCTAGTGAAACTGCGACTTAATGGAGGCGTTTCAGGTTGCGAGGACTTGAGGGGTGTGATGGTTTCGGCGGATAGAGGGAGGGTGTCTTCGCTTGTTGGATTGAGAGAGTTTTTTGTGGAGGGGTCTGAGATGTGGTGTTTGCGAAGCTCGTAGATGAGTTCGCGGAGTTGGGCAACCTCACCCTTGAGCGTGGAAATGTCCTCATTTACTGTGTTGCCAGCAGGTGTTTGTCCCCCGCTGGATGTAGAGGCAGGCGTTCGGCTACGCCCAAGGGCAGTGCAAAGAGCATTTTCTGCATGTTGATCCGCCAGTTTGGCATTGCGTCGGGCGAAGGTATTCTCCTCCGGCACTTCGATTTGGCTGAGGTATTCTCCGAACGTGTTTCCAAAGTCGTAGCACTTCTGCCACAAGGGGCGGTCGATGTTCTCCTTTGGTGTTTGCTTGGCGGCCTTAGACCACCGCTTGGAATCAGCATGGACGAAAGGTCCCGAGTCGGACTGTCGTGATAAAAGCCTTGGGTCAAAGCCACTGTGCACGGCGGCTCTCACCAATGCATCCGATGCATCTGGTCGGTCGCAAGAGTCGCAAAGACCGACCATTCGACCAAGTAATCTCTCGACTGATTCGAGACGGTGGTCTGTTGATGACAAGAGATAGGTGACGGCTCGTTTCAAAACGTTCACACCCTTATCCCAGTCCCGTCGGAGGCTGTAGAATCGTAGATATGTGAACAGGGTTTCCCAACTATCAAAGAAACCTCCACCCCGTGCAGCTTGAAGCCAAGCGTCGGCTCGATCAGGCTGGTCGAAACGCAATGCAGCACCTATCAAGGCGGCATAGATGACTGGATTGCTGCTGTTTAAAGATGGAACGACGAGATCCATACCATTGACCGTTCGGTGCTTGTAAATCCCTCTGCTCCCTAGGTTGACGGAGTAGCCGTCCCCGCCGAGCATCTTCAAGAACAAATCGAAATCCTTGAGGTTTTTCGATTTTCTAAAGAACGTGATGATTGTGATCACGAGCGATGGGTTGAGGAAGAACCGGTTCGGCAACAATGTCCGCAGAAGCAGCTCGACCAGGTCATTTTGGCGTGTCTGGCCAAATGCCATGATCATCAGCCTGAAGGCCGTCGGTCGATCCGGGTCCCTCGAGCTCAGGATATTGTTGGATATCCGCAGAAGCAGTTCCTGGAGAGACATCTGTTGGCTCGTATAGACCTGAATATCGTCGGCGAGTTCGGCATCAAGGGTCTCGCGCTCTCGTTTCATCTCGCTAAATTGACTTGCGGCGTATTCCTGCGTGATATCACTGTATGCGGAGTTTCTGTCCATTTTCAAGGTGTTCATTCGATGGCGAATATTATTCAATTCCTCCAGGAGCTGCGAGACGTTTACCTGGGGAGTCTCGAAATCCGCTGCGTAGTTCATTGAGACACCCGAGTACCGATGTGCGATGGCCGGTCGCAACAAGATCCGGATAGCGAATTGCCTTAAGGCAAGTTTCTGAATAGCCTTGAGACGAAGATCATCCTCCAAGACCCAGCCAGGTAATGTCTCCTGCGGAAGGAAGATCTCGCTCTCATCGTGTTCATCAATCGTGTGTTCGTCCACCTCAACCGGCTGATTTTCCACCATCCGAGCCCCGACCGCATTCAACCGTGTTCTTTCTGTGTGGAATGCCCTAATTCTGTCGATGCTGGTTGGTGGTTGAATTCCGACAGGGAAGCGAGCAACGGTGCCGAATCCCCTCACTTGCATTAGGCGATTGACTCCTCTGTTTTCTCTTCGCGATTGTAATGACGCCAAAATGCGCTCCTCTTCGTCCACCAGCTCGCTCACCTCGGCCTTGACCGCGGCAATCTTTTCCTCCCAGTCATGTCGACGGCGATCCTTCACGCTCGCATCGGCAATAGCGGCCGCGGCGAAAATGCTGCCGTACAGTGCGGTAACAGAATTTCCAATTCGAAGTCGTCTCTTACTGGCGGTTGCTGCTCGCGAAGTAACCCCGTTGGCAGTAGTGCTCAGACACCCGACACAACGGCAGGATGACTGCTTCGAAACAGCTCGGGACCACAAACCCTGCATTCTCAGGGCATTGCTATCGCGCAATTAGATCCAAAAGGTAATTTTGTAAACCAATGATCAATTGGACTCCTCCCGGAGCCCCGTCGCGCGTAGGGGTATGGAAATAGATGGGGTATCATGCAATCCTGCAAAATAATCTTTCAAGGTTGCAGTTCCGCAAATGCTCGGGTCATCAGTGCAAACATTACAAACGAGCTAAGACCCCATATCTCCTGGACACCATTGAACCTCCAAGACCTCCAAACCTATCTGCTGTTTTTTTTTACTTGGACGAATCTCTTTTGTTACGATATAGAATGGTCACTAAAATCTTCGGTCTTGCCGCCGGGCTACTTGCGTTGAGCGGGCTTGCCAACGCCCATGGCTCGCATTCCAATGACGGAGCTTCCACAGATGATTGGGCCACGAAACACATGATAGGTAAGACACGGTGTTGATGTCCCAATGGGGAAATTGAAGTTACTAAAGTTCTTGTATCCAGAGGAACACCACATTGAATCTTTTGACCCGACCTCATTCTTCATCCTTCACGATTACGATTCCTCGGGAGCATGGACACCTGACGAAGTCCGCAAGACATATGGTCTGAACGATGAATCCAATGCCGATGTCACTGAACAGATGAAACAAGATGCTGCGCGCGCAGTGTTTGAGCTTTTCGACACTGGAAACACCGGGTTTATTGACCGCGAAGACTGGCTGGCAGGCATTGCGGCAGGGAAACGGCTGCCAGATCTTGGTTACGGCCCCGGACACCATGGTGACATCGAGTATGAGTACGAGATCCATCACTTTGAGAAGTACCACGGCGATGATGCCACGGAGGAGGACTTGACCCACCCCGAGGATATTGAGCACTTCCGCAAGCATGACGAGCAGGAGGATGCTGCTATTGCCCTCGAAAAGCTGGAGCAGATTCAAATTGTCGAAGGCAACATTCCTCAAAAGTTCCGCCGAAATTTCTAGACTGTTCAGCTCACAGTTCCATGTTTCTTTTCTCTGTACATATGCGCTTATACATATCAGCTTACGTCAATTTGAGCCTCGCGGTTCATCCATCACATCCCTCTCTAACTTGTGATATGCTAAGATCTCTCTGCATAAAATTTCCAGGGGAAATGTATGAAAAGCTATAACAGCTATTTAAGACCTTGAATTTGGAAGCAGCGGATATAACGATAAATAGCCAGCCATGAAATGAAGCAGACCCGCCAATACAACATGTATGAAATGGAAACTCATGACTTAAAAACGCCGGAGGAGAGTATTGAGACGCTAAAAGCTCAGAAATAGAGGGATGATCCATGGCAAAATGCGGCAGTCAACGCCAATCCCGAACACAAGGAAACAAAGGGAAAGAGGTCTTGGGAGAACAAGGAATTGCTAGGAGAAGAACTGTCCCTTTATACTTTGATTTGTCTTCCGGAGACTTGGCTCTCAGTACTCCGTAGTGTAGCCCAGCCTATCGTTCGAATCGACAACTCTGTAGTCTAAGTGTTAGCAGTAAAATTAACGCACCATGAGAATTTTTTCAACTTACGAGTATTGTTTCGTCAAAGTTCCCTCTCCGCCCTTCGACAGATCGATATTAAAAACGTAGAAGTTGCCATCACTAGTGACAACCATGACTTGGGGAGTGTTGCTACTCATAGCAACCACACTCCTCATCGGCCCGGGGCCTGAATTACTACCAGGGCCTGAGTTCGATCGCGGCACTTTGATCCAAGCAAAGTCACGCGCCGGTTCCCACATCTCACTGACTCCCTTGGGAAGATATCCGCCCACTTTGGCGGCAACTGCGCCACCAACGTTTTGAGAGGTTCGGCGGAGTATCCCCATAAAAGTGCCGTTGTGTTTCCGCAACGAAGAATCTGAGCCTGCCTCGCCGTTGGTTTCATCCTCCTCGGGTGAATATCCATGGGTATTTTGCGGTGAGCCATGGTCCCGGCCAGAAGGAGAATGCGACGAAGAAGCATCGGATGATGGTGTTTGGTGGGTCAACTTGAAGATATGGACGGTCTCGGTGGATGATGAAACGCATAAGAGCGTGGATGTGGTGTTAAAGGACATGCTGTAGATTCGTGACGGCATGGAGCCACGTCGGAACTGGTACAACTTGTGACCATCTGGAACTGAGAAAATGCGGATGATAGTTCCTTTATCTGAGGCAGTAGCTAATAAAGTCCCATCGCTATTCAGCGCAATGAGTGCCAGAGGAGAGCGATGGGCTTCGATGACGTTGATAGCTTCTAGTTTCACGGCATCAAAAATTAAGACGTCCCCGCTCGTGGGAGATACATGTGTTGTTCCGGGAGGCGCATGTGCTGGTGTTTTTGCAGCTGCCGGGGCTTTTTGTGGAAGAGGATATGCCATGTAACAATTCTCTGAGGAGGGCGCAAGGCCACAAATTGCTGTTTATTTGTCAGAACTGGTCATCAAACCGCTTGAGAAGGGGAAAAAAAAAAAAAAAGCCAGGCGCAAGAGCTCTGTACCGTTAGGATTTGGTGAAGTATCAATGGTAGACAAAAGCTTCATGGTCTGGATATCATAGAGATAGATCTGATCTTCAAGGACAATGACAAGTCGCTTGCGGTTCAGCTTCACTGCAAGAACTGTTGTTGGAAATGTCAATTCGCATATCGTGCATTGTCGCTATCCCAAACGTTAGTTCCATGTAACCATATGATGTATATAATGGCACGACTAAGTCGAAAGGATTCGAGTTACCTTAGTGTTTTGAATCTGCAAACGTCTTGGCGATAAGATAAGGGCTACAAGAGAGGTTGAGAACAGCATCTCAATGACAGCAATATTTCCCTCCTTGGCTTCATAGCTCTTGGCAAAGGGTTCAGTTGTGAAGATCTGAAACCCCTTAGATGTTGCTATAAATGCGATCAGTCAATGTCTGATAAAGATAAAGAAACCGTTTCCGGGAAAAGACTCACCCACAGCCAGGTAGCTGTAGTCCTGGTTAAATGTGACGAAATTCATTGCCATTTTTGGAAAGGTTCAGGATTGTAAATGAAATCAATGAGATTGATACGATATAAGGCAACTCTCGGATGTCGGAGATACCCCGCTTAGCGCGAGATTGAGATGGAGCCACCAGCAACTCTTTACCCGTCACTGGCCACTGCACAACATATCTTAGATTTAGAACAAAATGAGATGCTTCAACGACGATGATGTGGAGAAGAGAGGATATGCTATCCGTGAAGTCTTTGGAGAAACTTGTCACAAGCGAGAGGTTTGCGCTTGGGCCACACCTTGATTGCCCACCGCCTACGGATTATTTATCTTATCGACAATCGCTGGTTCTCTTGGAAGGTTTCAATGGCCTTTTTACTTCACTCTCTGGCTGATGTTAACTAGCTTGAACGTAAATACCGAACAATCGGGAGGCTAAGAAGGGTATGTCATTTCCATGAAGCTTTGAATGTTGCTGAAGCTGTTAATTTTAGTCACCGACCCCTTACTTCCATGAAACGGGTGAGAGTATCCTCGCCCCCCAACATACGTAATGACGTAGAGATCATTTACTATGATCTTAGGCCCCACTCTCATTGTGTTATTTTGTCAACTCCAAGCAATGTCTGTATATCAGAAAATCGAAGATATGAGTTGCATATATGGGCTATAGCAGATACATCCCAATCAGGGCAAACCCCACCAGCTCAACATATATCCTGGAGGTGGTAAGTGAGTTGTGGAAGGATATATCATGAGTTTTGAAGGGAAAAAAAATAAGGAGTTAGACCTCGGCATCATACTGGAGTTCTTCGGCTTGTATCTCTCCGTGATAAGAAGCAGATGACCTATCATAGGCAACTATATCCATGTCGACTAGGGAGCTTGTTCTATAAATGAACACCTCAGCAGATAAGAGGCTCATCTTCATTCAAGGTGAATTTTTTGTTTGAAGGGAGCGATTCATGTGCGCTATCCTCGATAGGTGATGACTTGCTGCCCGATGAAAAATACAGAAGCTTGACAGTGTCAGTGTTAGTTAACAGGTGCGAGGTATATGCGCCAGTTGGACTGGATAATGCAGGCATAGCCACTCACAGAGTCAACCTCTGACTCACCGACCACATCATTCACAAAGAAGGTGCCATCAAGGCCCGAAATGTTTTGATACTCGCAGCCCAGCATCAGGGAAAACGTAGCGACCAGCCAGGTCTCCCGGACATGGACTGAATATGCCGCGCGTCGCCACTAAAGACCAAAATAGTTCTCGAAAAAAATTTCAATATAGGCCCGTGTACCAACCCGTGGAAGAAATACCTCGTCGACGCGAGGAAAACAAGGTACGGCAGCTACCCGCCTCGCACGACATGGTCCCCTTATGCGTGGACCACTGAAACCGCCCTGATTAGGTCGTTTTTCATGCCGCCCGGGCCCAATTGAAGAAATCGAGCTTTGACTGCAACGAAATTTGCTTAATGGCTCAAGTCGGACGATAACTGTAGGCAGCAGTTGAGACAATTTGTCAGCATGCGCATAGCCTATACTTGCCTGCTTTGTAGGTGATCAAGCACCTGAAGAATGTGGCGCAGGGCCGTAGCCAATATGCACAGTTCCCTGCCCAGACCGAGACCTGCTCACCATGTGGCCCCGCCAGGATATGAAATGAAACCCACCAGTTGGGTAGCAAACAGCCATGCAAGCTATTGATCCTAACTGGGCCGGTGACAGCCGGCGTGCAGTGTCAGATCCCAGACGAGGAACAGCTTATTTTGCCCCCGTCCGATGATGTACAGTTCCTGCACACTCCGACTGGTGCATGGAGCATCCCGTCGACATGTCCCCCAAACACCGGTGCTGATTCGACCGCGTCTACCCTCAGGCACACCACCAGTAATATCCCATGCTATGCTGCTGGTTGTACAGGGTATGTGTTGCATACCTAGTGGCAAGTAGGGAGTGGACACAGTCTTCACTAACCCGACCAAAGGGGGGTTTATGCATCTAGTGGTGATGTCTAGGATAGCCGAGGATCGGCAGATAGGGAAATCAAGGTCGGATCTACAGAAAGTTTGCCCGATTGTTCAAAAGAGCGTTTTCCATCTGACACAGTTCACTTTTGCTGGCTCAGAACTGGTAGAAAAATGGGTAACCAATGAGGGTTGATATGGTTCTCTTGTGTGCTTGGGATGTCAAGCGATACGCTAAGGAAAAGATAAGACTGAATTTCCGGAAGTGTCACCTTACAGCTTTGCGTACTAGGTATCTACATATAGATACTTAGGCTTGTTGTTAGGCACGGGTGTTAGGTATTGAGTCTTTGGGCATCTTGCATTGAGACATTATCACAAGACCGTTCTTGTTTTTCCGGGCTATTGACGGGATTTAGGCATCCGCTTATTGGGCATGTTGATATCTAACGTTTCGATTGAAACCCCCACCTCGAGTGGATCGCAGTGGCGATCCGGGGTTAGTTCTAAACCTGTACAGGATACATCGAATGCATGTACTTTTTATATATGCGGGAATCTGTTGATATTTTTTTTTACTTTTTTTATGTGAACGTTTTAGTTGAAAATTGAGACTTGTTGAAAAGACCAGTAATATAGATATGTAGATCTAGATATATATATATCCATATTCAAAGTTGATATATATGTTCCAAGGTTATGATATATCCCATAACCTTCGGGATAACCCGTGGATTCCTCATATTCGGAACAAATTGACTTTCTCTGTTCACGAAAAGGCTAAGGCCATTCTCGTGGATCCGATAACAGCCTGGGAACATTGGGGGGATTTCTTTGTTCTCGATCTGGTGGAGACAATTTCCAAGATGAAACCCCCAGACGCACAGACAAGGCCTGTAATCTGGGCCCCGATATTAGGAAATCTCATCGTCATTAGGGGTTGCCCCATTGAATGATTGGCTCAAATGTTAGTCGTCCGTGATCACCTATTTTCTTATAGGTCCAGAGAGAGGATCCGAAGGCAAAAAAAAAGTGGTAAGTATCCCTGTATAGGTGGGAAATTGCGATTCACAAACCATTTTCAATATCTGATGCATATAACATACGGATAATATAACCAGACCCGCGGTGGAGCTAGTGGATACAATGGGGGAAACACTACTCCGTATGGACAATGACGATAGTAAGTGATGATGATGAGATATGCTAGTGCCCCAGTAAATGCCCCAGTAAATGCCCCAGTAAATGCCCCAGTAAATGCCCCAGTAAATGCCCAGTGAAATTGTATGGTAACATCTAAACAATAGAATTGAATTTTTAGGTACATATTATACAATGTACGATGTACTCTCTTGTCAGATCTTGTCCCACGTTATCTCTCCCCCTCCTTCAATTGCTCTCTCCACTTGTCTCTACTTTGCTCTTTTATCTAGTCTCTCCCTCATAACTTGTTCCCCATTCCACCCCTTACCTAACTTAACCCTCGGTATTGTATGATCCCCCTCCTTTGACCTTCCGAGTCCAACTTATTTACTTTGTATCTGCAACTGTTTGAACTTCACTACTTCACTACTTCACTACTCCACCACTTCACTACTCCACCACTTCACTACTCCACCACTTCACTACTCCACCACTTCACTACTCCACCACTTCACTACTCCACCACTTCACTACTCCACCACTTCACCACTTGTGACGCGCCCAAGCGAAATTCTGCTAACCGTCACATAGCTGTGCTTGCGATCACTCACGCGTCAGATTGCCATTGCTCTCGACACTATCCACCACACATTGACTGCAAATGATGTAATCGTCATTTGACTGACTCTCGAAAAGTGTTGCAATTGCAAGTGACCATTATCATCTTCATCACAATATTTCACCCAATTTTCAACACGCGTTTTGTCAGTCATGGCCACCGTGCTAGTTCAGCAGCAAGCGCTGCACCACTCGACCCCTCCTCCCTCTCCTATCCCCTCAGCCTTGACCGTCAACCGACGTTCAAGTCCTATCCCGAACAGACATATTCCAGTATGCCCCACTGGCCCTATTCCAGCCCCTCAGCCTACTTCCGCACCGCGATCATCCAGCGATCAGCCGTCCTCGCTATTATCTCCTCCAGATGAGAAAATGCGCATTGGACGAACCACATCCCCCGCTGTTTATGCTATTGATGGCGCCAAATTGGCAGCTGCTATCGCTCATCAAGCATCGCAGCCTTTACCTGATCCATCTTTGATGTTTCCTTGGCTCCATGGACTGCATCAAGACAACCATCTGCAGCTAGGTTTCTTTTCAAGTCGCAGGCGCCATGCTCGTCGCACTCCGAAATGCTGGCGGGGTATCACCGTGGTCAAGCTGGGAGGTGACTTGACCAAGTCACGCATCAAGGGTGCAGTGAGCGCCCATGAAGTGTTGGCACCGTCATGCCGCTTCTTGATGGCCGATCCTCCCGAGGGATTCTCCGTCCGCAATTTCCAAATACAAACTGCCAAGTTGGCTGCGATGTCGGATATTGTTATTTATGCCGAAGATAACAACAGTCATACTGGACTTGTTGAGTTGGCCAACCAGTTTGCCAAGGCCCAGCAGGCATGGCGAATGAAGATGGATCCCATGCAGGAGCGACCAACCTACAATACCTTTATCCTTGCCGGTTTGTTACTTTACCCTATCCCTCGCACTCGTCGACCATCAATTGATATATTTCCATAGACAAATTTACCAATGTTGCGGAGAAACACCCAGAGATTATTGCCATCGATTCAAGCGGTCAACCTACAGGCCGAACTATGGATTTCGGTAACTTCAAACCTTGCTACGCCCTAAAGTTTATGCTAACAAAATTGGTAGTCCAATGGGAACGACTGGAAATGACTACGATGTCCCGTGCATCCGAGATTTCGTCCAATCTTTGGCTCGGGCCAACTCCGGACTACTTCCATACGACCGTTGCTCTGGAGTTGGCAAAGGAAGATGGCTATGACCTGTTGATCGAAACATGCGACATGGCCAACATTCCTGGCCCACGGTTCCTCGCAATGCTCGACAAACAGATTGAGAGTGGTCCTCAGCGCTTGGAGTTCCCCTCTTCGGGATCTCTTCTGCTTCCATCGGGAAACACCAGAGAGGTTGAGGACATTGTCAACACCATCAGGTGGATCTACTATCTCGCGCACCCAGATAATTCATCGGAAGAGCTTGAAACGGACGGAGATGTCGACGGAGATGTCGCAATAACCAAATCGAGCGGGAAACCACGCAAGATTCTCATCCACTGCGCGGACGGCTATACCGAAAGCTCGTTGTTGGCCGTGGCGTACTTCATGTTTGCAGAAGGCGTGCCTGCCCATGAAGCTTGGCTCCGACTTCATTGCAATAAGAAACGCAACTTCTTCGCCTATCCGACCGACGTTGCTTTCCTATCCCACATCCAAGGACGTCTGTTGCAGGAAAGCCCCGCGACACAGTCGATGGATCTCTCGGAAATCTCAGACCCGAATTGGTTTCACCACATGGACGGCTCCTTCCCCAGCCGTATCCTGCCGTATCTTTATCTGGGCAATCTGACGCACGCAAACAACCCGGAGCTTCTGTGGGAGCTTGGGATCAAGCGTGTGCTTAGTATTGGCGAGGCTGTCAATTGGACAGATGCTGACCGTGCCAACTGGGGAGCGGATAACTTGATGTACATTGACAATGTCCAAGACAATGGCATTGATCCTTTGTGTCAGGAGTATGATCGTTGTTTGGAGTTCATTGGTAAGTCATCCGAATTCGTTCCTTTTATTTCTGTTTCAATATGCTAATTCGTGCACAGAAAAAGGAAACGAACAAGGCATGGCCACATTGGTCCATTGTCGAGTCGGTGTTTCGAGGTCCGCAAGTATTTGCATTGCTGAAGTTATGGCCTCCAAAGGCCTCTCTTTCCCGCGTGCATAGTAAGTTAATTTCTAATGAAGTCATTTAGCTGGATGATGCTAATCTATGCTAGTTGCTTTGTCCGCGCAAGACGTCTCAACGTCATCATCCAACCTCATCTTCGCTTTGTGTAAGTTTTTATGTTCTTCTACTCTCACGTCCAGTAAGGGAAGTTTGCTCACACCTAGTCACAGGTATGAACTCCTTCAATGGGAGGAATATCAAATGAAGAAGCGAGGCGAGGCCGTCAAGCGAGAGCTTGAATGGGGCACTGTTGCGCGTGAGATAGCTCTGCTGAACAAGCCCTACTCGAGGCACTAAGAGTAGCCTCTGGCTCTGAGATCCGCCCTCATCCATCAGGATTGGAAAGATGGGCCACTGGATACTGCGATATCACCATTCCTTCTGCAAGCACAAACACTAACACAATCCACAACACTTCTCTGCTGACTGTTTGCCGACCTGAGGGTCAGCACTTGGCTTCACCATGGCTCGAACACGAGACCTATTTCCTTAATGCGTGTTCTTGCCACCTCTTTCATGCGAGACACTTCACTACACGACGATACAATGACTTTGCACGATTTCCACGAACAAGGACGACTTCTTGACTGATCCTTGGCGCTCGGCGTTTTCAAGTCTTCAGGGCATAGGAGATGTTGCACCTACTACCCATGATGCAATGAATTTCTGATGTCTCTGACCCGATTTTTTGTTTCTTTTCAGCCAGCCAATATTGTTGATTTTACCTGTTGATTTCGCCCTATTCTGTCTTTTTTTGTTTTCAATTTTCAATTCTCAACTTCTCTTCTTCTTTTTCTCTTTCATCCAGCAAGAATTTGCACTGTTATTTCTGCCCGTATCATTTACCAGCATTTTCTCATGATAAACCTCAACTTTTCCAGGGGTTAAGTCTTGATGTCACACTGCAAGTTTGAACTGGAGCTTTCGAGAACTTGCTTCTTCATTTCTCAACATCCATCTCCATTTGAGTTATCATCCCTTCGTGGATTTGGTATTTTTCTATCTTTCTTTCACACCTCTTTCCTCTCCTCTCAGTTCCTCTCCATGGGACTTCGGATTATGTTTTATCTAGGCTATGGCGCAGATATGGCGTGTTCACAAGCTCGGCGATCACAGGCGTCTGTCTCTGCTGATCACTTTAATGTTATTTTTCTTATCCGAGCTGCGCACATTTTTGGGTCGATTAAACACCCCTTGTAATATCTAAACGAATATCAAATCAAAACGTGCAGACGGGCTACGAGCCAGATCTTGGCTCACTAATGCTTGCCTTGAAATCCCGGTCGAAAAGCAGACATATCCTTATTCGTTAATTCATAAATATAAACCCGTATAATACAACTGTATGACCCTCGCGTCTACGATAGCCTCCACTCAGCACCGCTCAAACACCCGATACAGCCCCTTGAGATCTGCAACCTCAACCACACCCCGCAGCAGCCGTGACGTGGCAACCAGCCGCGCACGCAAAGCAGGGAAAACAGCATACTCCAACATGCGGGCCATCTGCACACGACGGGCCGCAATGAAAGCATCCTCATCCCCGACCCCAGAGCCCTGCCCAGCCGACTCCCCCAACGCCTCCTGAGCCCCAGCCTTCGAAGGAACCGGCAGCTGCTCCGGCGTATAAAAAGCCGCCAACTCACGCAAAAACGTCCTAAAACAGCCCTCCTCACTCCCCCAATCCACAAACGGCCCCAGCCTCAGTAGAAATCTCGGCAATTTCGCCAGCGCAGGCAAATACCCCTTCAACAGCAACGGGATCGCCACCAAGTCCCCGTCCGCACTGATCTGCAGCGAAAAATACTCATCCAGCATCTCGCGCCGCTCGACAAGCGTGCGCGCGATCATCTCCGGCGCATTGGCGAAGATGGAATCGGCCTCTTCCCCGCTCGACTCGGAGTGTTCCTGCCGTTCCGATTCTGCGGCGATTTTCAGTAGATCTACTAACTTCGGCGCGGGCTCTAGTCGGATTGTTCCGAAGTTGCCGAAGTCGGTTAGGCCCACTTGGTAGAAGAATTCGTGGCATGCGAGGCCGTAGTCGATTAGGTAGAGTTTCACGCCTGATTGGATGGCTGCTAGGCGGCGGCGCTCGTCGACGAGTCCGACGTAGGTGTGTGAGGCGAACATTTCTGTTAGCGTGGTGTGCATTTCGGAGCGGACGGTCGCTCGGAGGGTTTTGACGGATGAGAGGGCGATTTTTAGTGCTTGCCGGTCGGTTGTTTCGTATTGCAGGCCGTTGTCGAGGATTGAGGTTGCTGGGGTGGTGGGTTCTTGGGGGGCGTTTGGGTTCGATGGGTCGCGGGGTGAGGCTGTGGCTGGGGCTAGCATTGCTGTTATTTTGCGGACTTTGGAGTCCGTTCGGATGAGGTTGTTTTCGTAGGGTTTCTTTGTTGCGGGTGTTTTGGGGGTTTTTCCAGCTTTGCTTGTATCTGCTGTTCCCTCGTGGGAGGGGGCGGCCTGTAGAGACTCGATAGTCTGCACGCCAGGTAGGAGGCTTTGTGTTAGGAATGTGCGGCTTGAGTCTACCTCTGCTAGCTTGGATCGGATTTCAGTGCAGACGAGCTCGATGATCTCGTCTTCGTTTAGGAAGTTTACTTCGCGCTTTGTCGGGTGGACATTTACGTCGACGCGGTTGGGCTCGACTTCGAGATCAAGATAGACGAAAGGGTGGCCGCCCTTGGGTAAAAAGGAAGAGTAGGTCTGTTCAACTGCTCGCTTAACAGCAGTTGACTCTACTGCACGGTGATTGATGAAAAGTAGAATCACTGTCTTCTTGACATGGTAGTTGGCGTTCGTAGCGAGGCCAGATGCGCGGAATCCGAACTTCGTATCCTGAGCTTTGAATTCAACAAGCTCGTTAGCCACGGCGCTGCCATGAATCTGGCGGATCCGGTCAACAGTATTGGCGCTGGCTGGAGTCGAGATGCTCACGCCAGAGTCTCCATGCTTGCGGCATGAAAAAGCAACCCCTGAGCAATGCACTGCGTATCGACCAACGACATCGAGAATTTTGGCATATTCCTCGCTTGCCGAGCGGAAAGCTCGCCGCCGAGTGGGGACGTTATAGAAGAGATCCTCGACCTTGAGATTCGTTAACTTGAGAGCATGCCGTGTGTTCATATGTTTAACTTACGGTGATTTGAGTTCCTCCTCGGCCAGCCGTTGCTTTGGGTGCCGAACTCTGGCCTGGCTTTGCCGGTATTAACTTGCCATCACCGTAATGTGCTCGCCAGGCACAGCTAGATCCAGCTGTCTTCGTTGTAACTGTCAGATGTGCAATATGACTGATGCTAGCTAGAGCTTCACCACGGAATCCGTATGTTCCAATTGAGGTCAGATCTTCAAACTCCTTGAGCTTAGATGTAGTAAACCTCTCGCATAGGATAGGGAGATCATCTCGCTAGATAGTGTCAGAGACGGCTGCTAGAACATCAAAAAATGAACTTACATCAATTCCATGGCCATTATCTGTAATCTGGAGTAGCTTCAAACCACCTTCCTTAATCAGGACTTCAATTGAGGTCGAGCCAGCATCGACGGCGTTTTCGATGAGCTCCTTCAGTGCGTGCATTGGAGCAACGATAATCTCTCCAGCGGCAATTTTATTTACAACATCGGGATCCAAAGCCTGTGTAGCATGAGTATTTCTATGTGATAGTATACGATGGGATTCATGTGCACGCGTTACAGTACCTTGATTTTCTTCGGTTTAGGGGGTTCCAGAGGCTCTTCTTCCTCTGCTGCGCGCTTGGTGCCGCGTTGATCGACGGGCTCAGTATTCATATCGTCTTCCATTATGATTTTCAGATATTAGAAAGGTGTTTGGGGGGAAATGGAGTGTGAGGTGCGCGTAGTTGGAGAAAAGGCGAAGAGCTGATAAGGCGATAAGAGAGCCTCGGCGTCATTGTTTGTGGGGATGCGTTAGTTGCTCCGCGGCATTCCTCCTCTCGCCATAAATATGCAACGATTCGGTCGCATTTTCCTGTGTATCTGTTCGTCGATTCCATGACATAAAGGGAACCACGGAGCTCACGGAGCTTGTCCTTAATCAATCCGGGCGCACATCATGAGCCCTACGAAGATGCCCCTTCGGGCCGATGAAGAGATGGGCAAGAAAGATGACGACCATCGACCATCTGATCAAGCACGATTCCTCCCTCTACGACACCGAGCCATGCCTCGGCCCCATCGAGTACTGCTAGCTATCATTGCGTTTGTTCTCTTCTACGAGTTCTTCAAGCACATGCCGACAGACCTGGGACCCGCCGCCGATCGGTACAACCCGGGGATTGCGAAGCTACGAGAAGAAACCCTTGCTAGATTGACTAGCTCAGATACGCAGCCGGATACTCCCAAGCCAGGTACTGCATCACCAGACAATTTGCCACCAGTTAAGGTGTTGGGATCGAACCGAAACACGGAACCTTACGATGGGATGATCAAGTACTACGACTTGGCCCAGTCTCTTCCTCGCGTCAAGTATTCACAGAAAACTCCCAGCCGTGCAGTTATGTTCGCAGCTTCAAGTCTCCGCAGTGTGTCGGATCTTTTGCCTCTAGCTTGTCGGATGGCTGGTGAGAAGCTGAACCATGTGCATTTCACCTTAATGGGAAGGGAGGAAGTTTCGATTGAAGGAATCAAAGAGGTTAACAGAATCAGAGATAGTGAATGCCCGATGATATGGCACGGTATGATATTCAGATTATTATGGTCGAATGCGTTTCGCTGACTTGCGATAACTAATAGATGCTCGGCCGGACTATGCACCTAGATCTACCAATGATCGTATGAAGCGGTCCGTGATAGGAGGGCTGCAAAACATACAAATCTATATCAGCCCTGAGGTTATCATTACACAGGGTCGGGACTGGGAGGATTCCTTCTTCTGGGACGGGGTCGATGTCCATGCTCAAGAAGATAGCGTCCCCCATGTTGTTCTCTCGGCTGCTTCAAGGGATCTTATGTGGATAGCCTCGCTGGATAGCGAAGCTCTTCGATGTAAGTTATCTTCCCTGTCTTTGGTATGTCGTGTTCGAAATACTGACCGTACGTGAAACAGCGTGGAATAAGATACAAATCGAAATGGTTGTGCATGCACCCTCCGAGTCTTCTGGGTCTTTGATCAGGCTTATCAAGTCATTGGATGCAGCCAACTATTTAGGATCGATCCCAAGCTTGACAATAGAGCTCCCTCAGCAGGCGGATTCGCAGTTGCTTCGGTTTTTACAGCATTTGGATGGGTTAACCCAGATTTCTGACCGAATCACGATTCGGCGGCGCATTCAACCGCATGACATGGACACAGCAGAATCATCGCTTCGAACCGTGGAGTCGTTCTATCCACGGGACCCTGAGATGACACATTTACTTATGCTATCTCCACAAACCGAGCTCGCACCGTCGTTCTATCACTACCTCAAGTTTGTTGTATTGAACTACAAACAGTCAGCCCGGGCCAAGCGCATATTTTCCAATATGATTGGCATCTCACTCGAATTGCCATCATCCAAACCCACGGCTGGTAGCCAACCTTTCACACCACCGCCCATGACCGTTAAAGGTAAAGAACAGTTTCTTTCCTCGTTCCTCTGGCAGGCTCCCAATAGTAACGCCGCTTTGTACTTTGGTGATGCATGGGCGGAATTCCATTCTTTCATGGCTAACCGCCTGTCGACTCCGGAATTCGCGGCGGCCTCCCAAACAAAGTTGATATCAGAGAAATATCCGGCCTTTATGGAGCACATGCTCGAGATGATCCGTGCCAAAGGATATTATCTCCTGTATCCATCATTCCCAGGGATCGATTCTTCTTCGATTGCCACAGTACACAACGAGCTATATCAGTCACCAGAAGAATTCGGGGACTCAAATCGCGCCACCTCGGGCGAAGAATCCGGTAGAAAACCTATTGGCTTGGGGTCTATTGAGAAACCGCTGAGCCATGCATCAACTATTATGCCACTCCTTGACTTGTTCCCTTCGGGTCTTCCCGATCTTGATGCTTTGCCTCTTCTTTCATACGACGGAGAGGGATTAACGGCCACGGCATACACCCAACAGACGGAAGAATATGCCAAGGAGTTTCGGGCCCATTATGGAGGATGTGCTGGCAATAGCAGGATTGAGGATCCCTCGACAGGCCAATTATTTTGCATTCAAGACCGACTTCCTGACGAAACCCCCAGGATCTGACTTGTGATTCCACCGGCATATTTACCAAATTCAACATGTATGTAATAAATTAAATTTGTATTCGAATTCGAATGACCACCGCTCAAGTCATTATCTCCCTAATAAATCAAATTCATAAGGATTTGAATCATAGGATTGAAGTCGTAGCATTGCAAATCCAAAACAATGACGAGCGCCTTCCACGGCTTGGCACCTTATGTAATCTAATTCCGGAGCTGCACCAGACCGAGCTCTGCTTCTCCATCACCAGCTTACAATCCACTTGCATTACTCTTTACTTGCAGAATTTCATCTATTTCTGCTTTGTAACACTATCTTCTACTCATCTGCTTGATACCTACCCCTCCCTCGCCGCTTCGATTTCCCCCCGACTTGGTCCCCAGCTACCATCAGAAATGGCCAACGAGGGCGAACGGCCAACCTCCGCCGACAAGGGCAAGGGCAAGGTTGATGATGTTCGCGAGTTGAACGGCAAGAACACCGAAAATGGCGAGAAGCCAGCAGACGAAAAGAAGAAGGAGGAGACATCTCAAGATGGTACGTTGCGATAAGGCATTTCCAAGGTTCTCGCAACAGAGCATGTGGTTTCTCTCAAAGTTCCACGGTGGCACTCAAAGTAATAGTCTGACATGAATTTTCTATAGAGGAGCTCAGCGAAGAAGACCAGCAATTGAAGAGCGAACTTGAGATGCTCGTTGAGCGGTTAAAGGTAGAGTCACTCTCCTATCCCGTGCGCATAGCACAATGACGTTAATCATCCTCTTCTTTCTCAATAGGAACCGGATACCTCGCTCTATGGGCCTGCTTTGGACGCAATCAAGAACTTTATCAAGACTTCTACATCATCCATGACAGCTGTTCCTAAGCCTCTCAAGTTCCTCCGACCGCATTATGATGGCCTGACAGAGCTATATGAGACCTGGGTCCCAGGCCCTGTTCAGGTTAGTTCTCTGTACCGCTTCCGTCGCTTTGTGAGGATCTAACGATATCATTTTTTTCTAGAACTCGTTGGCCGATATGCTATCGGTGCTTGGAATGACTTGCGGAGACGAAGAGAAGCTGGAGACCATCAAATACCGCCTGTTGGCCAAATCAGAGGATCTTGGATCCTGGGGCCACGAGTATGTCCGACACCTTGCACTGGAAATTGGACAGGAATATCAGAATAGGTTGAACGCAGATCAGGATACCCAGGATCTAGTGGACCTTGCATTGACGCTGGTGCCCTATTTCCTGAGTCATAATGCTGAGGCCGATGCGGTTGATCTTATGAGCGAACTGGAAATCATCGAAGATATCCCTCAATTCGTTGACGAGAACACATACGCTCGAGTCTGCTTGTATATGGTTAGCATGGTCAATCTCCTCACTTACCCTGAAGACCAGCAATTCCTTCGAACCGCCCACGGCATCTACGTCCGCTACAACAAGCTTTCGCAAGCGATCGTGCTCGCTATCCGGTTGAACGACATTGATCTTATCAAGAATGACATCAACGCCACAACCGACGTGTCTTTGAAGAAACAGATGGCCTTCCTTGTCGCCCGGCAGCAGATCTGGCTCGACCTTCCGGCCGAGGATGAGGAGGGAGAGGCTTTGGCTGATTGCCTCAACAACACTTCCATTCCAAAGCACTTCAAATCCTTGGGCAAGGAACTCAACATTATGGATCCCAAGATGCCGGAGGATATCTACAAGACACATCTCGAGAGCAGTCGCGGAGCCGGTCTCACCAATCTTGATTCGGCACGACACAACTTGGCCAGTGCCTTTGTCAACTCGTTTGCTAACGCCGGCTTCGGTGACGATAAGATGATGCTAGTGGAGGGTGATAAAGGCCCGTGGGTGTGGAAGACAAAGGATGATGGCATGCTTTCCACAACTGCGTCGCTGGGTATGCTGCTACACCGTGATGTCGAGGATGGATTGGATAAAATCGACAAGTTCACCTACGCACAAGAAGACCAGGTTAAGGCTGGTGCACTGCTAGCTATTGGTATCCTGAACTCCGGCGTCCGACTTGACTCCGACCCCGCCCTTGCCCTCTTGAGTGACCCTGACAACCTTGAGGCGAAGAACGTGCCGATGAGAGTTGCATCCATCATGGGTCTTGGTCTCGCATATGCCGGTTCCAACAAGGAGGAACTGCTTGAAGTTCTCCTTCCCATTGTGGAAGACGCCTCACTAGACATGCAGCTGTCTGCCATGGCCGCAGTTTCACTGGGTCTGATCTTTGTTGGTTCATCAAACCACCAGGTTAGCGAGGCAATCGCGACGACCTTGATGGATGAGGAGCGTCAGAAGCAGCTCAAGGACAAGTGGACAAGATTCATGGCCCTCGGTCTGGCACTTCTGTACTTCGGCCGCCAAGAGGAGGTTGATGTCATCCTCGACATCCTCAAGGCAGTTGACCACCCCATGGCCAAGCCCACCTCAGTCCTTGCCTCGGTATGCGCTTGGGCAGGCACTGGTACAGTGCTCAAGCTACAAGAGCTTCTCCACATCTGCAATGACATTATTGAAGAGAAAGAAGAAAACAAGGGCGATGAGCTTGTTCAGTCGTACGCTGTTCTCGGCCTTTCTCTCATTGCGATGGGCGAGGATGTCGGACAGGATATGATTCTCCGCCAGTTCGGTCACCTCATGCACTATGGATCTCCCAACATTCGCCGGGCAGTTCCCCTAGCTATGGGCCTAATCAGCCCCAGTAACCCACAAATGAAGGTTTACGACACACTGTCCCGGTACAGTCACGACAATGACAACGATGTTGCCATTAATGCCATCTTCGCTATGGGTCTCTGTGGCGCTGGTACCAATAACGCCCGTCTTGCACAGCTTCTCCGGCAATTGGCCAGTTATTACCACCGCGACCAAAACTCATTGTTCATGGTTCGCATCGCGCAGGGTCTCCTACACATGGGCAAGGGTACCATGACGCTTAATCCCTTCCACACTGACCGCCAGGTCCTTTCCCGTGTTTCAGCAGCGGGTTTGCTTACTGTGCTTGTATCACTCATCGATGCCAAGCAATTCATCCTCGCTGAACACCACTACCTGCTCTACTTCCTCATTACCGCCATGTTCCCCCGCTTCCTTATTACCCTCGACGAGGACCTTCAGCCACTTACAGTCAACGTCCGCGTCGGTCAGGCTGTGGACGTGGTCGGCCAGGCTGGTCGCCCGAAGACCATCACTGGATGGCAGACTCAGAGCACGCCAGTCCTCCTGGCTCACGGTGAGAGAGCGGAGCTTGAGGATGAACAGTACATTCCTCTGAGCAGCACTCTTGAAGGCTTGGTTATCTTGCGCAAAGTACGTATCCTTATCTCAAGTCAAAATAAAATACACCCAACTAACCTTTCTTCCAGAACCCGGACTACGAAAGCCCTGAATAAGCAAGCTAGACTAGATATTCCCCGATTTACATCCATTGCTCGCAACCAGCGGGACTCGTATAGTGGTCGGGTTATCGTTGGATCTAATGTATTCAGAACGAATGAAGAATAGCATGGATTTATTTTACTATTTTTATATATGTTTGGTGTATACTGCAACTGGTTAAATGTATGGGTAGACTACGTACTTTGGACCTCGGTAGATCTGCAGAGCCTGGTGTATGAGCAGACCCACTCAACTTGAAGCAGCTGCTTGCTTTTCATCCGTTTTTAAAATGAATCCAGTCATAATGTTGTTATTGTCGCGTGATGCTATCCAAGCAAAGGCGAAGCTATCAAGGTTCTCGGCCCGGATAGGAAATAGGGCTTAGGGCTAGGTTCTTATCAACTTTTTTCCTCCGCTGTATCGTTGACTGGTCCAACTTGTTTTGAAGTTCGGGTCTCCAACGAATCAATTTATGAAAATTGGAAGAAAGTGAAAAGCTCCTTCACTTCCTCGCAACCATGAAACTCGACGCTAAGGCTATTCGCTACCTCACCTCTGAGGATTTCCGAGTTCTTGCAGCGGTACTTATCGGCCCCTCCTCTTAGGTTTACCCCGCGATGTTCTTTCTTTGAGGATATTATGTCGCGCATTATTCATTAGCTAACGGGGATAACTGGCTCTAGTGTGAAGCTGGCAGCCGAAACCATGAGGTCGTTCCGACGCCGTTGATCTCGAACCTTTCAGGCCTCCGAGGCGGCAGCGGTGTCAACCGCGCAATCTCAAACCTCGCGAAAATCAACTTGATTGCAAAGGTTAAGAATGCCAAGTGTATGCATTTCCATTTGATTCTGGATGTGGTCTTATCATTAATTCAAGTATGCTTCATATAGATGACGGCTACCGACTGGCATACGGAGGATTGGATTATCTTGCGCTGAACGCGCACCAAAAGTCAAAGGTCATCTATTCAGTTGGCAACCAAATCGGCGTGGGAAAGGAATCAGACATTATCGTGGTAGCAGAAGCCACCGGAGGGCAGCGCATTATGAAAATTCACCGTCTCGGCCGTATCTCCTTCCGAACAGTCAAGACGAACCGTGACTACCTACGACACCGCAGCTCAGCATCATGGATGTACATGTCCCGATTGGCAGCAATGAAAGAGTTCGCCTTCATGAAGGCTCTGCGTGAGAACGGATTCTCTGTGCCCGAACCCATTGCCCAGAACCGACACACCATCGTCATGAGTCTAATCGATGCTTTCCCCCTACGCCAGATCTCAAAAGTCGCCGACCCCGCTGGACTATACTCGGAGCTTATGAATATCATCTTGGATCTTGCGCGATATGGTCTTATCCACGGTGATTTCAACGAGTTCAATATCCTTATTAAGGAAGAGCTGGACCCCGAAATGAAGGGAAAAGAGCTCACCGAGGAAGAGGAAGATGAGCATATCCGGCTGGTCCCGGTTCTCATTGATTTCCCCCAGATGTTGTCTATCGACCACGTTAACGCTGAGATGTACTTCGACCGTGATGTGGAATGTATCAAGCGATACTTCAAGCGCAAGTTCCACTTCGTGAGCGACTCAAAAGGCCCTACTTTCGCTGAGGCTAGAAAGATGCTCCTCAAGAACCCCGGCAAACGTTTGGATGTCGAAGTTGAAGCCTCAGGTTTCTCACGCAAGATGGCCCGTGAGCTTGAGGCTTATATGGAAGACGTGGGAGTCAAAGGAGACGGAGAAGCTTCCAAGGACACCGATGATGAGGACGAGGAAGAGTCTGGATCTGAAGCCGAGGAAGCCGATGGTGCCCTTGACGGCAAGTTCTCCGAAGATGTCGATGAAAGCACCAAGCGTTTAGAAGAACTTGAAGTATCGGGGCCGTCGGAGCGGTAAAAGGGAATGATCTTGGCCTTTTTTTTAATGACTATTTACGATGAATAAAGCATGTAATATAGGTTTCAAAATTTCCTATCAATGGATGTCTTCTAGAATACCCCGACTCTTAGTTTAGGAAAAAAATATCAAAACATACCAAATATACCAACGACTCGGCGTAGTTAATTCCTGACTCCTAACTGAACGTCTACTAGTGAGTGTTGTGTTGTTCACTGTTGGTGTATACTTTGAAGTCATGTGACTAACTCGGCCAATGCAGTTTCGATGCGCGATCCGCAAGCACCTCCAACCCCCAGATTCCCCCACTCAACAACACGATGGTGCGTCTCAGCAGTGTTCAAGCGAAAGCTATACGCCGCCTGCAAAACCAGGCTGCTGTCGAGCAACCCCAAAAGCCTAAATGGCCCACCACTGTCGGCAAGCCCGTGTACCTGTACGTTGCCCAAAATTTCCAGGAACCCGAACTCGGCTCGACCAAAACAGCATCTCAGCAGACTTTACTGGCTCAATTGGATATTGCCATGAAATAAAAAGCACCGAAGCTAATTCTTCACATCACTAGACCTCAATTCCGCGTTGCTCTCGTCCGAACCCCCAACCTCACCCCCCGATATGCTCAATTCCGCGTTCCCCTCAACTTCAACAAGTTCGATCTCCGCAGCTACCTATGGCACTTGTACGGAGTCGGAACTCTTAGCATCCGCAGTTATGTCCAGGCACAACCAATCACACGAATCTCGCGCGATAACAAGGGTTTCGGCCCGTGGCGCCGACCTAAGTCGCAGAAGCGCATGACCGTTGAATTGAAGGAGCCCTTCGTGTACCCCAAGGAGCCGAAGGATCTGACCCCGTATGTGACGCCGACCTTTACCCACCTTTACCCTTCTCATCCTTTTGGATTTCAATTCCTTTGTCCTTCCTGTCTACATTCCCAATACTACACATGCACCTCTAACCAGACCGAACATCATAACTAACCAATTTCCACCAACAGATGGGAGAATGAAGGCTGGACAAAGGCCGAGAAGTTCCAGATCGACCTACAAGAAAAGGAGAACCCTAAGCCGAACAAGGGCGAAACCCCCGACCAGGAGCTACGCGATGCCTATAAGGAGCAGGCTAAGAGGCTGCTCGAGAACAAGGAGACCTGGAGACCGACCTGGCAGGCTCTGGGCTTGGAGCCTCGCCAGGCTGCTAAGAATGGAGGATTCATCCCTGCTTCTACGCTGCCGGCTTGGTATTCTAAGCAGCGGAAGCACGGAGCGCGGTAATCGGTTTTGGTGGGATCCCTTGCATTGTTCTGAATGGTTTTTTGACTCCCGATATTGGGGAAAATTGGTGTTTCTTGCTCTATCTTCTGGTCCATGTTATTTTAGCTGGATCTGTGTATTATACTCTGGGGTAGATTGTATACATCTTGAATATGGCGTATCATCTTTTCTGATTTGGTCAAGGTTTACATAAATTTTTGAGTAAGATATTTTGTAAATTGTGATATAGACACGAAAAAGATTGGCACGAACGCACCACGAAAGACAAGCTGATTAAATACAAGTCACTGGGGCTTATGGCTATTATACGCTATGCAAAATGAGGGTGGGGGCAGGGGACCGAAAGGCTAGACAAGAGATGAGAGAGAGAGGCAAAGCGCCTTAAACTTGAGGAGTTGAAAGCAGTTTATAGTCGGCTCTCAACAAAGTTCATCTCGTGTTGGCCAGGCCACTGGGCATCGGGCCAGACCTGGCGCAGGCCTTCCCAAATGTGCCTGTGAAGAATTGTTAGCAGGTAACTAAACCATGGTTGGAAGATGACATACTTGACATAGATGATTTCTAGACCATCCTTAACTTCTTGTGGGATATCTTTGACGTCCTTGCGATTGTGGTCCGGCAGCAGTACAGTCTTGACACCTGCACGCAGAGCACCAATCAGCTTCTCTTTGATACCGCCGACAGGCATGACCCGGCCGCGGAGAGAGACCTCGCCGGTCATAGCAATCTGAGGTGGGACGGGCTTGTTGCTGAACAAGGAGATCAAGGCAATAGTGTGGGCAAGACCAGCAGAGGGACCATCCTTGGGGATAGCACCGGACGGGCAGTGGACATGTAGGCTGCGGCTCTTCATGATATCCTCACCGGGGTCATGGGTGAGACCAAGCTCGAAGGAATGTGCCTTCACCCATGTCAGGGCTACTTCGACAGATTCCTTAAGCACGTCGCCCAGCTTACCGGTTAGCTGGACACGTCCGTTGCCGGGCATGTCTGCAACCTCGATGAATAGGATGCTGCCCTGGCCACCGGTAGAGTAGGCGACAAGGCCTGTGACCACACCAGGACGACTGTTTTTCTCAGCGATCTCTTCCTCGAATCGCTCGATTCCCAGGATATCCTCTAGATCCTCAGCTGATACGACAGGATTATACTCGTCTAGGCGGTCAGTATCCCCAGCATCGGCATATTGAACGGCCTTGTGGCGACAGATAGAGCCTAGTTCCCGCTCTAGGTTGCGCACACCTGACTCGCGGGTGTACCCGGTGATGGTTTTATCAATCACCTCATCGGACATATTCACCTGGCCCTCGTGAAGACCGTTGGATCGAATCTGCTTCGGGATCAGATGTTGCTTGGCAATGTGCCTCTTCTCAACAGTAGTGTATCCAGACAGGGAGATAGTCTCCATACGGTCAAGCAGAGGTGCTGGGATTGTTTCCAGGGAATTGGCAGTAGCAAGGAAGAGAACCTTGCTTAGATCGATAGGGACGTTGATATAGTGGTCAGTGAAGGTATGATTCTGCTCAGGGTCAAGAACCTCTAGCATAGCGGCGGAGGGGTCGCCTTGGAAGTTGGCGCCACCAATCTTATCAATCTCATCGAGCAGAATGACAGGGTTTGCAACGCCGACCTTCTTCAGTCCATTCACAATTAAACCAGGCATGGCTGCAACGTATGTTCGTCGATGGCCCCGGATTTCTGCCTCGTCTCTGACACCACCAAGGGAGATCCGGTGGAATTTTCGGCCAAGCGAGGCAGCAACAGACCTGGCTAGACTGGTTTTACCAGTACCAGGGGGTCCGACCAGAAGCAGGATAGGAGACTTGTCGGTCATACGCTTAGACTTGAGGATCTGAAGGCGGGTCTCCAACGCAACCCGGTCAGATTCTGACAGCAGAGGGACGTCCTTCTCGACATCTCCAACTGCGGAAGCGTCCAAGTCCCTAGAGAGCCCTGAGATCTGGCGCTCAACATCCGAGTTGGTGGACTGTTTCAGGCGCAACACAGCCAAATACTCGAGCAGTCGTTTCTTGATTCGCTCCAGGCCATAGTGGTCCTCATCCAACTGCTTTCTCGCATTCTTCAATGTGTCTGGTCCAAGCTGATCCTCCGTCACCTTAGTCCAAGGGATTTCTGCCAAGTTTTCCAGATATGTTCGGCAAACACCGTACTCGGCGTTGGCAGGGTTCATCTTTCGCAAGCGTTTCAATTCCTTGTCCGCAACATTCCGAGCTTCGGGACTAAGCTGTGCATCATTCAACTTCTGTTGTAGCTCGTCTACTTCACTAGGCTCCTTCTCTTCGTCGTTGTCACGCCCGCTAGGGGGCGTCATGCCGCTGAGACCTGAAATTGCCCGCTTTGCGAGCAGCTCACGTTCACGGGGATCAATCTGACTGATATCCATCCTGGAGGAAGGGAATGAAGTCGAGCCAATCGAGGTGACTCTGACGCTACTCTTAATATGCTGTGCCTGTCTGGTGAGGATTTCAACAACCCTCTCCAACCGTTCCTTAACATCCAGCGAGCCGAGGATACGCAGCTTTTCCTCAAAGCTTGCGTCAGATACATCTGCCATAAAATCCGCCAGCTTTCCCGCCTGTGTCAACTCTGTCTTTGATATATAGAGCTCGAACTTTCGAGCAACGAGTGGCGAGAGACGAGAGGAGGCCGCCGACAGCAACGAAGAGAGGCGCAGGAGAGTAAGAAGCTCTCGAGAGAGCTGTCTCAATTGTTGGAAAAGCTCAGCGACTTCTACGTCACCTTGACCAGAGTCTAGAAGTATAGGAAGTATGATTAGCTATGTGACCTCTATAGTTTGTCGTGGAAACTAACTGGACTCATCATGAATGAAGACCTCAGCCTCAAAATATGGACGGTCTCGCAGGACCTTCTTAATAGTGAATCTTTGCGAGCCTTGGACAAGCAAAAATGGTTCGGCGTAGGCCCGGCGCTGAACTCCGACGACTTTGCCAATAGTTCCGCATCGGAACAAGTCCTCCTTCCGTGCCTGGCCGGCGTCAATCGAGTCATATTCCTCCTTTCGCTCTGAGTCCGAGTCCTCGCCGTCGAGGAGCTGATTTCCATCCCGGCTCAGGAATGGCGAGTTGAGTGGAACACAGCCGAAGGTGATGGTATTCGCATCTCGCTTCGAAGGCTTGTCCACAAGTGACGAAAGAAGATTGGCGAGATCGGGACGATTGGAGACGGGAATGCGAAGAGTCACGCCGGGTAGCAGAACCGAGCCCTTAGGAAGAGGTACGAGAGGGAGCTTGGTGGTTCTACCGTTAGTTCCCATCCTGTACAGGTGATGGAATGGGGTGGCAAAGATGAGGATCCGGGGAGGTCAAGTATAGAGTGTATGAGGGGTGGAAAATGGGGGGAAATGGGGAATGTGGAGAGGGAAAGGGTGAATGGATTATATGGAGAGATGGGAGAGATTCCAGAATCACCTGTGGACGTAGGAGCAGAAGTCCGGGGGAGATAAGTCGTCTTGTAATCTCCACGTCCCGAAGCCGAGGTTGACGATCATGGGGAAGAATTTAAGTAATTTTACTGTTTGATTACTTGTACTCTATTTCTAATTTGATAGATCTTGGTTATATTATGAGTTTATGATTGACTTATTTCTACCTAGATATTTCCTAGATTATTGGATATGTATATGTACAGAGTAACAGAGTACCTAATGCTGTAGAAGACTTGCAGGTGGAATTACAGATCTGCACGTGTCCCGTGATCGGAGTTCTCCAAATCCACTTTCGCCTCTTCGCCTGACTTTCCTCGGCTGTTTGGTATATTGCGGGCATAGCTCATACAACGTCGTACACGTCTACTTGCATTATTTCCAGATTCTCCATACGCCTTACTAGCCTCTCAAAATGGCTACTCCCACCCCCACCCAAAAGACCATCACTATCGGCACCCGCAAATCTAAACTGGCTCTACTCCAGACCAACCTGGTCCTTGAGGCATTGAAGAAGTCATTCCCGCAATATGAATATAAGATCTTCTCCAAAGAGACAGCTGGTGACCTGAACACCACCATCGCATTGCGGGACTTCACCACCAAGAACTTGTGGACAGAGGAATTGGAGGAATTGATGATCGGCGGACAAGTCGATGTTATTGTGCACTCATTGAAAGGTTTGATAATGTCTCAATCTCAAACAGCGTAGCTGTTTCAACCCATAAATGCTGACGACATTTTTTTTTTCAAAATTATCAGATGTCCCCACTACTCTCCCCTCTTCCTGCAAGCTAGGCCCGAGCATGCCCCGCGAAGATAGCAGGGATGTCCTTGTGGTGAAACAAGGCTTGCCGTACAAGAGTCTGTCCGAGATCCCCGCTGGGTCTGTAGTTGGAACCTCGTCCATCCGCCGCACAGCACAATTAGCTCGGAAATACCCCCACCTTAAGGTCCAAGATGTCCGTGGCAACATCGGCACTCGCCTTTCAAAACTAGACGCCGAAGATAGCCCTTACACCTGTGTCATTCTAGCCGCTGCTGGCCTGCTGCGTCTTGATTTGGCGGATCGTATCACCCAATATTTGGACTCCAAGAACAGCGGCATGCTCTATGCTGTCGGACAGGGTGCTCTTGGTATCGAAATTCGCAAGGAGGACACTGTTCTGCAGGATATGCTGGACACTATCGGTCATCAGGATACTACATTCTCGGTTTTGGCTGAGCGGAGTCTTTTGCGGACTCTTGAGGGAGGCTGCAGTGCCCCGCTGGGTGTTGAAACCGAATGGGTCCAAAATGCGCAGGGTGCTAAGCAGTTGCGAATGCGATCTGTTGTTGTCAGTGTCGATGGCAAAGAATGTGCTCAGGTAGAATTGGAAGCCGATATCACCTCTGCTGAAAGTGCCGAGGCTTTCGGCATCACTGTCGCCAAGGCCCTGGTGGCTGAAGGCGCTGGGGACATTCTCGAGACTATTCAGCAGAACAAGGCCAAGGAGAGCGTTTCTACTGCGGTCTGAATGTTTAGATATATTTTTACTGTAGCTAGACAGATATACCCTGTTGAAAAATGAAGTGAACGAGTTTTCTTGTCTGGTATATTCGTATTCGCTCAAGACATCAAGAATATTCGCCAAGAACTCCGTCTATCGTGGCTTTTTATGGACTATAGTATAGCAGCTCTGTTCATGTTGGGCATTCCAAATCATCCCCGGTTCAGTGTGTTTCCAGCGCCCTTCGGGTTAGCTTCCGTGAACTCGTCCCAGTTTCGTGCTTTCATCGTTTCCTGGTCGGCAATGTTGTGATCATCCTCATCGACTTGCGGCTTGATGCCAGACTTCTCGCCTCCTCCCTCAATCACATTTCCTCTTCTGTGCTCTTCGTCCAGATATTCCTCGATTGTCATAGTAGGAAGGTTATGACCCGGACGAAAGACTCCTTGTTGCATTTCTGCGCGCCGGCCCAACAACGTAAACGGCTGCATTGGCTTTCCTTTGCTGTTTAGGATAGGGCCACCTCTGCCTCCCCTCAAGAGTTGTGACATTGAGGGATCTAATCGATCTGAATAATTTAATCCTCCAATATTGCTTCGCTGTCTGGGATCGTCCGTCGGTGGGGGCCGAGGTGGCGCGTTGCGCATCGCTGAAAGTATCGTCAATTCCTGGATTAGAAGATCTAAGGCCTGGAAGGTCTGGTGGGTGTAGAGCTGGATTTCTGCGAGGTAAAGGGATCGGGTGTCATCATCATCGCTTTGCAGTTGAGCTTCATTGCGAGCAAAGTACTTAAAATAGGGTAAGCAAAGAACCCCAAAACAATATCCAGGAGAAAATTCCACATACCTCTAGCTTCTGCTTCAGCTCTTTTTCCTCCCGAAACCGTGTCACTTTAATTTCCCTTCTAGCGGCAGCGTCGTTGGCTGGCATCAGGGTAAAAGATGTCGGATTGGCCATGTATTGCTCAAAGAGTTTCTTATCTCCGCCAGTGAGTAACATGTACTCATCCAAGCGCATCAGGTATTTCTCATATTCTTCGAGCGCGCGCTTAAGAACCGATTCGCGGTCTGAGGTAGCAGCTCGCTGCATGAGCTCAGCTAGATGGTACTCCAGTGTCATATACCTGGACAACAAATCAGCAGAATGAAAAATGCGATGCCAGAACCAGAATAGCTTACTGGATATCATTGGTTGAAATATCTTCTAACAACTCATTAGAGCTAAACAGAGACAACATGCTCACTTGACGCTGGCATTCTTGGAATTTGGCGATTGTCGAATTCACCTCGTCTCGGTAGGTCTCGGCGTTGGTGTCGCCCCGCAATCCCAGTGCACGATTTTGCTCCTTTGCTGATGCAAATAGAGAGCGAAGGCTCTGTGGCTCCTCCATTGTTTCTGACATTGGTCTTCCGGCTTTAGATTAGATAGAAGATAGGGTATGAGGGATGCTTGGGAAGAGTTCGCGTGTCCCCGCGATCTGGACTGAGTTTTGGAAATACTACGATAAGCAGATAAGGCCAAGCTTTTATCTGATAAGCCTTTTATAAGCCCTAAAGGCAGGTGGCCCCCAAGGCTCATCCTTCGATCTTCCTCAGGCTTTGAGTTCTATATACTTACATATTGTCGCATTGGAATCGAAACTACCGACACTATACACTTAGCTCAAAGGGTTCCATATCTTGAGAAAGTCAATATATTTTTTCTATGCTAAGTACATATATATATGTACTATTGGCGGGTTTATATTAAGATATTAATCCTGCTTTTATTCCCCCATCCTTTGTTTTAATCTCTTCTCGGATAGTCGTCCTCTTTATATCACTCTATGGGTCTAATCTCCCAGTTTACTCATTTTCTTTTGAAAATGGGCTTTTTTGGTCTTAGTTTTACATTGTTGTTTGAAGAAATTACACATATCTGGGTCTTGCAGACGTATGGTTCTTATATTCTTACATAGTATACTCTAAGTGCGAACGATCTCACCACGTGGGAAGGAAGGACTATGACAATCATCAATTGATTTGTCAAACAAGTGGAATCCCTTTTGTATAGCCCCTCTCGCTTCCCTCTTCCCCCCTAATGCTTCTACATATGTGTGGATATATACTTGTGACCTGGTTATCATTCTTACCTCACTTATGAGGAATACATACCTGAGTAGGAAGGCAAATTACGTGAATCTATGTCGTTGGATCCTGCCGAATTGGATACTCTTTCCTCTCGCGCGCGCGTAGAGGGAGTGACTTCTCCACTTCTGTCAGGTTCTTTTACCTAGTCTTCTTCTTTTTTAATATTTCTCCTTCTTCAACTTCTCCTGGCACAAGATAAATCATCATGGAGCCCGAAGACACCACCTCCGACCTATCTGGCGATGAAGCTGTGACCTCACGGGTTATCGACAGACACAGAGCTCAAAATGCTACATTTACTGCACTGTAAGTTTCCAATATATATTAGCTTCAAGACCTATTTACGCTGACAGTGTGGAAGGCTTGAAGAGCATGTTGTCAAGGGGCCGAGTGACGGGCCCAATGGAGAAAATGTCAAACTATCTGATGCGGAGCTTTCAACTGCTCGTCTACTCGCAAATACAGAGCCTGGGGGTGGAGTCCTAGACCCCCGTGAATACCAAATCGAGCTCTTTGAAAGAGCAAGAGCTCACAACACAATCGCGGTTCTTGACACAGGGTCTGGGAAGACTTTGGTGGCTGTGCTCTTGCTCAAGCACATTCTCCAAATCGAACTTAATAAACGTGCAAATGGCACAAAACCCCGCGTTGCCTTTTTTCTGGTGGATAGTGTTACCTTGGTCTTTCAACAGTCCGCCGTATTGAGAAACAATCTCGACCAAAAAGTCGCTCATTTTTTCGGTAATCTTGGACCTGATCTTTGGGACAAACAGACATGGGACAAGCACCTTGAAAAGTACATGGTGATTGTGTGCACTGCAGAGATCCTGAATCAATCTCTACTAAACGGCCATGTGGGGATTGAACAGATCAATCTTCTGATCTTCGACGAGGCCCATCATGCCAAAAAGGAGCATCCATATGCCCGGTATGTAACCCACTGTTTATGTATAACATGACGACAAAAGCTGACATTTATCAGTATCATCCGAGATACCTACCTGAAAGCGGATCCTGAAAAGCGCCCAAGGATCTTTGGGATGACTGCCTCGCCGGTTGATGCCAAGTGTGACATAGCGGAAGCAGCAATGTGAGAGCAACATCCCCCCCCCCCCCCCCCCCCCCCCAACAGAAAAAACAATAAACAATGAAAGCTTCTGCTTACTATATATAGTCAACTTGAGACTCTTTTAGACAGTCGCATTGCAACAACATCTGATCTTGCGCTCCTGCGAAACTTCGTGAACAAGCCGATGGAGGAGGAATGGGTCTACGACAAGCTTCCACCACTGTTTGACACAGATCTGCATGGTACTTTGAAAGCAAAATATGGGGATATGTCAATTCTTGAAGGTGTATTTCGATTTGGATCTAACGCAAGCTCGGAACTAGGTGCTTGGTGCGCAGACCAGGTATGGGCTCTGGCCCTAGCAGACGAAGTGCTTCCCAAGCTGGAGGGCAGTATTGGCAAAGCCGATTCTGATCCCCAGGATTCTGAAAAGAATTCAGAGGACATCAAGCGGATCCAAGAAGCCAACCAATATGTCAAGGAATATATTGCAAACCAGAAATCTACGCCTAGTGATCTCAGCTCCAAAGTCGAGCTTTTGATAAAGAAGCTTGAAGAACAGTTTGCAAAATCGCCAGATACCAAATGCATTGTGTTCACAAAGCGGCGCAATACAGCCAAAGTATTGTTACAGCTGTGCGAAAAACTGCAAATCCCAAACCTACGTCCCGATGTCTTGGTCGGCGTTCGCAAAGGAGATGCCCTAGGAATGAACTCCACATTTCGTCGGCAGTTTCTTGTCTTGGTCAAATTCCGAAAAAGTGAAGTCAACTGCTTGGTGAGCTTTGACATAAGCAAAAAAACTGTCTGTAGACAAATTCTAATCATTCTCAGTTTGCAACATCGGTCGCAGAGGAAGGCCTTGACATCCCAGACTGTAACCTGGTGGTTAGGTAAGTCATCTAGCATTTTAAGCACTGTCGTTGCTTCTGCTGACCGAAAAAGATTTGATCTGTATGATACAGTGATTCAATATGTCCAAAGTCGAGGCCGTGCCAGACGTGCCGACTCAGTGGTTAGATTTCTTCCATTTTTATGAGATGCAATTGATTTACTTACTACTTTGCAGTACGCAACCATGGTGGAAAGTGGCAATCGCAATCACAGCATCAGACTACAGGAAGTTCGCAGAGCAGAGGTAAGTATTATTCTCAGGTGATATATCGTTGAACTTGGTTGACATGAACAGCATTTAATGAAGAATTTCTGCAACCTGCTGCCGGATGATCGGAAACTGTATGCAGACGATCACGATATGGGAGTACTAGTTCGCGAGGAAGATCGGAAGAGAACGTACACTATCAAGAGTACAGGTGCCATGCTGACATATCGCCATGCGATTGGTGTTCTAGCACGATTTGCTAGCTCATTGGTAAGAGCAGATTTGCATCCACTGACTTGTATCATCAAAGCTAACAGTGACAAAATTTCAGCAATACGAGAATGAGATCTCGGCTTCAGCTACATACATTGTCATGTCAGAAAACGAATCATTCAGCTGTGAAATAATTATGCCGGAGAAATCGCCTGTTCGAAGAGTGCTTGGATGTTCCGAATCAAAGAAATCACTTGCTAAGCAGTCCGCAGCTTTTGATGCATGTATGCTGCTTCGCAAAAGGAATTTGTTGGATGAACACTTTAACTCTGTCTATCACAAGCGCCTTCCAGCGATGCGCAATGCTAAACTGGCTATTACTTCAAAGAAGACTGACCAGTACCGAATGCGTACCAAGCCCTCAATTTGGGCGAGGCAACAGGGAACCACCCCAACACGCCTCTACGCGATAGTGATTCGTCTCATCCCATCAGAGCCCCTAACTCGTGCTCACGGAAGTATCGTCTTGTTTACACGAGAGCGGATTCAGGCAATGCCAACTTTCCCGGTCTTCTTGGACGATGATATCGAGACTATGGTCCAATCTTTGTGCATTGATGGGTGCCTGGAGGTTGCTTCTGAAGAGCTCCAAGGTCTGACTGCATTTACACTTGCTGTTTTTCACGATGTGTTTCACAAAACCTACAAGCATGTGTCGGAACAGTTTCCGTACTGGCTTGCGCCTGCTCGAGAGGCTGTCGACAATGGAACGCCAACAAGTCTCTTTGACATCATCGACTGGCCGGCTTTGCGCTACGTTCAAGATAACCCCAAGCTTATGTGGTCCCCTAATATAGAGCCGGAATCGCTGCTGACTCGATTCATCTACGATGACTGGAATGGAAAGTATCGATACTTCCCGCTTGCTATAGACCCCAATCTACGTCCTTCAGACCCACCCCCATCCTATGCACCTTCTAGAAAGTGGTCAGACGACATCATGAATTGGTCCTTGAGTTTGAGCAAAAATTCACGCCCGAAATTCTTCAACCGATGTATCTGGACTCAACCGGTATTACAGGCAGAGTTGATCTGTCTTCGGCGGAACTTTCTTGACAAAGCGGCAGAAGAAGAGAAATCATCCAACTCGAGATGTGTCATTTGTCCTCAGCCTTTGGCTCTATCCTCGGTTAGTTTTGTATTAGTATACGTTTTAGCTCACCCAATATGCTAACATGTAACTCAGATTTCCATGTCTGTGGCCGCGACGTGTTTTGTCTTTCCAGCAATTATCACTCGAATGGAGTCATACCTGATCGCCCAGGAGGCATGCGAAATGTTAGGCCTTGGTAATATTAAGCCCGAATATGCCCTGGAGGCCTTCACTAAGGATTCAGACAACACTGAAGAGCATCGGAGCCTACAGATTCACGTTCAACGAGGAATGGGAAAAAATTACGAGCGCCTTGAATTACTAGGAGACTCTGTCCTCAAGATGGCAACATCGATTTCGCTCTTTGCTCAAAATCCCGACGATGATGAATATGACTATCACGTTAACAGAATGTGTCTCATCTGCAACAAGAACCTGTTCAAAACTGCAACTGAACTGAAGTTATATGAGTACATACGTAGTCGTGGGTTCTCTCGGTATGTTCCTTACATTGTATTCTATCATGTGAGTGTTCAACTGACAGTCAACCACAGACATATGTGGTACCCCCCAGGTCTTTCGCTTGAATATGGTCGGGACCACGCCAAATTCTTTGCTAATGAATGCAATCACTCCTTAGCCGAGAAGACTATAGCAGATGTCTGCGAGGCCTTGATAGGAGCCTCTTTGCTCTCAGGAGGTGATGATAATCGCTATGACATGGCCGTCAAAGCTGTGACCATCTTCGTCAACAGTCAGAACCACACGGCAGCCTCGTGGAAAGACTACATCTCTGCATATTCCATTCCTTCGTACCAGAATAGGCCGGCTGATGGATTCGAAAAGAACTTGGCTCAGCAGATCCTTGAGAAAGTAGGCTACGAGTTCAAGTACCCCCGTCTTCTACGGTCAGCTTTCACGCATCCGTCTTATCCATTGGCATGGGCGAAGGTACCTTGCTACCAGAGACTCGAGTTCTTGGGTGATGCACTCCTCGATATGGTGTGCGTGGAGCACTTGTTTCATCGGTTCCCCGACCGAGATCCGCAGTGGTTGACTGAACACAAGGTCTGTATTTTATCTAGTGAAGCTAACTCACGTAGTTCGGGGCTAACATTAGTTGATAGATGGCTATGGTATCAAACAAATTCCTCGGTGCTTTGGCTGTAAAGCTAGGGCTTCATCTTCATCTTCAGCATTTCAGCAACCCTCTCATGATCCAAAACAGCAAATACGCAGAGGAACTCCAGCTTGCAGAGAGCGAAAGCAATGGAGAGGTAGACTATTGGCTGTCGACGTCAGATTCTCCAAAGGTAAGTTCTCGATTTAATATGGGTGTAATCCACATACTCACGGAATTACAGTGCCTTCCCGACATGCTCGAGGCTTACCTCGGTGCCATATTTGTGGATTCTGGCTTCGACTTCACAGTTATTGAGGCCTTCTTCGAGAGGCATATCTTGCCTTTTTTCCACGACATGTCTATTTATGACACATTTGCAAACAGGCATCCGACGGTAAGATCATCTTCTGCCCCTGAGTTTATACTCTTCGTTCTGATAAATTATAGACATTCCTTCATAGCCAAATGACTCACAACTTCCGATGCATGGATTACTGCTTGAAATCCGCAGAGATTCCTGCCGTGGAGGGAGAAACCCCCAAGGTCTTTGCTGCAGTTATGGTACACGGCGAATCCATTGCCAGCGCAGTCGCATCTTCTAGTCGGTACGCCAAAGTGAGGGCTAGCAGCAAGGCATTGGCTGTTATCGAAGGAATGTCAATTTCTCAGTTCCAGGAGAAATATCACTGTGCTTGTCAGGGTGGGCAGGTCACCGTGGACCGCGCCAATATCGGAACGGCAGTTTGAATAGGGAATTGTGAAAGGATAACTGGAAATTTTGTTATTTTTGTGTTATTTTATTGATATTTCCAGAATCCGATATTGAGATCCTAAATCCGATATTGAGATCCTATTAAGAATCCAGGAAGAACCTTGGAATGTCTCTGTTAATATAAGGTGAAGTTTATACTTCGAAAGGAATGGGCCAGGAAGGAAGACCCATGGATGTGCGTTGTCGCATGGGGTCGTGTCACGCTTAACCTAATAGGGAATAGTGTGCATCCCCTGAAGTAAAGCAAACAACGCCGCGTAGTTATCTTTTTGATCATTAACAGATATCAAGACTCAGGACGGTATAGGCCTGGAATTTATCCTTGCAATCATTTTTAATCTATTAGATTTCTTTTCTCTTTCCAGCCTTTGTTATTCCCCCTTTGCTCTATTCTCCTGCCCAACTCCCACTCGACGCGATCTCAGCATTCCAAACACCCCGATCCACGCTCCTATTATTCCTTATCACCGATGAACACTTGAAATTTGGCATAATAATATCGGTATAATGGAGGTCGCCTCATCAGGCTTACCAAATGGTCCCTCAACACCAGAGACTGCAGCTCTTGTTGATTCTGGTGCAGTCGTTCAGTACTTGACCGAAGTGCTCCAGGTGACACTGGGAGCCCAGAGATCCGAGCTGGAAAGCGCTGGAAGCTTGCTTTCGGAATCAAGATACAATGAAACACTGCAGCGGTGTACGCGATTCGCATCGGAAGCGCAAGTCGCACTTTATGTGCAAAAGGACATTGTGACAGTGGAGGAGACCAACGGCGAACCGGAGGACCAAGGTACGCCCGACCCAGGGGCTTAGGAATTGGATGATATGATGCTAATTGTGCCGGTCATGAAATAGCAGTGCAATATGTCTATAACCTCTCCTCCGATATTTCGTCCGCTCCTACAACTGTGTCCTCGGTAGCTATCATCAAACGGCCTGCTCCAATCGACATGAGTCTTCCGATAGTGTCGCAGGTCCAAGTCATGAACCTTCCTGGCCCCGCTTCTCTTAGCAATACCCCCGCCCAGCAGGGGAATTCCATGTCGCCCTACCAGATCCTACACTTGATGATACATCATGGTCTCAGTCCTTACTTCGAATCCTACACTCGCAGCCAGGAAACGGCTGTCGGCACGAAATCGAAAACGGATACGGAGGCGAAGACTGGTATCCCAGGAATCAAGAAGAGATTCGCAGACTTGGAGCTAGGGTTTATGCACCTCCAGCAGAATGTGGAGATTCCAGCTTTAAACTTGCCTCTTCATGAAGTGGTACAGGCTGCTCTGAAGGATGCGGAAGCGCGGGGTATCAAACCATCGGTCGAGTTGATTCCATCCACAGTATTGGAGAGCAGCGCTTTCACAAACAGCATTCAGAATGTCGTGAACGGTTGGATTAGATCCATCCAGACAATCACCAAGATGTCCCGCGACCCGGACGGTGAATCTGCCTCTCCTGAGGTCAACTTCTGGCTATCCCTAGAGGCTGCCCTGGAGGGGATTGATGTTCAACTCCAAAGCGAGGGTGTTCGGTTGACTATGGACATTCTTCGCCATGCGAAACGGTATCAGCCGACCCTCAGTTTCGTTGCAGATACGGGGCTGAAAGAGGCCACCGAATTGGTTCAGAAGTACAACCAGCTGATGCGAGATTTCCCTCTCGATGAACTTCTCTCTGCGACTTCCTTGCAAAAGGTCCAGGAATCACTGAACTTGATCTTCACTCACCTGAACAAGAAGTTGAAGATTTGCCCCTATCCCATTAAGCGCGCACTTTCACTTGTCGAGGCTATCTCGGGGGATCTTGATAAGAAGATCCATGAGCTTATAAATGGACGTACGATTTTGCACCTAGATTACCGTGAGTTCCGGTCTTTGATGAAGACGACACAAGCGATCTGGCGCACTTGGGACGAGAACTTGAAGGAATTCACAAACGTTGCTCGTGAATCAACACGGCGTCGTAACGAGAAATTTATTCCGATCAAAATCAATGCGAGACACGACAAAACCCGCGAGCGGGTGCAGTATGTCGACACCTTCAGGGTTAACCATGAACAGCTTCAGAAAACAATCATCAACGTCCTAGGACCCAACAGCTCTTCATCTACCGAGAATGGAGCGGGGGTTGATGCTGATGGGGCTGTAATAGTCGAGGAGATTGGTGATGTTGATGCCGTGGAGGAAGTTGCGCACGCCTATGCTGCCCTCAAGAATGTGGACGTGCTGGATGTTTCACAGCATGGGTCTCTTACATGGGAGCAGGCCGAAATTGCCTACAGTGAGCGTACGTCCCGTGTTGAGAATTCTATCATTGCTCGTCTACGTGACCGTTTAGCGACCGCCAGAAATGCCAATGAGATGTTCCGTGTTTTCTCGAAGTTCAACGCCCTTCTCGTTCGTCCTAAGATTCGTGGTGCAATTGGTGAATATCAGACGCAACTTATTGATAATGTCAAGCGAGACATCAGCGCTTTGCATGAGCGCTTTAAGCAACAGTACGGTAATTCAGAAGCTCATGCTATGGCCCAACTACGTGATCTGCCCCCCGTTTCGGGCGCCATTATCTGGACTCGCCAGATCGAGCATCAGCTTAATGGCTACATGCGCAAGGTCGAAAATGTTCTCGGTGAGAACTGGCACCTACACGCTGAGGGCCAGAAGTTGCAGAATGAGGGTAATTTGTTCCGCAAGAAGCTTGACACTCGGCCTGTCTTTGAGTCATGGCTGTGGGATGTCCAAAAACGCCATTTTACAATCTCTGGGCGGCTGTTTAATGTCGTGCGCAACCGATCCGCAGGAAACGTTTTGGAGCTGGCAGTCAACTTCGATGCTCAGATCATTGCCCTCTTCAAGGAGGTCCGCAATCTTATCTGGCTCAACTTCCAGGTTCCTCATGCTGTCAGCAATATCTCGAAGGAGGCAAAGCGTGTTTACCCCTACGCCATTAGTCTGATGGAGAGTGTTCGCACCCTGTTGCAGACGAATAGAGCAATCGGGTCAATGACCGATGTCAACATGCTACTCAACGGCTACATGAACGATGTACAGATTATGGTTGCTAAGGGTATCCCTCTGCGGTGGGAGTCCTTTGTTCATTCTTACGAGCTACACGTCAAGCAGTCAGCATTGGCGAATGGCGCCATGGAGCCATCTTTGCCTGGTCGTTCTGAAAGCAAGCATGTTCAATTTGTTCGCGAATTCGCCGTTTCAGCATCCACACTTCAGACGAAAACCACCGTGCTTGATACCATCAACGAGAACATTCAGAAATCGATTCATGAACTCAAGACATGCCCGTATGATGCATCAGCGTTCAAGCAACGCTTGGACAGCATCCAGGTTGCTGTGGATAAGCTTAACCTTGAAAATTACGTGAACCTCGGATACTGGGTTGCTGAGCTTAATCGACGCATCGAGGCAATTTTGCGTGATCGACTTCTTCGCGCTGTGCGCGAGTGGATCATCACCTTCCAAGGTACCAACAATGAAAACTCGACTACGTCTCATCAACTTGAAGCGGCCGAAACGGATGCTTTGAATTACAAGATCCAGTTCCCTGAACTCTTCCACGAGATTCTGATGAAAAATCAAGTCCTCCATCTGGACCCGCCGCTGCAATTCGCACGCGCAAGCTGGTTTTCGCACTTTGATTCATGGCTCGGCGTGATCTGCAATCTGGAAAAGATCAAACCTTCGCGTTACCAGATTTCCATTGTTGTGCAAAATTTTCGCTTATCCGAAGTCTCCTTCTCTGACCTCCCGCAAACTTGCACGGACGAGCTCAATCAAGTTTACAATGTTGTCGAGTCACGACTGAATGATGTTTCTGAGTATGTCGATAAGTGGCTGCAGTTCCAATCCCTTTGGGATCTTCGGTCTGAGCAGGTCTACGAGATCCTGGGAGATGATCTGTCTCAATGGCTTCAGCTTCTTCAGGAAATCAGAAAGAGCCGGGCTACATTTGATACCTCTGAAGTCAGCCGCGCCTTCGGAAATATCAGGATTGACTACGAGCAAGTTCAGACCAAGGTGAACGCCAAATATGACCAGTGGCAGCATGAGATCCTCGTGAAGTTCGGCTCCAAGCTTGGCAGCCGTATGAGAGAGGTTCATTCTGAGATTGCTGCTGCCCGCAGGGACTTGGAAGGCCAAACCCTGGAGGCCTCTTCAACGGCACATGCTGTTTCTTTCATCACCATTGTTCAGCAGTGCAAACGGAAGACTCGAGTCTGGGAGCCCGAAGTTGATCTCTTCCGTCAAGGCCAGACTACACTCGCCCGCCAACGTTACCAGTTCCCGTATGACTGGCTTCACGTTGAGAATGTTGACGGTGAATGGGCAGCCCTCAATGAGCTGCTCAGCCGCAAGAGTAAAATTGTCAACGAGCAAACCGAAGGCCTACGTGCAAAGATTAGTGCTGAAGACCACGTCATCGCCGGCAAGATTGCTGAAGTTATTGGGCAATGGAATGACGAGAAGCCTGTATCTGGCACGATTCCACCCGAGGAAGCATCTCGTACACTGAGCTCTTTCCAGTCTCGCCTCGAGTCTCTCCAGTCTGAGTTTGAGATGGTGTCCAAGGCCAAGGAAGCTCTCGATCTCCCCCCAAGTTCCGAGTCATCACTTCCCCCCATACTCGAGGAGGTCCAGGACTTCATGTCTGTTTGGGCTGCTCTAGCGACTATCTGGAATAGTCTCAATGATCTTCGAGATGGGCTGTGGACCAGCGTGCAACCCAGGAAGCTCCGACAATCTCTTGATAATTTGATTAAAATGACTAAGGAGATGCCTAGTCGGATGAGACAATATGCTGCCTTTGAACATATTCAGAATGTCCTTCGGCAGCTGTTGAAGGTCAACTCCCTTCTGTCAGACATGAAATCCGAAGCTGTCAAGGAAAGACATTGGCACAAGATTTACAAGAGTCTCAAACCTGATAAGCGTTTCTCTCTTGTCTCTTTGACCCTCGGTGA